TGACTGAAGCCGTCTTGTCAAGCGGGGCCAGGAAGATGACCCCAACGAGGATGTCTGGCGTTCTTGTAGGAACCAAAAGCAAGTAATTAGCCTCTGACCATCCATTATCGCGGTCGCCGAAGTCGTCGTTTGTTCATGCCACCTTCAATCTGCCCGCCGGACGTGTCAATTTTCGCTTCTGAATGTGTTACTCAGCCTTTGGCTCGCTGAAACTGTGACGCCTATTAGTGTTTTTTGTCCTTGCGGACTGACCGAAGTCGGACAAAGCCCAGGCGCAAGCATTTCGTTCCGTGGTTAATAATTTGAAACGACTGACGCGCGTCTGATGTGAACACTTGTCGTCGTTGCCTGCTGAGCCGCGTCCACGCTCTCTCTCTCAAGCAGTCAGCGTTGTTTTATAACTGTGTCCTCTCCGACCTTCGATTCGGAGAATCTCGAGTTATCGACCATCGCATGTCGACAAGGCTTCTGTCCATCACGTTTCCTGGTCGGATGCATGACGCGTTCTGTGTGGGGAGTGTCTCCCACGTTTTATGTCTGCAGAGCGGTAGTCGAAAGTCGTACGGTGACTCAGATACTTCTTGGTGTATTGACGTCGCCCATTATTGTAACGTTAGGCTTGCGAGAGTGGAGGGAGTCAGCTGTTTAGCCTATCCTCGGTGGTCGATAAACAGTATCCAGACCGCGGGATGACGGTTTCCTACCCTTACCCATTCGTCGCAGATTGCGCAGACTTTATCGTCGATTTCATCATCAAAACCACGTTTCTGTCCTGCCCTAGATTTGTGATATTTTTGAGCGGGCTAAGGGATTATCTGAAGAAAAACAGCTAGCCTAAGAGGTCAAGTTTAGCGAAAATCATTCGTTCAATAGTCAGATTAAGTCAGTTTATTAAAGGAAGGAGACTTTCGCCCTTGAGCTCCCTATTCATATCGATAAACAGAAATAAAGTCATCAATTACATCAGCAAATGCGAAAGGTTAAAGAGTTAGCGGTAAGTGTGCGCCAAGTGCAAACTGCCGCCGCTAGAACAATCATTATCATATGTTCAGTAGTTTCTCAGCAAATGAGTATCTAGTCTACACTTAAAGGATTCAGCAGTTTAGGAAAAACCCACCTCATCAGGGAGTCCGTTCCATGCCCCAGTGACCCTGTGAGAGAAGGCGTTCCGTCGGACGTCCGAATGAGCCCGCTTCCTTTGCAGTTTGAAGATATGACCATGCAGACGGTCAGTCCCGGCCAATTCAAAGAATTTATCAAAGTCTAGGGCACACTCACGGCTTCTGACAATCCTGTAGGTTTGAATGAGATCGCCGTGCAGTTGCCTGTAATTTAGAGGAAACAGATTTAGTTCGGTCAGCCTGGTTTCGTAAGGCAAATGATGAAGATTCTTGACCATCTTCATAGCCATCGCCTGTACTCTTTCCAGTCTTTGATAATCTTTCTTCAACCACGGTCGCCAGGCCTGGACTGCATACTCAACGTGAGACCGGACGAATGCCCCATAGGTTTTTCCGAACAGCTGTTTATCGATCTGCATAAATTTTCGCCTCAGCGCAAATAACACCCTTATCGCACTTTTGGCTGCCCTTTGACACTGTGATGATGGTTTCAGCGAGGAGGTCATTAGGACGCCCAGGTCTTTCTGTTCCACAACATTTGAAAGGGGCTAACCACCAAGGGCGTATTGAAAGGAATCGTCCTCCTTACTGGTCTTTTGGTGAGGAGTCTCAGGACCACACATTTGTCCACATTAAAATTGAGGAGCCAGCGAGCTGACCAACTGTTCAGGCGGTTGAGACTGTCTTGAAGCGCGTACCTGTCTGCGTCAGATCTGATGGGTCTCCACGGCTTAACATCGTCAGCAAACATGATGGCGCTGCATCCCAGGTCGTCGACGCAGTCGTTAATGTAAACCAGGAATAGCCACGGCCCCAAGACGGAGCCCTGGGGTACACCACATAGAACGGGAGTAGGAGTTGACCCTGAGGCCTCAATGCACATGGTTTGCGATCTCCCGGTAAGAAAATCTGTTATCCATGTCAGCAGCCTTCCTCTTATCCCAATTTCAGAAAGTTTGTAGATTATACGTTTGTGTGGGACGCTGTCGAACGCCTTCTTAAAGTCTGTGTAGATGACATTGACCCTAACATCCTCGTCCAGTGCGCGAGTCCACTGCTCCGTCGAGAGCAATAAACTGGAAAGCCACGAGCGGTTCTGTCTGAAACCGTGCTGCAGGTCTGAGATGAAATGGCCCTGCTTCAGGAACTCCATAGTTGCTTTCTTAACTATGGCCTCCATTATTTTACAGCAGATGCAGGTTAGACTAACAGGCCGGTAATTGTTAGCATTAGTGCGAGCCCCACCCTTGAATATCGGAACGATATTTGCTGTCTTCGATTCCGATGGCAGCCTCCATAATTTAAATGACGAGCGGAAGATGTGCGACAGTGGTATGGAGAGTTCATTCGCCAGTTCTTTCAAGAATTTGGCCGGTATATTGACCGGTGAATGTCTCAAAATTTTTTTCTTGAAAAATAAGAACCCACAGAAAGACGCAGCATCCCATCCTCCGAGACGCTCTCCGAAATCCCATAGTTGATGCCTAGTTAATCGCTGATAGCTCCAATGCTTTCCTGTTCAAAACGTTCATTGAAGACTCGACCACTCTGATTCCGACCATCCAGGCATTGACCGGAGCAGTTCTAGAAAACATTCACTCTTCACAAAACACTGTATGGGATGTGACTGTTGCGATTCGGCGTTTTCGTCAATCTTATAGTCCAGGCCTTGATGGTGTCCCAGAAAGCATCTTAAAAGCCGATGCAAACACGATCTTCTCATCCGTCTTAAGCAAGGTCTTTAATCTTGCTCTTGCAAGTGAAACCTATCCTACCTTGTGGAAGGAATCACACATTTTGCCCATGCCTAAGCATTGCCAATCTACGTCATTTGATGACTTTCGGCCAATAAACGCCCTCCCCGCAGTTTCGAAGATCTTAGAGACATTGATCAAAGATAAGATGATGTGTCACTTAACAGTGAAAAACCTACTGAGTGCTGCTCAGCATGGATTCCTCAAAGCTCGATCTTGTGTTACCTGTCAACTATCTATCTTTGACTATGTTCTCCAATCTAGGGGCAATAGTTTTGCGCTTTTCACAGTATATTTCGGTTTCGCTAAGGCTTTTGTTCGTGTTGACGAAGATCTTCTTCTCTTGAAACTGTTCTCTTTCGGAATAGGAGACAAGCTTTTGAATTTTATATCCTTTTACCTGGGCACTCGTACACAACGAGTTAAGATTTCCAATACTATCTCCAACCCCACACGTATGAGGACTGGAGTCATTCAGGGTAGTGTACTCGGCCCGCTTTTATTTTTCCTTTTCGTTAGTGATGTACGCGATTTATTTCAGAATGGTAAGCCTTTCATGTATGCCGATGATCTTAAAGTTGCAGGTGGAGACATCGTGCTCGAGCTCCTAAAGAGCGGCCTACAGGATTTCGCCCAATGGTGCCGTACATGGCGCCTTTCTCTTTCTTAGCATATGTGCTCAGTCATGGTGGTTGGCGACGACCGCCAACCTCAACTAAATATTGAAGGTCACGCCATAAATGTGTCCGGGGTTATTAAATATCTGGGAGTATCATACTTCAAGAGTCTCAATCTCTCCGAGCACTGTGCCTTGATAGTCTACAAAGCACGTAGAACGACCGGGTTTATCCTCCGAAACCTTAAAACTAGTGACATTAGAATGCGCCTTTACAACATGTACGTTAGACCTGGCCTGGAATACTGTTCGTTTTCATTTAGCCTTATGCGTGCTACTGAGCCGAAGAAAATAGAATCCGTTCAACACTTTTTTTACCAAGAGAATTTTAACCCCAGAACACCGACATTTGTCTTACCAAGAACGTTGCCGGCTTACGGGCCTTGATCCTTTATAGTTTCGTAGATTACAAAAGGGACTATTTTTGCTATTTATGCTCTTATATAATCACACATTTAACCCGCTGACTTCTTTAAGGCATCATGTCCACCCCCGACGTAACAGTCGCCGTGAGGTCTTTTTATTTCTTCATCTGGCACGTACTGTTAAATATCGTTGGTTCTATTCTGTTAATGCAATTGCTCTTTGGAATAAACTACCAATGAGTGTGAAGACGCTGCAAAATTATCCTTTATTTAAGAGAACTATTACTCGATTTTTGCACTCAGAAAAGCTTCCTCAAATTTTGGGTGCTGAATCCACTGATCGACTTTACCGTAGCGATGGCGTTTGTGGTCTCTGAACACTATGGCCGGTCTCACTAGGGACAATATATTTGGTCATCAGCGACAGTTCTTTTTCGATGCCTCTATTTTGAATATCCCCAAACTTCATGAAAGTAATTGGCGTCTGATAATCTCCGATACCGTACATCCCCTCCCTTCTTGACGGTCGAAAGCTTGTCGCCAGCAGTATTTTTTCGCCTGAACCCTCCATTCCATAAAACCACCATCAGCTATATTTTTATTCCTTTTCCACAGGAGTTTTTTTTCACCACTGGCCGGATTTGTGTTTAACGCTTCCCTGTTAATGCCTGTAAACTTGCATTAAATAAAATAATTAATTATTGACCGCGTTGGTCAACCAAACAGCTCTCATGTTGCAGGCAGACCTCGCAGTCTTTTTCGAAACGTTCAGAAATTCTTTAACACGCATGATTATGCTCCCACACAGATGACCTTCTCTGTTCGTCGTAAATATTTGCTTTCCAGGCAAGGATATTCCAACCTCGTCTTTCTTTATGCACAGCCAGGTTTCGATCGATATTACCATGTTTGCGGACAGGTCGCCAAAACAAATTCTTTATTCATCGAGTTGGTTAGCAGGGTAGTGTAATGTGCCCGATCGGCATTACAGAGACGGCCCAGAGAAAGGAAGACTAGTAGAGTGGTCTTATGTTCTAGGAGACTGTGTACAAAAAGAAACAACGGAATAAACCAAATTACAAAAATGAAGTGGGACCGGGAGATTGTCCACGGGGAGCAGCGGAGAGCGCAGGGATTCATCGGAGACGGCGACGGTGTTCCGTCGTCCGAGGAGCTGCGGCTTGCCACGGGGTCGTCGGAGGTTAATCCTCGCCCGCATTTATAACCTTTTCAAGCGTCTACGTTGAGTCCACCATTGTGATTGGTTGGGGGTGGTTTAATGACGAAAAGTTAAACAAACTTAAGCTAGGAATATTCTCACTAATTTATGGTTATATTATTTTATTATATGTAAAACTTTATAAGAAGCTAAATTGTGACTAAGTATTTGGCGTATAAACACGGTCAAATTCTGCCCGCGCCTTCTAGAACTTTCTACAACATGGCAGTGCATAAGCTAGCTTTCTAGAACTTCCTACATTGTGAGCATTTATCTACAGGATCCCTAAGTTCACACTGTCGACGGTTACTGTATGGATAGCCGCAGTACTTTGAAGTGTCTTATCAGATCCCATTATTCAGATCTACTTGGTTGTACAATAGGTTTTCTCACTTCTACTTTACGCGGGCAACACCATCAACATTACTCTCTTGCACCAGAGGCCACAGTTCCTCCGCCTAGTAAACTCGTGCAAGTGATGTCCCACACTTTTGCTCCGATTCCTGGGCTCGATTCTCATTCTGAGCCCATATTATGTTCATTCAGTCGCGTTCCTGTAAACTCCTGTGAATAAGATCTTTTGGACATCCTTGTATGTTTTATCGTAGTGCCCATATACCTCTTTTTCCAGGCCCTGAGGTCCATTCCAAAGACACGCCAGCAGTATTGACCATGGTTGCACTTGTCGCTTAATCATGTCCAAATTTCTGATCACCTTACTTTGCGATCTCAAACTGAAATGCCATCTTTTCTGATGTACGTTCGAATCCCTCGATCAGTCAGAGGCCCTTGACCTTGTATCCACGAGTATACTGTCTTTCTGAACTTAGGATCAGCAATGTTCGCCTCTATCCCATCTCCACCGATAAAATCCTCGTTATGACTTAACGTATCTGATAGACGTTCGCGAAAATACTTTAGAAATAAATACACAACTGTGGGAATGCATCCTGACATGTTTCCTCACTACTAACGATAGAATTCAACCAGTTAGATATTTATGCGCAATAAGCCCCCGGTCTTTAAAACGTGACTTACATAATAGCTTGCAATTCGTTACATGAAGGGGATTTCGATTAGCTGGGTTTTAAATGTCGCTTTTCTGAAACAGGTTTATAGAATAGTTTTAGGCTCCAGAGGTTTGCCTTTGGATTTGTATACTCGGTTAATTGTATACAACGGGTCACAATTTAAAGGTAATCTTGGGTTTTATGACAAGTCTTTTTCGTTTCGTGTTATAAACATAATTTCTCCAATTTCCGCATAGCCACTTTTGTCTTCATTTGAGCCACGGTCAGCGCAGTCATCTAATTTAGAGTTAACCCTTCAATATCCGATCAATGAGATTAGGAACACAGACTTTTTAATATATCATTTAAAATCTAAGTGATTAACACCTAAACAGATTGCGTTTCTGTTTTAATAAGCACGTCATTAGGGCGAGTAGTTTGTTGTTGCGAGGTTTGCCTTTGGCTGTTGCTCATGCACCTTTTAAACTTCCCTTCACAGTTACCGGATAGATAAAAGGGCGTGACGAACAGACAAATGAGGCCGTAACTTTAAAATAACCAAATAGTGAATTGCTTGGTTAATTATTCTGTTATTTGGCACAACGACGCGATAATGCCCGACCGAGAATTTTTGTCACTATTGTCCCTCCCCACTAGCTGCTTTTGACTGAAAATCAGTATGAATAGTCAAGAAAATAAGACTTTATTAGGTTATCGTGATGTACGTAGTCTTTCGCCAAACTGTCTTCTGTTTTTTGACCGTATACCAGAAAAGCGACTGCCTGCAATTTTGCGTGCTTGTCCGCGGTTTTCTAACTTCTGAAAAGTTTTCGGCGGGATACTAGTTTGAATTCTATCAGGGTTTCTTGAAACAAAAACAACTTGAAATTTCCAGTTTGATAGAGGATTTTCACTTGACGCAGGGCTTTTAAGTAGACGGAATCGTCCCATTATTCCGAATCTCCCGAATTTTTCCACACATTTGTGCTCTTATACAGAGGGAATAATTCAAAAGCCTGCGACCGCAAGTTAGCAATTGATATCATCCTCCTAACATGCTCACTGTTCTATTTGATCTGGGTCAGGCACTACTGCGGTTTACTCTGGGATTGAGAGGTTCATGGGCGATAGCTCGCACATGCTTTATTCGCCCTTCTGTTACTGCCATGCTTTTCTCGAGGGCAACCTAAAGCAAGTGCTATCAAGTCAAGTCTCGTGCCGCCGACCAGAAGTCCCTGCATGTGTTCTGGTTTTCCTGTCCGTCGACCCTTTAGGACATAATAAAACTGCTCAGCGTTATCCTGCTGCAGCTTGCTGTCACGGTTGTCCCAGTTTGTTTTAATCTGCTTTATTAGGTTCTTATCAATAAGACCTTTCCGGATTGTTCGTTTTCTTGCCAATCTCAAGTCATATTTTTTGTGCAGAACTATGGGCGAAGTATCTAATTTAATGCTTCCAAAATAATACCATATGGTCGGCTATCTTTCTAACGGCACATCTTCATTTCAGCATCCTTTCACACTGGCGTATCTGCTTTTCTCGTCTTGTTTCTTGTTGACATTTCCATCACCAGTCTTTTGCGTTAAATATTAATTTCACACAATGTATTGTATTGCTTGTAGAGCACTGACTCAGATGCCTCGCCCACGTCTGACCGATGATGATGGTGACGAGAGTTTGCTCCTAATACCCCCATCAAGGATGCGAAACATGATGAAAAGTTCTCCTGATGTTGATTGTGTTAGCGCCGAGTCTGTTATTTGCTTGATTAAGGCTACGGTAACTCGAATAATAATATGCGCTAATTAGTGTTTTCACCCAATAGGAGATGTTCATCAAGGAAATTATAACCCTTTCATACTCAAAAGCGTCAGGCGAACTCACATACGAAAATCTATCCAAGACTCAATCACAGTTGTCGCGATATTCCTTCTTATCGGACATACTTCCTCCTAAGATTACTTTTAAGGAGTGGACGGAGAAATACAAGCATCTTTATGAGCAGTCTTATGCGATTTCTTTTCTGACTTCAAAGATTATGAAAGGGGTATGGTTCCCGTAAGGTTCAGTTTTTGTGTTGAGCATCCGCCGCCAGCTCCCACCCTCGTTTCAACCACTAAATTCAATTGCGCTTCGTAATTTGCACCCTTAAGTTCCTAGGTGTTTGGGATCTTCTGCGTAAGAACTGTCAAATGATCTGTGCTGCCATTAAGAATATTAACCCGACTAGTCCTACACCCACAAGTCGGAATTCAGGTCGTTGGATCTGAGCGCGCCTTACAAACTTGCATTCTTTAGTTAGTGATCAGCTCATCAGACCAAGATTTTTGTGAGACACTGTTTTTGTTGAGGTAGTCGCTCTCCTAACTGGTCTACCAGATACTATGGTAGTAGAGTCGGAATATCCTAATCGCAGAACGGAACGCAGTCATCTCGTTTTGCCTGTACTTCGTTCTAGAATGACGGTGCCCTGTTCCGCCCTCGTCTGGCTGGGTTACTTATCCTTCCATACCTCCCATGCGGATCCTGACCGTAATTATTTCAACATGTGCCTCACGGACTGCGCATGTCTCTGGTTTCCGGAGCTTCATATAACTGAGCAGGCTTGTCGGTTTGCTTTGATCGGGAAGCTGGCCATCCTTTGTCAACCTGGAGACCAATGTTCCAGCCATATCCAGGGCTCTGGAGGGCACTGACGTTTTCATCAGTCTGGTCGACACTAGAAAAGCATCTGGGAGACGCCAGAGCCTCCAAATATTCTGCGGTATTGGCATTGACACTGTCGGCGGCATACTTGTACTTGGTGCAGCTGTGATCATGCCTGATCTAGCTGGCTTCGATGATGTCCCGAACTGTGCCTGTGCAAGACCGTGGGACCACCAATATGATCTCCGTCGTCCGCCAGCTATAAGAGAAATGCCAGGAGACGCGGATCCACCTACACACTATCTTTGTTGACCTGACGAAAGCCTATGACACCGTGAAACGTGATGGACTTTGGAAAATCGTGCAGGAATTCGGCTGTCCTTCGGCTGACTACGCTGATATCGCCGATAGTCTCTCTCCGCACGTCACTTACTATAGACCACGACCCAGTCCCTTCGTCTAAAATGTTCTTGAGTAGAGTATTTGATTCAGATGCTCAAAGACTAATCCCGGTTTTCAGCTACAGTTAGCTCCCAGTAAAGCAGCGTAAGGTCAACTAAATTGGTAAACGGCACAATGGTAACAGATGTTTGAGATAACGCATGGAAATCTCAATTGTCGGCTGTCCTGACAATGGGAGAGCCTCAGAAGTATTTGAAGCAACCAATAAAGTGAAACCTACCCTCTTTATTCTTATGTTTTCTGCCATGCTGATGTGCGAAGACCGTAATTTTTTTTATGGCTGCGATCATGCCTGATCTAGCCGGCCTCGATGATGTCCCGAACTGCACCTCTGCACGCGTGATAATCTGCGGCAGCAGATCTGAACAGTTCAATCCATTCTCTTCGCCAACGACGGAGACCGAATATCAAAGGTCCAAGAACCACCTCCATGTATTGACGAACTGTGTCGAGCCAGGTTTTAAGTTGAACCCCTCTTCAACGCCTCCAACGGGGTAGCAGTGCCGGATCGAGGGCAATTGCACTGAGCTCCTGAGTTGGACGAAGAAAGAATGCTCAAACAACCTCAGTCTTTCTTGGATGGCCTGGATTATCCTTGCGACGTTGTCGCAGCGAGCCCGGACTGTCTCATTTGAGACGAAGTCGGTACACTTCACTCGAAGGATGGTCATCAAGCAGCGATGGTCAGAAACCTCCAGTTTTCGTTTGTCCTCTACGCGCACAGCCCATCATTCACAGCCATACAGAGGGACAGACCGGACAGATGCACGGTGCACGCGGATCTTAGTGGCGATGGAGAGGTCGCGTCGAATCCATTGGCATTTTCTAAGACTTGAAAAAACCCGTCCGGCAGCATCCATTCGGGAGACAGTGTCATCTTTGCTCTGCCATTTTGGCGGCAGCCTCGCCCCGAGGTACTTAAAACTGTCTACTTCTTCAAGTTGACAGCCATAAATCTCGAGAGGTGCCTTCTCCTGGTCAGGGATGCAGCTTGAAAACACTTTAGTCTTTCCAGCGTTTATGGATAAACCGACCGATTTATCGGCCTCGATTACCCGTGACACCATAGACTGCAGATCACCAAAACTTGAAGCAAGTAAGGCAATATCACTGGCATAGTCGAGATTCGTCAGTCGGTGTCCGGATGCAAACTCAACACCGTCACTTTCTTATAGTGCCCTCCCGAGAATCCAGTCAATAGCGTAGTTGAGCAGAATGGGCGACATAATACAACCCTGTCGAACGCCAGACCGAATACCAAACGGTTGCTAAAGATTGTCGTAGACCAGAACACGCGCACCGGTGGAGCGATAACAGGCCTTGGCCATGGTGATGATTTTTGGCGGTACGCCATCTAGTGTTCCTACCCGCCAGAGGGACTCGCGATGGACCGAATCGAACGCGGCGGCAAAGTCAACAAAACAGACGGCCGTCAGTCACTGGTAGCTATGGCGAAATTCGAGAACGCGCCTTAGTGTGAATATCTAGTCTCGCATCCATGTCCAGCACGAAATCCGGCTTGGTTGGGCTTTGTCCTAGAATAACGCACTGCCTGGAATCGCCCGAGTGGAACAAGATGACTGTGTTGAGTCCCCAGGTCCAGTCCGGCCATTCCAACCCTCGGCAACAATCAGCAGATCGCGGCGAGGGAGTCTTTCAACTAACGGTTGCAGCTGCGAGTATGACGCCTCTTTATCGCGCTGTTCGGTATCTGAAGGTGGTGTGTACACAGAAACGATAGAGACGTTCGTGAATTGGCCCTTCAACCGCACGTAGGCCATCCGGTCATTGACTGGTTTCCAGGCAAGTAAAGCATGGTTCGCTTGTTGCGAGTGGGGGATCGCCACGCCGTGTCTACCATATGAGTCGCGTGGGCCGCTGTGGTACAGGATTAGGTGTGAGTCGATTTCCGGGATCATAATTTCCCGAGAGCCTGAGTCAGGAAGTCGGACCTCGGACAGGCAACAGACATCCCCATTGTATTGATAGAGGCTGCGGACGGTCAATCTTTGGGTAACGGGGCCCAGGAACGTTCGCACATTCCAGCATCCAATACCAAGAGTCTGTCCCCGATTGAGTATTCCAGCTCGCATATTATTCGCCCGCACCACTGAACCAAGGTTGCGGGAAGCGTCGGTTCCCGCGGACACCGTAGCATGGGTCTTAATACTATAGTCGGACATAATTCATGAGGTTCTTTGGGAATTTTGGCTACAGGCGGGTATTCAGCAGCTGTTTGAATTGTTTGTTCGAGGTTTATCTCGTCTAGCGCTCTGGCTTAAAAGCCTTACCACAAGGCAGCGGTGGCAAACAAACTTCTTTAATGGCGGTTTACGGTCTCTATATGTCACAAGGCCTTCATTGGGCTTTGCGGCTTTTTTATAAGACTTTCAGTGTCAGACCTCGGCCCTTCTCACCCCGGTAGCACTATGGCTGCTGGTCCGCGACTGCTTATTCGTCGGACCTGGGTCTGCTTATTTCGCAGCCGTTTCAGCATCCGCCACCTGTGGACGCGCCCGGTTGCCAGCAGCTAGGCTAACAGGCAGCTCGTCTTCCATTCCTATCGGCGGCATGACTGGAGACGTAAAACGATTACTGGAGTAAACGGACATCTCCCATCATTGAAACCGTAACCCAAACTAACAGATGATATTCTGAGTGTATTGGAATCTGTTCGCCTGCCGGCAAAGGGCTGCGTTTACCTAACCTTGTGACTTCAGTTGTCAGAGCAGAAGTGTGCCGAAAACAAACCTGAGAGAAAATGGTGACAGATAAGGCAGTGAGCACATTTGATGCGGGACGAAGGATTCGCCCACCTGACTAACTGCTGCCAATGCGGCGCGCCCACTAGATGGCGAATGTTGTTTGCTGTCGTTACTTTACCGGCTAGAGCCTAAGCCACAGGCTTAGCGAGACGAGATCTAAACCCTCACCAGTACTCCCAACTTACACCTTGGACTATGGATCCGGCTAGACTAGTATGGGTCCTAGCCGAAACAACTCAAACCTGATGACGGCAGACATCTTGAACACAAATTGTCATTAAATGAATTCGCCTGCCGGCACTAGATTGCGATTAAATACAACTCAGAGGGTAGACGAGAAGACACTGCTGGGAGATTCCACGAAGCCACATACACCCCGAATTTCCAAAAACGGTGTCCAAAAACCCCAGCGGGTCTCATTACGTGATTTTGCCCGTGGGAAACGATGAGAACTAACGCTGTTCCGTAACTGGTGCAGTGCTGACTTGCTTGTTCAATTGTCTAGAGTCAAGCGCACTTTCGTGAGACCTGCCTCACTCACCCCATACACACCGAGCTTAGGTGGCAGCGCAAACTTAAGACGACCAAAGATAGGCATAGACGCACTGAATTATGAAACTAAACGGCCTGTCTACGCGTGCTACACACGAACTTACCACCAACATCGCATGTGGCGGGCTGTAATTAGGGTGTCCTGGGTCTCACGCAGGTTATTTGCATAGGTCGTGTTGAGGAGGTACTGCATTAGACCTGAGCGGAACTGAATTATCCCATCGATTGTCAACCTTCCGAGCAACGAAATTTGGCACACCGTGACAGTCCAAAGGCGTGAGCCATTAAGGTCAGAGATGCGCTGATTTTCCTCCTCGGAATCGGCCTCGTTCCGCCCCCTTTTCCAAGCGCCAGCGGACTGTCTAAGCCTGTCGACCGACGAGTAATGCTACTGGGCATAGCGGCGCAAAGTCATCGCGTGCCACGCAGGAAGGCCGCGAAGGTGCCACGAAGGTCGCAAATGTCCACAATCCCATATTGCACGTGCTACATCGGACATTTAGGTACTCATGGATTGTGGAACTGTTAACAGATGCCCCGTCGATGTTCAAAATAATGTAGATTGGATGGGTAGGCTGGAGCCTAAGCTCGCGTACAGAAGCTGTCTGCGGAAATCGGGCCCGGCTAGGATCAAGACCAAGCGGGCGTCGACCTGTGGGAAGGGGTTAGGCGGCAATATACAGTACAGTCAATGATTGCCAAAAACACCGATGCTTGGTACTGGTGACAATAGCATGGCCCAAGCATTATAGGAGACAAGGATGAAGTCGAGTCACAGAAAATCCGTATTTTATTATCCCTGAGTTCTAGTTGAAAATGCCCAGTACATTACGTGAGCCACCACAAATACGTTGATGCTGTTGCCTAGTAAGCGAAGCCGTTGTTTTTCGTTTATTTCTGGTGGGAATTCTACAAGAGAATAAATAGTACTGACAAACAAGACCAGGGGGAGTTTTTTACCCGAAAGATTTTATACTTACTGAACGATGGAGGGAAACACATGAGGTTGGCAACTTCTTGGGAGTGGAAGTAGCGAAGTTTTGGAAAATCGTCCACATTCGTACTGGCGTCCCCTGATGCCCTGGACTGTGAAATCGAGAAATAGTAAGGCTGAGAAGATGGTCACTTCAAATCCTGTAAAATACGTCATCTGACCACTCCTACAGTTGGCTACGATATCCGATGAGTACGCTAAGTCATTAAGCTTTAAGTCAGGAAATGCTAACCCGCCGAAAGACATGTTACGTGGGGCGAAATCGTCGATGGCGTAGGGATTTAGTTCCACTTAATTTAGGGTTTCCAAAACAACCGGTAATCTTTCGCCCATTGCCTTTGCGCTACCAAAGGGTTATTACCTCAGATTTGTTAACTGTCCTTTCAGTGTTAAGGGACCGCTCAGAACGTTCTTAGATTATTTTCATGAATGGTCAGTGACCTGATATAAAGTCCCCTTTTATCATTAAAAAAAATCGAAGACCTGCGATATAGGAGGAAGGATATACATGCACGTTTGGGGAACCCACCGTCGAATTGTCGTCAGGGAGAAGGAGAAAGGACCCGGTGCCTTCGAATCGTTGGGAGTAGCCCTTTGTAAAACAGGCACTCTTGTGGCTATCAGGAGTGACGATATCCAGCGCACGATAGAACTTTGTCACCTTTTCCTCGCTAAGACGGAGACTGTCCTTTCATAAGTGCTGCAATTAGTAAAAAAAATTGGAAGGCCTACCGGCAGGTCGGCGTCGGGAAGCAGGAAGTCCGAAAGAGGACGACAAAACTCAAGATATTCATCAAAGTGCTCAGACGGTGTGGATACATGCCTAAACAGAAAGTACCGACAAAAGCAGATTACTTTAGTTTCCCCGTGCAGGCAGTACAACCGCAATTAGGAAGGGAAGGTGCGTCAAAAGGCGGTAGTCGTAATATGCTTTTTTCCCAAAGTTGGAGCATGTCTGTTACCGAAGTGGCCTTATCGGGGGCTGGCAGGGATCCAGAGAAAGAAAATGAGCTCTTGTCCGAGGCACCGCGCCAAATTGCGACCAGATAAAAACGTAATCGGCAGTTGGGTATGCCAAATTGGAGGGGTGTAAGCAGGAATTGCTGACAGTCAGAAAAACAAAAAACCGGTTTAGTGAACTCAAGATGCTAAGTACAGTACAGCAGTGAAAATGAAACACAATAATTCCTACAACGACCGTCTTGAAATCCGATGAATTACAGGAATTACAGGGGAGTGGGGAAAACTAGTCTACTAGTGTTCACCTACTTTTCGGGAACCAGTGTATGTTATGACGCAGCTGTATCGGTTAGGGGCGCTAAGATGTGCCCTTTGCATGTCATGCTTCGCCTGTCCACTCCAACTAACAAGCATGGAATATCAGGAGGCACAGCCAATTCCGTTATTAGAACGGCCATTAACTGCTAATCTGGTGGCCCAGTATCATGGACAAGCGAAGGTATCACCCCACTTAAAACTGTCAACTGTATTTTTGGGCCCTTTAACACAACGGACTTTTATAAGTTCGTATTGAACGGGGTGATCTATTAGTACTCTTAGTTGATTCCACCAGCACCGGTTCACTCGGCTCCATACTGCAAACTCATGATGTTACGAGCGGTCGTTTTCCATCAAAGTCGGTCGGCGGCAGATTCCCGAAACGTGCTAAGCCAACTGGCACGCTGAATATCACAGGCTTGAGAGATATCATTACGCCCACGCGGGTTTTGGGCTGGGAACCTAGACATCGTCACAGGAGTAGGGCGAAAGGGCACCCTGGACCGTCGAGACGACAGAACCAAGACATATAAGATCGAAACTGTAGGCAGACACAAGCGACTACAGAACACATGCTTTTACACAGTTCTAACTCAGTAGGCACGGACACTGAGCATATCTTGGCTATGAGGTAGCTGGATAAGGCGTAGAATAAAGACCGAAGGCAAAATCAATGAGGTGGCCAGTAGACAACATTATCAGGCAAATAATCCTGTCATCTTTAATTAATACCTCGGTCCAGTTACGACTTTAATCATGCAAACAACCCCTTAAAGCTTAAATCCACCGACAACAAGTTTTATGCAAATATAATAAGCACAATGTTGGAAGTCTAAGCGAAAAAGCAACGTCTTCTATGAATTGGGTAGCGACTCCAGGTCTGACGAATTAGTGGAAGCTCACCCGAATTTCGTATCCGGAGTGGAACAGCGCCTCTAGAAGTTCTTTCCATGCGTCCGACAGCTCAAATCCTTTAACGTTTTCCAAGAATATTGCAGCTGGGCGGACACTTTTTATTAGAAACAAGTATATACGTCTGGATAAGGGTTATGACCCGATGGAAGGAAAGACTGCGATTGTCTTCGCCTAGCTTTCGCTTGCCCATTCGAGTAAAAGGTTGACAAGGCGGACTCATTGTCCATAAATCGGCCTTGAGTCCTAGACATTCAGATTCGGATAGGCTCTGGATACTCCGCTAACGAATAAAATTACCTCCAGTGTGCGGTTGCATGCGAGCATGCCGGGATGGACAGAGTTATATACCTTATTAGCGGTGTCGTTGATGTCGAGAGCCTTCACAACCTCGAATTCCAAGCCAGAGGCTGGAAAGGTAAAAAAGAAAAGAATTTAAACCTGACAATGCCAAATGCATCCCTCCAATTCCCGAGTACAACTCTAGGACCCGCATGACAGGCTAGACATAAACCAAAATAAGCATCGCGCTTGAAAAGTTCAGCAAGTATAACTTGAAGTGTGAGATGATTTGGGTGCTGCTAGAGACGAAGGGCTTCCGATCTTCACTCATCTAAACATGCTTGCACCTCACCTACTGAAGGAAGCGTCGAAGCTAGTTGAGATGGTGTACTTGGAAGATTTTAGGTAGGGGAATGGGAGGAAAAGATAATCTCAGTAATCAGTATGAAGTCGATGATGGTGAGAAGGAGAACGCAGCTGAGCGGCCATCCTGTGTTTTCTTAGCCTCACCGTCTCACGGCTGCATGTCTTGCTGCCGTGATAGACAAGTTAGAGCACGTGTTTCAGATAAACATCATTTACCAATTTGAAAGCCCTCGAAACTCGCCCTACCACATGGTTCCCAGGGGCTCCAGTGACGACTGACGCCCCGGGATGACTACAAAGCCATGAAATACGCCACCGTCCCGCGCCGTTACCTTGTTTCGAATCCTCGGGATTTTTCCTATGTCCTATCCGACAAGTCTGCCTTTCAGAAGACTAACCTGGTCGGATCTTTTGCTAAGCACAGATATCCCCAGAGAAGGTTTCAGAGGCGTGTGCCACTATCCCTTTGACATCTTTGGGTTCTTACGTATTCCCTTTTGACTCCGAGACGTCTTCAAAATTTCTGGGGGTTCATAGACAGAATGCTTTTGCGGCCTGCCCTTTGTCCAGGCCTATACTGACGACATCTTGGTGGTCAACTTCCCACGAAAACATAGATCATCCTACACTGGTATTTAACAGACCTCAACAAGCTGGTGTTGTTCTTAACCCGTTTTAATGTGTCTTCGGAGCGCCTTCCCTCAGGTCTCTCGGGCATCTGATAGATTCGTAGGGCGTCTACACTCTCTTTTGAAAGTCGCATTCACGCATTTATTCCTGCCCTCCATTTTCAAGCATCAGCTGCACCGCATTCTTAGCATGATGAATTTCTACTGCCGGTTTCTCCTAAAGTGGTCGACACCATCCTGTCACTCACGAAAATCACATCGGATGCCAAAGGTTCGTTTGAGCTCCTCGATGCCACTCTTGATTCTTTTGATAACGTGGAGAAAGGACTGATCAACACCACCCTCCTGATGCATTCTGCTCCCGACACCTAATTTCTCAGTGCCGCGGTTCTCCAGCAACACCTTTCGGGTCAGATTCAATCCCTAGCTTTTTTCTTCAGGAACTTGTAAACTGCCAAATCATGCTATAACACATTTGGACAGGAACTTCTTGCAGTCTATCTATTCGTGATACACTCCCGGAACATACTTGAGGTCAGGGACATCACCATACCCACGGGCGCAGTTGCTTTCTTTTGCTAGCAAACTGAATTCTGGTAAAACCAATTCCAGTGAGGTCTGCCAAATGGAACGCATTTCACTGTGCATCTCAGGCCTCCGCCACATCGACAGGTGTCGGGATGAGGTGGCTGTCGCACTGTCCAGAACCCGTCCCAAAAGTCAGCCTCCCCGGTTTTCCCTGTGAAGACTATGTTCCCGGACTATAATTACAGGACCTCTCACCGTCTACTGGAGATGGCACACTTCCCTGCAAATTCTCTACTGCCTCTCACCGTCCCTCTGTGCCGCCATCTCTTGGCTGCCATGTCCTTTCATCCTTGCACAGGCCCTATCACCCTGGGAGTCGAGCTATCGCCAAGGCGGTTTCCGACCGCTTCGTGTGGCCTGAAATGCAGAAGGGCCTCAGCGATGAAAGATGCGCGTGTATCGGCCATCAAAAGAACAAACTTAGCGGCATTACAGGACCCGGATGCAAGGTTTATTTTCGTCCACCTGGATATTGTAGGCCCTCTGCCTTAGTGCAGCGGCTGCCCCATCTGTTCAGTTGTGCGGAATACCTCAGCCAGTCCCGGAACCCCTTCATCTGTCCAATATCGGGACTGCAACCCTGGTCAAGGTCTTTTTCAGGCTTTTGACTGTAATCTTTGATGTCCTTTAAACTACTACGTCTGATCGCGATGCGCAGTTTGAGTGTAGTCTCTTCTTTTCAGGTTGCACTTGTTTTCGTACGGCAGCCTATCATCCGGATGCTAATGGGATGGTCGAAAGATCGGAATTCCGCACCCTCTACCTCTCCACGCTGTCTATTCCATGCTCCCCCATTTTTACTCTCACCAAATGCAACTTCCTCATTAAGCTTCAACGCCCCACCCACAGGCCACACTCACCAATCTCCTGTCCCCTTTAATACACCGCTTGCAGAAGAAGCCAGCATCCCGATGTGATTGAAATTTCTTGGTACTAAGCAACACGATAATTAGCATGACAAGCATACTTAGATTATTTTATCGAATTAGAAACATATTTATGAATTTCGGTCAACATTTCATGAGATGGCATATCTACTGTATGTTCACAGCTTAAAACATAAACAAAGTATTATTTGCCAATAAATGTCCCCTATGACTTTAATATTCAAGAACATGCTTACGGACTGTTTGTGGAAAAGAAGCATAAGTGTCATCTCTCTTCTCTGCAAGCGCTCCCAGACGTGCTGGTTGAGTCAGTCGGCTGACTGTAGCAGGGACGTGCAGGCGCAGTCGGACAACCACAGTCATGCCTGCTCCATATAATCTGACGGACCACTTAGACATACGACCCTTAAATGCCATCGCATAAATTTACTACAGCAACTGGCCTTGTGGCATGATTCAACACGGTCAGCACACGCCCTGGCCTTGTCAACGGCGGCTGCTGCCTGAGATAGCAACTTAAGACTCTATACGGTATAAATTCCCTTTTTTGGTCTCGTCTGTCTTCTTATGCTAACCGTAGCCTGGTCTGATAGCCGTAATGGTTGGGTTACACCCACTGACCCAATGGTTAAATGACGTCATAAAAGGGCTACTAAACAAATGCAAATAATGGACGTAAATAGTACTCCAGCGATGGCTGTAACTCGTGACTGTTATAGTCACTTCGAGCTGCATTTAGTAATTGCGGTCTAAAATGCGGTACTTTCAGAGTTAAAGTATTCTTATGCTGTGCTACTCTGGCAAAGATTGGACTTAATTAAGAAAGACTAAGCAGCGCTCTGAGGCACTGCATATTGCCCTCACATATACAGATATACTGTACTAAGAATCCGCCAAGCCACAATAGAAACTTAGACAGTTAGCTCAAATCTTCAGTTAAACACAAGCAGTCCTAAGCGTATTTCTTCAAGGGATCCTTATAATTAGATTAATCAAGCGACACTTACCCTTCGGTGTACGTCAGGCACAAGGGAACCCCCTTAATAAAAAGGCGGTCAGTTGTCAGTTGTCTTAACCACGAACTAATACCGCGTCGACAGCGATCCAGAACGTCTGGGTAACCACTAATATGGCTAAATTGCAGGATGATGCTAACTTCTTGTGATGGGGACGCGGAACGCAGAGCACATCATACCATCATAACCTATGATCTTTTTGTCCAAGAAAGAACAATAAAGCCTATGATCGATTGGGTTTGGTATAAATAAATGAGAGAAAACTTTGACGGGAATTTCAAAAACGGCAAAATGCTGGTTTTATTTTCCAAATTCCTGAGCAGGGTACAAGGAAACTTGCTGGGGATGCAAAATTACGAAGGCGACAGTCTGGAAAGAAAAAAAAGGGGTGACGGTAGGGTGTGGGACTCCGCGTAGCTGGAAACATCGAAATAATCTAAAAATCCAGTGTGGTTGTAAACAGCACTTATTTTTCGCCGTTTCCATTGTTTGAGATTTCCATTCCTTCCTAGCTAAATATAAGCCTACCATTGACGCTTTATATAACGTCCCATTTTGAAAAATCCCTTTTGTTTATTTTTTAATTATCGCGCTCAGTTTCTTTGCCAAGTGACAGCTTGCGACGAGACTTTTGGCAGAAATCTATTCTCGGTGTCGCCTTGCCCTCCGTGCTGCGTGTTGTCTCATCCGTAAAACCCCCCTACCACCATTCAACCTATGACACGGTCCACAGGTTAGCTCAAGTTAGTTGGGGTCCTACATCCTACCGTTGCCGAAAAGGGAACTGCGCAACTGCTGTAAAATGATTAAGTTGGAAATGGGTCAGGAATACGAATGTGAAAGCCGCTGGACCAGATCACTTTATCAGTCGGTCGAAAGACTCAGACATGTCACTGGTACACGAGAGAGGGTATAGAGCGAGCGAAGCCGATATTGAAGCACTTTTCACCAATGCAATTCAGCACACTGATTACTACTTATACGCCCGGCGTTCTTTTAAGTGCCACGACACTAGCGGTAATGCCCTGGCGGATTTTTGGGCGACATAAAAACGGGCCCGCGGCCCAGTGGTTAGAGGCGTTTGACTTCCAGCTTACAGGTCACGAGTTCGAGCCCCAGGTGCTCCACACTTCGGGGTTGGATATGACTGGCTGGCGACGTCTAATAAGCCAGAAATGGCCATTCCAGTCTCCCTTGTCTTTGTCGGTAATGCCATTCTGCCTACCTTCTTTTTGAGGGCCTCGGAGATTTTAAGCGTCTGCTAGGCCAGGATCAGAAAATCATGGCTGCCGCAGCCTGGTGTGCGCTGACAGTTTTTAGGCACCCGGAACCATTCCAGCAGATATGCTTGCGCTCCCGCTGCGTATACAGGTCGTGAGCACGGCTGACCAGTCATCCTCGTTCCTCTGACCTGTTGTGGTGCTGTTGTCTCTTGTGGTGTGGGCCAGGGGGTTTGGTGGTACGCCTAGGTGCGGATCCGGCCGTGCCAACCACCTGCGTCCTCTCCTACCCCCGGTCTTGGCACCGGGTCCATATGGGGGGAGGAGGAGGGCGTGGTAGATGCGGCGCAAGTCTACTACCACTATAAATCACTTCACTTGCGAGTCACCCTCCCTGCTCTGCTGTGGAGCAGGGACGGTGAACCTAATCGGCAACGACGGTCGAATTACCATCTTATTTTTGAACGAGTCTGACTGTGATAGTTTCTTGTTAAACAGATATTTATGACACTCGTTTATGCACTACCTGAAACCCCCTCATGGGTGACCAGTACATGCGGACTTAAAAGTGAAGGTGTGTGCTGCACGCGTAGACGGGTCACTTACCCCCGCGTCCATGTCCGTCTCCAGTTGTCCTATCCTTCGCCGGAACATGGTGTATGCGGAGTGTCGCGTAGTGGGGCTGACGTCAGATGTCTGGAAGTCTGGTAGGCCAATCGACTATGCACACGGAAACCCCGTGGTTCCGAAACCCACGCACGATGCAAATCTGCATCCGATTTCAGCCGACAGTAAATGTCACCAAGACAGAGGGTGAGGGACTGGCGCGATAAAGGCCCTTCTTGTCTCCTTGGCTTCTGAGCTGTGCATGGGTATTTGTGAGGGGTGTCAATTGATGTCAGACCTTGACGATATTCACTCGAAATTGCCAGCCAAGATACCTTGATCCCCAATCTCCGCATGTAGGCCACATTGCCAACAGTGTCCACTTTCGCTTAAGGCCCACTGATCGGGGCTGGCGTCGTACGTACGCACTCACATTCCTCCATCTGTGTGGCACAATGCCCCTGAGCGGTCGAGGTCTCCCTGCCCACCTTCTCGACAGCGCCCCTGCGACGAATATGACGTTGCTACCGTTCTGTCCGCTGATCGGAAGAATAAACCTGACAATCAAACGAGGTCCTGCCAGCACATAACCATGTCTGTCTCTGCATGCCCAGCTTTTATATGGACACGTCAAAATCGTTGTGCCCTCGAAAAACCGCATTTCTTCGATGGTTTTCAGCTCAGAATCACAAAAACACTTCGTGAGATTACTTAACTTCAACTAACGGTTGTTTCCAGCTACTTGGGGAACCCGTTTGCAATATAGGGCAGATGATGGCGGTCATGCTAAAGGCCAACAAACCCAACCGCGTTGCTTTGTGAGCTAGAAATTTCATCTAGCAAATACCACTTTGAGTATCCGCATCAAAAGGTACTTAATGGCGAGCACCGACTTCTTAACCATCCCGTATTAGACTACTCAGTTTCGAAGGGCCTCGTGTAGATCGCAAAATGAGCCTTGAGAACGCTTCCCAGGGGATCTGACGGCAACCGAGAACACAGGAATCGCCTTGATCATACGTTAAGGATGCTTCCGAAAGCATAAGATCCCAGGCGTCCAACTACCAAACTTTACGAGGTAACTGACACTTTTTAAAGAGTAATTAACTCTGGATAAGCCGTGATACAACAGGAACCACATGCCCTGCCGTTGATCTGGCCAAAGTTTGTGAATTTTGCCATCAAACTTCGATTGCAAAAGGTCATTTTAGAGCAGACAGGACATTGTCTGGCTGTGAAATGATGTACGGGGGCAGTAAATTGAATCCAGATGTGATGTGCCAGTTAGTCAATTAACTGCTGACCAGTGAGGTAAACGTATTCCCTGTGCTGGGGATCGAGTGTGCAATGGCTTCTCTTAAAACAGCTTCTGCGACAGAATTAACTCAAGAAGACCTCAAATACTGACTCGTGTGTATGCAGAGAACGGCACGCGTAGACTGGAGTTAAGTCACCATGGCCACACAACAGGCGTGAAAATCGAGTTTGGTCGACGCTGAGCGAGTAATATTCACTAAAATTTACGCGCTATTCATCTCTGTACCCATGTTTTCATGACCTCTTAAGACGATTGGTATCCGTAGTAGTCATTAAAACTCACGAACAGGTAGATGGGACTTCAAGGGCTACATCCTATCAAAGATGACTACTCATGTGGGATTTCAGTAGCAGCCAAAGTTGATCGAAGTCCCAAGATGTGTAATTCACCGCGAGATCCTCCCGTCTCTTTTCTCGGGTCCACTCCCATGGTCGACTCAGCTGATTAAGTTATCACACTAGGTTTGAGCTTCCCAGACCGCCTCCCCAGAGTGCAGCTGAGAGGGAGACCCCGAAGTTTGATGGTAGCGTAAAATTATGCCTAATTTGTAACCATCTTGATCAAATCTCTCCCAGGAAAGGAACGGTTAGGACTGCCCACAGAGGCCTTTAAAGGTAAAAGTGGCCGCCCCACTGTCAAAGAACCCTTTCCGATCGGCACTCTTCTCACAGACACCCCAACCCCCATCGTCGAGCAAATTTTGACCCACCGAAGTGGCCTGAACCACAGTCTGGAGTCCGAATTATGGCTGGTTGATGACGGTCAACAAGCCCAGAACTGGGATTTTGGCTTCCTTCGTCCTTTCCAGTGATATTTCCCGATCTGGGGGTCGTCTTTTTCCAACGCCCGATCAATGCCGTCCGAAATTTGCGGATTCTACTTACTTTGCCACAATGGAGTTAAATCAAATAAATGGCATCGGCGTTGCAGGCTCACTTAAACAATCCCTCCGGCCTTATTGCAGACGGTTAGCCGAGAACTGGCAAATGCTATGGATAACTCTGCAGATACGCATATATAAACACTTGCAGATACATGAGTCGTGGTCGACCGCTGAGGCAGTGGTTTTTTTTAAATAACGTAATATTCAAAGGGGACGCCTGTAATAAGTTCGAAGGGCCATCCCCATCCTTCCAGAAGAAAAAACGGCGTCTTGTGATTTTCACGGCAGAATTATCTAAAAACTATATATACATATACACTGTTTGTGGTGATCCGAGAGGTTAGCTCGTCTTCGCGACGGTTGTCTGGGGTCTTTCAAAAGTGTCCTCGTCGGAGATGTTCATGACGCGCCGGCGCCACGCCTGCTGACGTTCAAAGCGCCGGACACGGGCGGCTTCGCGCTGGGCACGCAGGTGTTTCTCACGTTCTCGTCGGAGGTAGCGCAGAGTCCAGGCACCCCACATCTTCTCATCCTCTGCCTGGCTCGATCGACCTGCCACCTGAGGCTCGAGGTGTTCCTCAGTGAGACGGGTCACTGGACGGCCCAACTGATCCACTGCCTCCACCTCCTTCGGGCCGATCCACTCACCGCGCTCCAACTCGCAAATTGCTTTGTCACGTTCCTCGACCACCTTTAGTATGTTTTCCATGCTTTCTTCAACCTATCAGAAAGGACATAAGAGGAGGTAGAATACGACTGCGAATTAATCCATTTTGACCCAACTGTAGAAAACTCGGAGCCTCGGTGGGATTCGAACCCACGACAGCAAAGGGACGGTTTTAGCAAGACCAACGCTCTAGCCACCTGAGCTACAAGGCCCCGCTGGTAGCCGTGAGTTTACCACATCTGGGTCAAGTTAACCGCTTAACCTACTGAACGTCTGGAATTCACCAAATCTGATACACTAAGCTGACTGCCCAGGCAGGATTGCCTAAGTAATCCATCTAGAATACACCAATTGACTACCAAGCTAACATTATTAAAGGGTGTTTTCACAGATTTGAAAATCCATTTTGATTCAACGGTAAATTCCCAGGTAGGTAACTTGACCCAAATGTGATTAAACTCACGGCTCCCGGTTGTACATTGTAGCTCAAGCGGCTGTACCAAAGCCTTCCCCTTGCTGTCGAATCTCACCGAGGTGCCGAGTTTCTCAAGCTGGGTCAAAATGGATTACGGGTTATTCAGACTACCAGTGATGAACAGGTTCATGAGAATGAGAGCAAATCTTCAGTCTTCGGCAAACGTTTAAAACATGCCAATCTTGCGAACAGCCATTGTGCTCTTAAAGTCACAAGTGATCCCCGGTGTTGCCTCCTGAAAATGAGTGCTTCGAATCTGAAAAGGTTTTTAAGCCAGGGGAGTAAGTGGTGGGTCTGTAAGGAACCATTCAACCTAGCGTCTCTTCGGGACGTCCTAATGACGGCCATATAACCACTGCTCGGGAGCTACTCGACCGTTGAAGCTTTCGCAGCAGCCATGAAAGCATAGGAGCACGCTTCATTCTAACGACATGTAAGACTCCCGGGTGGAATTAGGCTTTATCGGCGTTAACTACCACCATTAATATTGCCGCTATTACTATAAGCACTATTGTTACTACTGGTGTTGGCACTAATAATAATGATAAAAGCGACCGTGTGGAAAGGAAACTCAATAGATCTTTTCCATTGAAAGAGTAGACCGACCAAGTTATAAGAAAGGAGCACGCAGTCTATTTTACGTTGAAGTTGTGCACGTCCCGATCGCTGCTGGTGTCCCTTAATAAGGCATCTAACATCGGTTTTGTTTGCCTGCAGGCATAGCACATGCACGTACGCAGCGCGTGTCCTGTGACCGTCAGAGCCGGTTATCATCGCTGTGAGAATAATGTGCTTTACAGATGCCTTGTAAAAAGGATTGACCAAGATAAGCATGTCGAACGCTGTGCGCCTAAGGACACGATGGAATGCCCCGAGAATATGCGTGTAGCAGAATACATAAATCGGCAAGTATTCGATGTTTGCGGCTTCAATCAAGACAGTTCTTATATTGGAATATGAGATATGACCCGTGCATTCGGAATATAGCAGTGGTCTGGAAGTATCCGATCAACGGTGCTGGTGTTCTGTGGACAAAGTTCGTCTCCTCAATCGTGTGCACAACGTAGGAGTATATATTTGGTCCGGTAAACTACCAATGGACTGCACCCTCCTCGCGTGCCGATCGAGAGCGTTCGACTATTGGCTACGCTAACCTGACCCACCGCCTTCACCTCCTTTGGGCTGATCCACTCGCCCCGTTTCAACTCGCAGATTGCTGTCACGTCCCCCTTGAGAAACATTGAGGCGGATGGCGATGGTGTCGAGGTGGCCAGCTATGACCTGCTTCACTGGCGTGCCAAAAGCTTTATCTTCGTCCAGAAGCCTGTCCTCAGTCCCCCCATTAACTAAAATGAAACGTCATCATTCCGCAAGCGGCAACATGAAGCCGACGAAATCAGTAGCTATGAATACAGTCACGAGTGCGAGCAAGTATTATCATCGGACGCTAAGTAGTAGTCAGTATGCCTGTACTCAGTACAGCGAATAAATCCGCAACCTGCTGGCTGAAAAGAATGGACTACACAGAGCATACATAAAAAGCAGCACGGATGTCAGCGAAGTCGCCTTCCTCAGGTGTCGCTGCTTGGTGCAGTTTAGATGAATCACAGAACCAGGGAAGTCCAAGGGTACGGGGGCCAAAACAAGACGAAGAACCTTTTCGTCTCCATCAAGACAATTTACGGCCCCTGCATCAAAGGAGTCGCACCGCTGCTCAGCTCCGACGTAACAACACTCACGGAGAAGTCGCAGATTCTGAAACGCTAAGCGAGCATTTTCAGAACCGTTCCCAAACGCCCATCCACGATCTCCGATGCGGCCACGCGTGATGATCTGCGGCCGCAGATCTGGACAGTTCAACTCATCCTCTTCGCTAACGACGGAGACCGAGTACCGAAGGCCCAAGAACCACCTCCATGTCTTGACAAACTGTGTCGAGCCAGGCTTTGAGCTGACCCTTCCTTCGAGGCCTTCAATAAGGTAACGGTGACAGGTCGAGGGCAGTAACACTAAGCTCCTGAGGTTGACGACGAAGAACATGCCCAAACCATCTCAGTCGTCTTTCTTGTATGGCCTGGGTTATCCTTGCGATGTCATCGCAGCGAGCGCGGACTGTCTCATTTGAGACGAGATCGCGGTGTACTTCACTCGAAGGGTGGTCCTCAAGCAGTGGTGGTCAAATACAGCCAGTTTTCGCATGTCCTCTACGCGTACAGCCCAGCATCCACAGTCATAGAGAAGGACAGACCGGACAGATGCACGGTACACGCGAATCTTAGTGGCGATGGAGATGTCGCGTTGGATGCATAGGCACTTTCTAGGGCTTGAAAAACCCGGCGAGTAGCATCAATTCAGGAGACAATGTCGTCCTTACTCTGTCTATTCGGCGGCAGCCTCGCCCAGAGGTATTTAAAACTGTCTACTCCTTCCCAGCGTTTATGGATAAACCAACCGATTTGGCGGCCTCGTTCACCCGTGAGACCATAGACTGCAGATCACCAAACCTTGAAGGAAGTAAGGCAATATTATCTGCACAGTCGTTAGGAGCGCCCTGGGATCCGCATCGCCTACAGGACCGACGAACACCTTCTAAACAGTCGGCGCATGGAGGCCCGGAAGCGTTTATTCACGACCAACTGTACACGAATGATTGCGCGCTCAACACCGTAAAAGGACCAGACATGTGACGGAGCACGTACCTTTTCCGCCTTCGGCTGCGCCATCATCGGCTGACCACTAACACAGACGAACCAGGGGTCATACATCGGCCGTCGCCCGACACTGAATAAAACGTCTTTCACATCACTGTCAACATCACCCATATAGGCTGCACACTCATGTAGCATCAAAATCTACGACGAAGTGGCTCACTGGATCTCAAAAGTCGGTCAGGTTTTGTGCCGGCTGCAGGACTCAGCGTCCAATCGCCACGGTCTCCAGCCCAACGCCTAACCAAAAAAACTGTCATCTTGGCGAGACTCCTGTATGGAGTGGAGACCTGGACCGTCTACGCCAATTAAGCCAGAAAACTCAATCACTTCCATCTTGGTTGTCTCCGGAAAATACTAAATTCGGGGAGACACGACGAAACCTAGGACACGGAATTCTTGAAACAAACCGGAACCCTCAGAATCCCCGCCATACTGAGGCAATTGCAAATGTGATGCAGCGGCCAGCTCGTGAGGATGGAGGACGAGCGATAACCAAAACTAGGCTTTTCCCGAGACTCGGCTGCGGATACGCGCCGACAAGTAGGACAAACACGACACTAAAAGGAAATCCGAAGAACTTTCTCATGCACTTGTAAAAGAACCTGGAGACCTGGAAAGACCTCACCCAGGACCGAACGGGCTGAAGAAGGACAGTGGGAAATGAAGCAACAATCTATGGAGCTAACGAGATCGCCGCTGCTAAGTCCAGAAGAGCGGCTCGCAAGTCACAAGCGCCTCTTATACAGTAAATGTGCTAACTCACGAAATGTCAACCAAAATTTCGAAATGCGTTCTCGTTTCGAAAAGACAAATTAAGTTGTGTTGTAAAACTAATCATGATGCAGCATAAATCTATAATGATCCAGTTACCTCAGGGTGTCGGCTTTCGAAAGAACTTATTTTCGGCTGCATGCAGGATCTAAACTCTGCAAAAAATGACTACCTAAAAAGTATGCAATTTTCTCATTGATTTTCGATGCCCTTGAAAATTCAATTATATTTCCTGGAAAACATGCATAAAAATATTCATTCTTTTACTTATTCGATAGAAAATCACGTCTTCTTCCAATTTCATACTCAAAAGAAGAACATAATTCGGTTTTAAAAAAGTTTCTAATTGTGAGATTTTTTAATACCGTTAAATGGCCGTTCATGAAACGTCATGTATCTGCATTTACGAATGTTGCTTGTAAAGTTAACAATATTGCATGCATTTCTCTACGGTGTTAAGAGGAGACCATATGAGCTTCATAAAATTAAGCAGTGGGTTTGAGGAATATTGTTAACTTTGCAAGCCACATTAGTAAATGCAGATACATGACGTTTCATGAACGGCCATTTAACGGTATTAAAAAATCTCACAATTAGAAACTTTTTTAAAACCGAATTATGTTCTTCTTTTGAGTATGAAATTGGAAGAAGACGTGATTTTCTACCGAATAAGTAAAAGAATGAATATTTTATGCATGTTTTCCAGGAAATATAATTGAATTTTCAAGGGCATCGAAAATCAATGAGAAAATTGCATACTTTTTAGGTAGTCATTTTTTGCAGAGTTTAGATCCTGCATGCAGCCGAAAATAAGTTCTTTCGAAAGCCGACACCCTGAGGTAACTGGATCATTATAGATTTATGCTGCATCATGATTAGTTTTACAACACAACTTAATTTGTCTTTTCGAAACGAGAACGCATTTCGAAATTTTGGTTGACATTTCATGAGTTAGCACATCTACTGTACATAACGTCCACACCCGACCATGCTGCCAACGAACATTCCGCGCGTGGATCGGCCCCGTCGGACGTCTCTGGACCCGGTGTAATAATGCCTCAACCCGCCTGCTGCCCCCACAAGCACCTCCATCGTCATCCCTGCACCATACCCCCCCCCCCCCCCCCCCGACGACCACCCCCACCACCGGTGATCAGGCTCCTGACGTCCGACGCCGCCAATGTCGTCGAACATGAATCACTCTAATCACCCTCGTCGCAACCTCTGCGACAACGACTACCACCTCTCCCACTCCCGCAACCGATGAGAACACTTCCAACGCCCCATCAACCACAACCATCACCGTCCCCTCCACCATCAAGGTGGATTCGATCCAAACCTGTCCTTGCTGTGATCGCACACTCACCTCGCGCATCGGTCTGGTCGGCCACTTGCGAGTTCACCGCCCTGTGGCCGGCAAACCAGTGCCAGGAACCCCGATATGAACTCGCAGCATCCGTCTTCACTGTCCGCACTGCCCAAGCACATTCGTGCACCGCGTGGGCCTATTCGGACACACACGTATCCACGACAGCAGAGTTCACCGCAATACCGACAGGAAAGGCCCACTTTGCACACCCGAAATCTCTTCCGTCTCCAGCCCCAACAACTCCCCATCCACCAGTGCGGCCAGCACTAGCAACGTCACCAGCACAGTCTACTCAGCATCTCCGAACCTATCCTGCCCACACTGTCACTGCACATGCACATCTCGCACCGGCCTGGTCAACCACTTGCAAACCTGTCGCAGAGACTGGTGAACTAATGATTGGAACACCACCATACACCCATCGGCATCGCCTCAAGTGCCCGCATTGTCCTCACACATTCAGCAATTTCATGAACCTTCTCGATCACACACATCTCCATGAAAACCTGCGGCAAACCAACACCGACTAAACCACATAACCACACATCTCCCCCTCAACATATGCACCGTACACGAACACGTCTGAGAGTACACACCACAGGCGCGAACTAGGCAGCTCTCAGGTAAGAGGGAAGTGTGTTCTTTGCCCCCTCTCCATGTGGGCCTTCTGTCACATGTGTGTGAAATCTTGCTGTGGTGGCCAGGTCGCATGTGTGACATGCGCAGACGAGCTGTTCTCAGTTCTGTCAGCCACCTCTCTCCCAATCTCGGCATCAGTTGGTTGACCGGTCCGGACAATCCATGAGTACATGGGAAACGGAAGAGAGAGTAAAGTCGACTCTCAGAGCATTCTCTCGTCATAAAAAATCTAGCGAACTACTACTACGGTATGTTAAAAGCCGTGGATTGAAAGCTTGCCAACTGACGGGATCACCCCGACCTAGCAGTCAGCCCAGTGCGTGTTTGTGTGGAGTAGTCGATTGGCGAGCCGAGAGTCAGACTGCAATGGTTCCTCCTTAATGTGGCGTCTGTAGCATTCCTAGACACGTGAGACCCGCGTCGCCCACCCCCTTTGCGTGAAATTCCGAGGCATTTTTTGTGTGGGGGGCCAGGTCATGTACGTGGAACGTGCAAACGTGCCCTCTAGCTCCGTCAGCCACTACGACCAATCCCCACATCCGTTGACTGGCAAGCTCGGACAGTGGACTTCTGTCTGGGAGTGGGAAGAGGGAGTAAAGTCGACGGTCTCAGAGTATACTGTTCATTACAAACAATCTGGTATGCGCTTGAATCAACCACGGTGCGCTAAAAACCGTGGCTTGGAACGCTGCTAATCGAAGGAATAACTCCGTCTTCCTTTGAGGACGGAGAGTCAGGCTACAGTGGCTCCTTCTTAATGCGGCCTTTATGGCACTCCTACTCAAGTGGAATCCGAACCGTGCCCTCTCCCATTGTTTTTGTGTGGAACCCAAGCTTTTTTTGCTTAGACCAGGGGTATGTTGGAACGCCCAGGTGCAGGTTCGCGTCACCTCCAGTCTTCTCGTTTTTATCTTGATGCCGGGTCTAGGTGGGAGAGGAGGAGTGCGGCAGATACTGCGCAAGTCTGCTATCACAATAAACTGAGTCACGTGCAAGGCAATTTCTTCTGCGCCCACTTTCGTGTGGGGTACGCGGTGGATATCATCGATAACGACGGTCGAGTGGTCACTTAGTACGGCTGTGATCATACCTGGCCTAGTCGGTCTCAATGAGGTTGCGGATCGTACCTTGCCCCGTATGAGGGCTTGCGGCGGCGGATCTGAAGAACTCAGCTCGCTCCCTTTTCCACTGACTGAAGTCGAATATCGAAGGTCCAGTTTCAGTTGACCTTTTTGCCCCCTTCGGCGGCGCACCCGCGGGACAGATGGAGAAGAACGTGACCAAACCACCTCAGTCGTCACTTTCGAGTGGTCTGAGACAACCTTGCGACATTGCCGCAGCGAGTGCGAACCGTCTCATGAGAGACGAAATCGGTAAACTTCCTTTAGAAAATGACTCTCTGGTGGAAATGGTCAAATACTTTTAGCTTTCGTTAATCTTCCACGCACGCAGCTCAGCAATCACAGCCGCACAGGACTAACGAGACGGATGCCCGATACACACAGAGCCTTGTGGCGATGGCACTATGAAAACCCTAAGGGCAACACCCCCACAAAAATGAAGCATGTTCGAGGCAACGATGAAAGACAGCTGTTTTACCAACAACAAATCGCGTCTATTAGGCCTGATGTGGATGATTGGGACAAACGCAAAGTTGCCTCCTGCCGAGGTAGCGCCGAAAAAGACTGCCCTGCTACCAATCGTGTTAAACCAGCGAATCCAGACATTACAAACTCCCTGATTTAGAAATACGAAAAAACAAGCCAATAAAGGCAGGAAAGGGGGGTACACAGACCTTCTCGAAACGCTCCGGGTTAGGCATGCGTTCCAAGCGACGCCAGTGCTCCTCTTCCATTGTCATTAACATGTTGCGTTCTTTCAGCAGGACATACCACAACTTGTGCAAGTCAGAGGCACTTTTGCGTCTTAGCTCCTCAACTCTCCAGGGTCGGCCAGACTTGACTGACACCACGCCCCAGTTTTGGGGCGAATCAAAAAACTCAGACAGGCCATCTAGCCTCGAGGACAAGGAGAAGGCGCGAGAGGGGACGAATTTGGAGGTAAAAAAGCTGGAAATGATGTAAGGATGTGACACTTACCAAATCTTCCTGAGCATGTCACACAACCAACTCTATAGTTTAGCTATAAGAAAAAGAAGTAAAGATTGGTAATTTAGAATAATTGGGGCAAATCTGATGTAATGAGAGAGAGAAAAAAGTGCGTGCAAAAATATGCACATTCTAACTCAACAACACACGGAGACTAAGGAAGTGGTGACCTCGACCTCTCGTCTTTAGAAAGCCAACAGATTCCAAGTTTTCTATGCGGAGAATCGAGGTCAAGAGGTGGAGGTATCGAGGCGTCCGCCCAGATGAGATGGGCTGCAGACGCGTCGGGTCAGGACACGCGTTTATCAGACCGCACAGCCCGAGTGAGTCCTCGTCTCAGCCGTACATGTATGTGTCACACCTCAGACATAGGCCTTTACGCTGCGTCAGACACTACGCCCATTTCCATCACACGTTGACTGACAGTCTTGGACAATCGACCGGTGCATGAAGGCGGGAAGAGAGTGAGACCGAACCTTGGGAGTCAGTCCTTATGGCACATCAGTGCATTTACTGCCGTAATAGATCTCTCGACCTTAAATCTATCACTAAGCAATGAAAGTGTTGGATTGGAGGGTTGTCAACTGACGAATAATTCGGTTTCCCTCAGGACTTAGGATGAGACGGATCCTTCCTAACGGTTTTATTCATGTGGCCCGAGTCGCCCTTACAGTAGCCTGGTATGAGAGAGACCCAGTCATATGTGGCTAGCGCAGACGGGCCGCCTTGCCGTCGGAACAGGATGGTTGAGAGAAGGGAGAGTGCGGTAGATAAGTCTGTCTAACTCAACAGTTCGGCCGTCATGAACTGTCTACTGTATGCCCACGAAGTCATGGGTGCAGGGACGGCGTCTTATGCGTGAATTATTTTATAGTGATGGCGGACTTTCGCGACATCCACTGTACTCTCTATACCCTCACCCAACAGGGTCCAGCGGTAAGAGAGTCAGGAAGCGTTGACTGACAGCCTGTCTATGCATGCTGCACAGGACCTGGTCCGCACACAACGAACCGGCTTTCACGCAGACAATAAAGGGAGGGGGACCTGAATTCTGAGTGAGAGTGCCACAAAGCCTACACTAAGAAGGAGCCATTGCAAACTGACTCTCCGTCCTGAGAGGGTGGTTGGACTATCCTGTCAGTGGGCAGCCCTCCAAACAACGGCTTTTAGCGCGTCGTGATGGTATCGAAGTGGGGAATGCGCCGAAGTGCGTGAGAATGGCTTCCCAGAGTTGAGCCCACTTTTCCCTGTTTCTCCAATGCGCTAGTCCACTGTCCGAACCGGTCAGCCAAATGATTGTGGTACTTGGCGCAAAGAGCTGGTGCGGCGTGAGTCTTCGCCTAGACGAGCAACCACACCCATGCGTGGCATTTGTTATGGGGTCCGCGGGCTTTGCGCTGCCCGTTTAACGCGCATCGTGACCCAATATGAACCGTATTGGAGACCACGTCGTCGCTGGTGACGGCTGAACTGTCGTCGTCGGGATGCCGGGGACATGGGTGGAGGCCGACGGAAGTTTAAGCTTTTCAATGCGAGACACTCTGGGAGCCTTGTGAGCAAAGGCCGTGGAAGTAACCAAGGAAAAGACATGGCCAGTCCCTTTTACACAAACTCACATTGACCATCTTCACCTGATTTTTTCCGCCTGACCGTGGTTACGAGAGGGCTGCCGTTACACCCAACACAACGCAGTGGAGCTCAAGATGAGTGTTGCGCCGGTCGAATAAGTCACTTAGTGGGTATCTCATACGGATAACCTTTCAGTGTGATAGGTAATCCATTAACTTAAGTAGCCCTACTTTAACAACCTATTCACCCCGTCTCAGTCCAGGCGGCCGTACCGGTTCTCAAATGTTTCTGATTATTCAGCGGCTAAAAACAAAAGCGATCCATTCTTTCCAGGATAGCCGGACGCTCGCATAATGAGATCGAGGCAAAATAACTGGAAATAGGAGTTCAAGGAACAGCTGTGCTCCGGCTGGACAGATTCGGCTAACGAGTCTAGAGGGAGATTCTCGTGTCTGACGCGAACCCAGTTTCTGCTCTACCTGAAACAAAACCGATCACATATTCGACCATTACGACTGTGAAGGAACTGTTATGGGTTAGGATGTGCTTTAGAATAGTCCATGAAACGAGTGCCCCACCGAAATCTGCGGCGAATTCAGACTCCTGATGTCTTTGGTAGTTTTCGTTATCGCAGTCACCATGCGGTCCTGAGGGAGAGCCTCCGACAGGTAAGAAGTGGAAGCTAAAAGTTTGCTTGCATGGAGTGAGCGACGAATGGCAGCCAGATGGAGAGCATGCAAGAAAAACCGTATCCCGAGCATAAAGCTGGGAGTGGCCGTCAGACGAATCAGATATAACCTAGACTGACATTGGCTCTAATATTTACAGATAAAGAAAAGACCGCAAAGTGAATGACAGAATTCGCATTTTTAGTAAACATTCGCTTCCTGTACTACCAGTCCCACTTCTGGGAGTGGAGCGTCGGATGATATACGAAAGGCAGGGGTAAGAAACATCTGATAGTAAAGGAACACCACGGAAAAGCATAAGATGGGCGCGGCTAGAGGGAAAAATAGTGACGGGCTAATGGGTCAGAAGGCTGTGAGGTAATGCAATCTCATGAGCAGTTTGCTGAACGTTCAGTGCACCCTCAAGGGAGCTCCTTAACGTACGAGTTATACGTTCGATGTGGCTACTGTTGTCCGTATGCGATATGATGGAGCGATGTTCCAGCATCTAAAACAACTCATACAACTTAATGAGTCGGAATCGAGACGGATTCCCTGATCCGACTAAGGCTGTCCAGGTATGCTATAACGTGGGGAGCAGTTGCCACCGCCTTTAGCAACTTTAGGGATGTCGGTCTGAGGAAGAGGGGCTGCCTTGCTCCACTTGGCCAAAAAAGGTTAACTAAGACGGGCGTACTGATTAGCAGTGGCATTGAGTTCGTCGTTACTGGGATGTCAGTAACTAAGATAGAGGACGAAACCGGCTTAATGGTGCTTAGAAAGGCCAACAGCCATAACCTCACACCTAATCAATGGTGGTAATAGCAAGGCGTAATGACTAAAATTCCCGAAGAGTTAATTCACTGAGGCCGCATTGTGTAGGCTGTCTATCATTTTATCTTAAGTGATGTCTACTAGACTCCTTTTTAATCGTGAAATTTACCTTGAATGTGTGACCAACACAATCACTCCCGACTCCGTTTGACTTTCGCGTCGGAGTTTCAGTGTAGTAAAATCCAGTTGACAATTTTACTACTTTTTATCAACTCCCTTCGGTAATATTTTAATCCCAAACACCTTATATTTGTCTTTGCTCGCCTTTTTTCTCTCTAGAACGTTTTTTATTGTTTCCAGCTCGAGCAGACCATTTGAACCTTCGTTGCATTTTATAAACATAACTTCGAAGCATCCCCTATCAGATCTACCCTTGACTGTGGCAACAATGCTGTCTAATGGGTTCGTACTAGCTCCGTGTGTGCAGCGACTATCTGATTAAAGTGGGCTTAGTTGGTCTCCCATATTTGGTTTTTGGTGGGGACTCGCTGTAATTCCGATATATCTGTTTACAAATGCATGACCGTATCCGACAACACCGGTGTAAAATATGAAGGCCGAGCTGCACTGGACAGTGGCATTTTTCTCCTGCCACCTTAGCAAACTGGTACCTTTTTAACATCGCGTTCTCATAGGAAATAACGCGCAATTTTCTGTTTTAAACAGTCTCGCCTTGATGATAGTCAATCCTGATTAACCTTAACTTAGTTAACTTCCCTACGAAGACTTCCACGAGTATCTGCTTGGACCATTTTCGAGTCACCAGTGCAGAGGGGATATAGAACATGTGTTGACTCCCCTCAGCTCCCGAAACAGGGCATTACTTTCAACTGAATGCGGCTGTCCGTTTTCGTGTTTTCACTTCAGCGTTTGATTTGGTCATCGGAAGCGCTCCCTGGAAGACCATAAGGACTATTGGTACGCCCCGATGTTCACGAGCTACGCTGAGGTATATTGTCTACTCACGTGCACTTAAGCTCAAGTTTATTATGAAGAAAGTTAATACATCAATGTCAACTTTAGCGTCCGACAAAGTGTGTTTACTTATAAGTCCTCTGTAGCTATTCGATAGACAACGCAGTACACAGCATTTAGTCATCGAATGGCGTCCAGGTAAGATGAGGACTTGTCCTTTCGAAATTTACTTATGCGGACTATATCGCATTGCTTGGAGGTCCTTTTTGAGGGGGCCAAACTCACCACTGGCCGAATAATCCTGCACACCGTGCCTTGAACTGAACTATGAAAGGACAAAGATGCCGTTCGGCGGCACCATGCCTCAAGCCGTTTCTGTCTGGATAGTAAGACGATTGAGTTGGCAAAATACCCGATCTATCGATACAAGCGAGAATACCGCAGCTATATCCTGCTTCCATGTGGGCAACGTCAAGACGTGCTGAACTACGGTGTACAACCCGCTCTTGCCATGGTAGGTCATATCATGTAAATAGTCTCTGCTCCACATGACCATTAGATGGCATCTGGCTCATCTGTGGTTCTCCGAAGATAGGTCTTGTTTAGCGGCTACGTCCGGTAACCGCCTCTACCAGGAGCTAAACCAAATTAAAGTAGCCGGTCCTGTGTGTGTCCACACCCGACAATTCCGTTCACGTATTTGTTCCTCCCCCCTCCCTCCTCCCCGCCCTTCCTTCGCGCATCTCCCTTACCACCAAGTTCACTTAAAAAAGTCCTACGAATAGGGCAACACGTGATCTTGTAGGCGGCTCAGACTTTGTAGGGTCGATCTCCCAGTGGACCAAGCCATGACCCAAAGTGGAGTTCGGCCGCCAACTGGGGTGTCTTAGCAGCCCTATTTAGAGACAGAAATGTTTACCGCCTTGCGGGGATGGGGCTAGAAAAAGCCCCCTAAGCAGACTTTGAGATAACGTTATCTGCACACATTCTGTGGTTCGCAGACTGCAACCCACGTCCCGTCCCCCGCCCCACCACACAAGCTGCTAAGGTGAGTCCGCCCACGTTATGCCTACTAAGCAATTTGAGGGGAAACCGGCCGGAACTGCATTAATCGCTCGAGAATTGGCGTGCTACAAGGAGGGCATTGCTGTCCTCAACGGGATGCGCCTCCCCGAACATGGTCAACTAGGGGAGGCGATTGCCCATTACGACTGTTTCTAGAGAGCCGCCCAAAGACAGAGCGATGCAGTGCAGGGGCTACCTTTGCCTTCCAGAGCGGCGTCGTGGGACGGCTGCCTTGTCTGCCACAGGACATCGACGACAGGCTCATGAGTCGGAGTCTGCCTCTTCGAGAAGCCAAATTCGCTTTTATCGACAGAGTCTACCCCCCCCCCCGATGACCGACTCTGACGCAGCAAAGAACCAATTCTACAAGGACCTGAACGCCCTCCTGGCGACTGAGTCGAAGGTGGACAGGCTGATAGTCCTTGGTGACTTTAATGTCCGCGTTGGAACAGACTGCGCTCTCTAGAGGGGCGCGCTAAGTTCCCATGGAATCGCCGTCTACAATACAGTGGTCTTCTGCCTCTTCGAACCCAGACAGAGCACCGCCTTCTCCTAACTGACACCTTCTGTACTCCAACGTGAAAGAAGGCTACCTGGACGCATCCCGGACGCGTGCTGGCAACTGTTGGACTACATCCTCCTCCGGAGGCGAGATCGGTAAGACGTGCTGGTGACCAAGGCTTTCTGTGACGTCGACCGCTGGACGGATCACCGCTTCGTCCTCTCCACGATGAGGCTCCAACTGCAACCCCGCGGGAGACCACAAACAAAACGACCACGAGGTAACTTAAATGCTATTCAGCTGAATTTGTCTGCTCACCGCTTGCATTTTAGCTATCAGTTAACCCAGTACTTGGAAGAACTGCTGTCCTCGGACGTCAACGCCACTGCAGAGACTTGGTGATGTCAACAGTAGAATACCACCTAAACCACTGCTCCGGATGTCTACGACAACGACACAGACATCCGCAAATTGCTCGACAAAATGTGTAGGCTCGTAAGGCCTAAGATGGCCAGGGGTATGCTGCCCGTAATGAAACAGAGAACCTACTCGATTCAATAAAGGTGATCTACGGTCTCATAACCAAAGGAAATGCGCTGCTTCTCAGCTCCGACGGACCAACCCTTCTGATAGAGAAATCGTAGATTCCCAGGCGCTGGGCCTAGTACCACAAAAATTGCTCAGCCGCTCATTCATAATCTCCGATATCTCAAAAGGGATTATGATATAGCGGTGAGCTCGAAGCTAATCGACGCAACTCCTCTCGCTGACTGGTAACACAGGCGGATACAGTCTAGACCACTGCGTAAACGATCTGCCACGACACTTTTGCAGCGGCGACCTTCGGCGACACACGGCTGGTCGTTCTCGTGGACGCCGCCGCGGCGACAGACGCACCTTCGTCCAGTTGCGAACTATCCTTCACTATTCTGCACGGAATGAACAAGTCATCTTCTCCAGTTTCGAGTTTATTGACTTAATAATGGTAGTCGATTCAGGGTCCTCCAGACATTGGGCAAAAAATCCGCCTCGGGACGGATTCGAACCTGATCACAATAGTGACGCTGAAATTGTCGCTACCACTACGCCATTGACGCGCACCAGGCTGCTTGACAAAAATGAAGTAACCGAAAGACGCTGTGTAAATGACTACTGCGATAAGTCCTCTGCTGTATAATCACCTCCCGCCAAACGCGCAAGGGGTCTAATAAATTTATTGGATGTTAAATGCGAGGACAAAACCTGCACGTCATGTTTTAGACTTCTTCAGAAAATCTTGGAGATGGGGGGGGGGGGATATAAGGAATCCAAGAATTGAGATGGAGAAGATGATGAAACTGCCTCACCATTCACCCGAAAGGAAAAAGATGGCGATGTCGGAAGTTCAGAAGATGACCAAAAAAACGACCAATACGACTTCAGTAACTGTATTAGTCCCTGAAAGAGAAGATAGCCCGTCTACGGACCCAATCGCAACCGAGACCCTGTCTCATGTGCGAGCGAAAAATAACCGAAGAGCAGCTCAAAAAACCTGGAGACATCTCAAAGCATCCCAAAAAGACCAAGTATGTCAGAGCGCCAGTAGGGGAGAGCAGACTCAACACAGAATGCAAGCAAATGCCTCACTGCCACAAGAGGTACCACATGACCAAGAAGCCTAGATAAACGACGAACCCTGCGGTAGCTATACCATGACAACTGTCTCTGAAGGGGACATTGATGACAACAAAAACTTTCGCGATGCAGACTGTGCATATAAAAATAGACGACAGCACCCTATGGATCGCAATAAATGCATCATCGTAAAGGGTATGCCTGAGTCTTCTTCAGACATCCCAAAGAACAGAATAAACCACGATATAGAATTATTCCAGCAATATCTCAAATCCCTATTACAAGAGAACGAGAACATCACCGTCTTAAAAGCTTTCAGAATAGGACCAATTAAGCATTTGAAGGGCAAGTCGGGACATCATAAACCATTAAAAATTATTTTCGAAAGTGAGGAACCAACACTATTACTGCTGAATAGGGAACCAGCACTGCAAGATGCCCACCTAACATTTTTTTTCAGCGGGATTTCTCACCGGCCGAACGAGAGAAATGGAGGGAACTCAAGGCCGAACTCCTCAGAAGATACAGTTCCGGCGAAAGGAACCTACGAATATTGAATGGGAAAATCGTAAATGTTCGGAGCTCATTCCTCTGGAGACAACCAATAACACTGAGCATAATAAACAACTAGATAATAAGGAAAGAACGCCCTATCTGATGAACCGATGAGAGAAAACGACGGCCAACACACAAATATCCAGTCCAATCAAACAGCAGTAGACTCGGAAGGGGACGATATACTCGAAAACTCGCACGAAATATTCAGCAACTTTGACCCAAAAATCGCTCAGGAATCTGCCCGGGCTAAGCTCCGCTTCCTTTATGCATATGCTCAGAGTTTGTTCCAGAAGCTAGATGAGCTGAATGATGGGTTAACAGATACGCAGTCGGATGTCATTTCTATCACAGGGACTTGGTTTCAGACCGAAGTCTTGGATGCCGAAATTACATTCGATGGATACCAACTTTTTCGCCGGGACAGACTGCATAGAAAAGGAGGAGGAATAGCGGTCGACGTCAAGAGAGGAATCATCGCGTCGGAACACAAAACCGATTGCTCCGGCGAATGTGAGACAATGTGGTTAAAACTGAGGATGCGTGGCGCACCTAATTTGAATTTTCTGACCGTATACAGGCCGCCCAATCAAACTGCTGAGGTTGACGAGGCGATATTTGGGTTAAGTAAAGAGGTGTCACAAAACTAAGAGGTACTGATAACCGGAGATTTCAACGCACCCACGGTCGACTGGAACAATTTGTTAGTAAATAGTTCGCGAAATTCCTTCGATTCCAGGCTCTTGAAGCTAACGGCTAATCTCTTTCTGGTACAAAACGTCACGTTGCCAACCAGGATCACAGAGGACCAAGGAGTGAATTGTCTGGACCTCGTCCTTACAAAAGACCCAATTAACCCTGGCGAACTTAGGCCCATAACACCGCTCGGTAAGAGTGACCATGTCATGCTGTTTTGGGAATACCGCCTATGCAGCCAACAAGTGAATACGACTGAGCCTAGGCTGAATTTCTGGCGAGGAGATTTTGCCGCCATGAGAAGGGAATTATCGGCAGTGGACTGGAATGATGTTCTTTCCGGTCATCCAGACGTTGATTGGAACACTCTGAAGGGAGTTGTAGCCGACCTCATGCATCGAAACTGTCCGACAAAGAGAGTCAAAAAGAATAATCGTCCTGCCTGGATAACGCGGGATACAAAAAAAGAAGTAAACCGGAAGAACAAACTATGGAGAAGGTAAGTAACAACAAAACAACCATCCCATTACGAGCAATTTCGTCGAAAGCGAAACGAGGTAAGGTCGGCTATCCGCAGGTCGCGGAAGGAGTATGAAATGCGAGTTATGGAACGGGCCGTCGATAAGCCAAAAGTGCTCTTCAGTTACATCAACAGTAGGTTAAAGAAAAAGGAGACGGCCGCAGTGTTGAAAGGAGAAAACAATGAGGATATCATCGAAAATGACGCTAAGGCAGAACATCTAAGCCGGTTTTTCGTATCGGTTTTCACAGATGAAACGGACTCTGACGAGGCTGGATTGCCAGCTGGGACAACCGACGAAATAATAGAAAGCATCGACTTCACGGAAGAAGATGTGAGGAAGGAACTTCTAGTGCTTAAGGAGGGCAAGTCTCCGCGTCCAGACCAAATTCCGGCAAAAGTTCTGAAGGAGTTGACTTGCGAACTCGCCAAACCGCTTTGGCACATCTTTAGGTCGTCCTTTGACCGAGGCATTCTCCCCTCTGATTGGAAAATAGCGAACATATACCCCATTCACAAGGGTGGATCTAGAACAAGTACAAACAATGATCGGCCGGTGAGCCTTACGTGGATTTGTTGCAAAGTCATGGAGAGAATAGCCAAAAAATCCATCATGAGGTTCCTTGAAGAAAATAATTTCATTGCTAGTTCCCGACATGGCTTTCGACGAAATCACTCCTGCCTAACTAATATGCTTCATTCAACGGAACAGTGGTATCGCTCGTTAGACGAAGGAACAATGGTTGATATCGTTTATATCGATTACAAGAAAGCCTTTGATGGTGTTCCACACCACCGATTACTTTACAAGGTCCGAGAGTCAGGGATAAGGGGAAACCTATTAAACTGCGTAAAGGGCTTTCTGACTGGTCGATTACAGTCTGTGTGTATTGGTAGTGCGAAGTCAACGCCAGTACCAGTTGTGAGTGGAGTTCCCCAGGGCTCTGTACTCGGACCAGTACTATTTTTAATTTATGTCAACGACTGTATGAATGGACTGGACTGCAACGGCGTCATGTTTGCCGATGACATCAAGTTATGGTGAGCGATCAACGGAGAAAATGATGAACGGGCCCTGCAAGAAGGACTGAACCGCCTATGCGAATGGTCTGACAAATGGCTGCTGAAGTTTAGCCTTGAGAAGTGTGTCGCGCTGCGACTCAAAACGACTGCAAGAGTTGACGGAGAGGACCACCATTACCAACTTTGTGGAAGGTGCGTTTTAAATGTAACCGAACAAAAAGATCTTGGGATCAACATTTTTGGACTCTTAAGCCTTCCTCTCAGTGCGTTAGGGAGTCCAAAAGGGCAACTAGTGTTTTCTTTGCCATTAAACGAACTTTCGCAGACATAGACAAAGAGTTTTTTGGAAAAGTATACGGAGCGTTCTTTCGTTCGCATCTGGAATATGGAATCCAAGCTTGGCGCTCGTGGCAAAAAACGACTATAAGTTGCTAGAAAGAATCCAGAGGAGAGCAACAAAAATTGTACAAGGCCTCAGGACTTTACCTTACAACTGCCGACTTAGTTAACCTTAACTCTTTCCTCTTGAGTACAGGCAGATTCAAGGAGATCTCATACAGGCGTATCGGATATTGAGGAACCGGGAATGTACCCTAAACCAAGACGATTTCTTCACCCTGACCACAACAACAAACCTGCGTGGGAACTCTCTAAAACTGAGAGGATCCCGATGTCGCCTGGACGTTCGCAGATACTGTTTTTCACAGCGAGTCGTCGGTGCCTGGAACGGGCTTCCCGAGGACGTAATAATGGCGGATACCACGAAGACGTTCAAGCAAAGACTTGATGCATATTTGCTTGGACACAAACGCTTGTCTGGACAGAACAGCTCTGTGGTGTCAAACCAACGCCTTGCATACACATACCGCTAATGTGGATGACTGTCATTCCATTTTACCGAAATCATATACAACTGAATTTTCTCAAATTTTGGTCCTGCATTTTCAACGAAAATATTCGGTTAAGTGTATATATTACTGACATCATTTTAGTACCGTGTATATTTAAAGTTAGATATCGCATGCACCGTTTACATTAGGATTTTTAAAGGCCTTGCCTATTACTCTTAAAATATACTGACCTATACTGTCCTAACATCCTCAGGCATGGCATTCCATGCTGCAACCACTCTGTTGAAGAAGAAGAACTTTCGTGTGTCTAGCCGGGCACAAGTCACACGCAGTTTGAGTGGATGGCCTCTCAGGTTAATCGTAGTCGCCAACTCAAAGAAGTCTCCAGATGCGAGGCAGCAGCCCTGATTGCGCACGATGCGGAAAGCTTGTATCAGGTCCCCACGTAGCTGTCTGTAACTCAAAGGAAAGAGGTCAAGATTAGCTAATCGTGTTTCGTAGGGTTGTGACAACTGCCCAGATACAAGTTTCGTTGCTCGCCGTTGAACTTTTTCGAGTATGCCCAAGTCTTTAGCGTTCCAGGGTCTCCATGCTTGGATAGCAAACTCCAGATGCGATCGCACAAAAGTTTGAAAGACCTTGGCGAAGCGGTCTGCATCAAAGGAGTAGAACGTCCGTTTGACGAGGTATAGAATGGACATCGCCGACTTGGCTAACTTTGAGCATTGCAGCGAAGGCTTAAGCGAGGTTGTGATCCATACGCCTAAGTCCTTCTGGGCGTCGACTTTTTGCAGTGGTTTGCCAGTCAGACGGTAGACCGTGCGGTTAGGAGAACTGGTTCCACCGACGCGTAGGAAGTTACACTTGTTTACGTTGAACGGTAGAAGCCAGTCTTCCGACCATTTCTCGGGGTGGTCCAGATTTGTCTGCAGTCACGCCTCGTCAACTTCGCTTCGTATGGTACTCCAGATCTTTATGTCATCGGCAAACATTGCGACATCGCAATCCAGTTCGTTTGCGCAGTCATTGACGTATACGAGGAACAGTGTAGGGCCAAGAACAGAGCCTTGGGGAACACCACTCCTAACGGCAACCTCGGCAGAGTGCTGGTCGCCGACGTGGACGGCTTGAGAGCGGCCGAGTTAAAAGCTTCGAATCTACATCAGAAGCTTACCTCGCACTCCTGCACGGCTGTTTGTATAGAAGGCGGTGATGAGGCACACTGTCGAAGGCCTTTTTAAAGTCGATATAGATGGCATGCACCCTATCTCCTCTATCAACAGCCCTAGTCCAGTGTTCCACACAGTAGAGCAAGTTTGCCACACAGGATCTGCTTTTGCAGAATCCATGCTGGGAATCGGAAAGCAGATGGTTTTTTTCAGGGAACTGCATTAACTGTTGCTTCATTATCTTCTCCATAATCTTACAGCAGATGGAGGTGAGGCTGACAGGTCTGTAATTGTTCGCAGAGACCCGACTTCCGTCCTTATACAGCGGCGTAATCCACGCCGTCTTCCAGTCGGGTGGCAGATATCCGGTCTCGAAGGACATATGGAAAAGCATGGAGAGTGGTTAAACCAACTCGCCGGCGAGTTCCTTTAAAATCTTCGCCGGAATCTCATCGGGACCTGGTGATTTGGATTCCGTTAGCCTCAACAACTCCGCCAGGACCATACCCTCAGTGAACTGAACGGTCTCCATAATTGTGGTGTCTTCGAAAGGCTGAAGGGCCAAAGGGTTTAATTCTGTTTCGCTACTAAAAGAGACCAAAAAAATGCTGAAAGGTGATCAGTTTTCGCTCTGTCTTCAATGAGATGTTCGCCTTTAGCAGTCTTTAGCAGTGGTATTGGGTCCTTGTTCCGCGTACACTGCCTTATGTAACCGTAGAATAATTTAGGATTCTCTGCGGCACGGTTAAGCAGATCCCGTTCGAATTCCCTTCTAGTTTCGAGGATAGAGCCCTTGACTCGATTTCTTTGAATTTTGTACGCGCATATAGATGTGGGGCTCCTGTCAGAAAGCGATTTTTTTCCACAGCGTTCGTTTTTTATTCACTTTATTCTTCAAGGCTTGCGTAAGCCATCGAGGTCTGTTAGTTAACCCCTTCCGTGAAAGCGGACAGTTGTTTGCGATCAGCTCGTGCAGAATTTCTCGGAACCGTTGCCAGTCTACGAGTATGCTTCCAACAAATTAGGACTCCCACTCAATGCGTGAAGTTTCAGCCCTCATCTGGTCGAAATCCCCGCCCCAAAGGTTTCTTCTAACTGTCACGGGTTCCTTGGACACGGAAAATAGCGAGTAATCCCATAGAAGAACGACGTGGTCACTTTTACCTAAGGGGGTAGGCATGGCACCTCATCAATGCTGCCCTGTGACTTCGTAAGGACAAGATCAAGGCAGTTGGCTTGTTGGCCTTCGCGTACTCTAGTTGGTATCATGACGTGTTGAGTGAGAAATGGCTTCAGTGCCGTGTTCAGAAAACTCCTATCGAAGGTCTGTTCTGAGCTATTTGCATGAATTGAGCTCCAGTCAATATGGGGCGCGTTAAAGTCGTCCATGATCAGGATATCCGGGCGCGCAGCGAACTTTTCGAGCTCCTCCAGGAGGCGAGCTTCGGCCATGTTGTCCCGTCTCGGCGGTCGATAAACTGTCGGGACATCGAGGCAAGGCGAGCCCGACACTCTAATAGACAGGCAGATTGCCTCGGAACTGCACGAAAATTTGTCGGTTTTGTCTGATACATTTATCCCATTTTTTACATACGTGATAACGCCTCCTCCCTGACGCCCTTCCCTATCCCTTCTAAACATCTGGTAGCCAGGCAATGCAACTCACGATCGTCCACGTGTTGGGTCAACCAGGTTTCTGTTAGAGAGATTACGTCAGGGGATAGATCGCAGAGGTGGATCTTCAGCTCGTCGAACTTTGATAGCAAACTCTGCACGTTGGTGTACAACAATTTCATTTTTCGGCCAACGGAATATGTGGTTACATTTTGGTGAGCGCCTTCACTTAATATGTCGGCTGCGCGGTCATTCGAACCGGACCTGTCCAAAGGAAGAGTGGCGGACGCCGCCGTACTTAGTTGTTGTATATAACTAAATTGTCCTCGCCCTCGCTGAGCCTCTTAGTTCTAGAACTAGTTGACGACGTTTGAGCCGTTCCACTGGCGAGTTGTCCGGTTGAAAAAAAACACCTGGGTTGGAGCCTTTAGTCCTGAATCGCCTAGAGTGAATGAGACTGGCTTGGTCGCTGCTGGCTAGCACAACTTAAAGAGGCCGGGGACGAATCGACACTGACGAATTATCTGCTCGTTTTCCAAGGCGGAAGGCTTTGATCACTTCAATAGCCTCAGTGGATTCCAAAATATTGTCGAGAAGACCTTGGAAGAGTGATAGGTCTTCCGAAACCCTCTCCTTGGGAGTATTTCAGGGAGCCCCTGAATAATGAGACATTTTTCTCGGTCGGTCTCTTTTTTATTTTCTACGGAAGTGTGGGTCCCTAAATTACGTAACGCTCTGGGATTATGCGCTGGCGACGGTGGAGCAGATGCGCTTACGCCGTCTGTTTGTTTGACTCTTATGTTGACCACCTTGGAAGAAGCGCTTGGCAGAGAAGACTGTGGATAGAACTCTGTGCCTCTGATGAATGAATCGATTCCACCGCTCGTACTAGGTCTATCAAGCTCGGACTATTTCAGAGAATCAGCTAGGGTGTTTGGACACACAGCATTTGCCATGCGGGACGGAACGTCCATCAATGTCTCTGTTTCGGCCTCTACGGAGGCATCTTCCGGAAGTAACCGTCCGTTTTCCTTGGCCTTTTCACAGTTTAATTTCTTTTTCTCTTCAGTTTTCGAGTTTCCTTTCTGTGCGTTATTTTCTCGCTTTTTAACTATTCGTTCTGAAACTGCCGTGATAGGTGGTGGCGTGCCTATTATGCTGGGAGCTTTTGCCCTACTTCTGGTTACTCGTCCATTAGGCATTTTGGTAGTGTCCGCTTGGTCTAGACTGCATCACAACTGGGCTTTCATCTTTGCGATTTCTTCCTCAAGATAGTTGACCTTGACGGCCAAAATCTGGCATCCACTGCAACTTTGGACTGCATTTTCTGCGTCTACACAGTCAAAAAGACTATGTGATATTGCTCGCCGCCGGGCTGCGGTGGCCGGGGAGTTAGAGCAGTTGACTAAGGAAGGATGATCACTGAATCGACTCCACACTCGGCCCCCATATTTTGGACGTAAGGGCTTATTTCAGTCATGCCGTGAAGTTATGGAAAAGGAACAAGGCGTAGGAATCGAAGAAAAAACGTCGCCAAAGGGCCAAGTAGTATGGTTAATTTTGTTGGAGAATTCCAAGAATGCAAGGCCTAGAGAACTTTTTAGCTAAGACTTTTTGGTAATATTCCAAGTGTACAAATCTAAGCAGCTCAACAAGCAGTGCAGAAATTATCGACTCAGCCTTTAGTAGGTCCTCTTCCAAAGGTACGGTGGACAGTTCGAGACGATATGTAGGATTTCTAGGCTGTGATCGCTAGGCTCAGATTGCCAGCAGAATTACCAAGTTTGAGAAAACTGTCCTAGTCTTACGATGAGGGCAACGATGACAACAAGGTTGAGGGTAGAAGGCAGCAATGCGTTTAGAAATCCAGTTTCTGATGCAGGATCAACTGTTTCCAGTGAGGAACTCGATTGAAAATGCCCTTCTTGCTCCTCAAAATTTAAACCATGCTGGCTCAAAGTTTTCAGTGTTTTCGGATTCAGACACACGACGGACTCGTATACCGAAGTTAGGTAGAGGCAGCTAGCTTACTAACGTGATTTTTCAATTGCCCCGCTTCCTATGGTTAGTAAATGTCAATACAGTTAAACGTCTTCGGCTCAAAAAAACAAACCAACCAATTACTTTATTTAGAATGTCTGCTTACTACCCACCTAAAGAACACATTCTTAAAACCTCCATTACCGTCTTCTCCGTAAGACAGGCGCCTGAGGGTTGGTCGTGAATTCCTTTGGGGGACTCCCCTATACTGTTGCCTCCACCGCAAAAATTTGCTCAGGGGGACGCCTCCTCGTCGTCAGTTTTGGGACCTCTTAACAAAGTTGATTTTCGCGTGCACAGCGCATCCCCGCGAAACGTTTCTATATCGCCCTTAATTGTGGTACATCGAAACCCCCAAACTGCAGCCGACCTTACCTTTCTACTTTAGAGTATTTAGGCGTCGAGCGCGGTCCCCACTATTTCGTATAGTGCAATAGACACCAGTACATACTATGGATAAGATTATTTTATTATATGTAAATAATTAAAAATTGCCGATGGATGTACAAAATGGTTATAGCTTCATGGAATGATTGTGATAGGCGTGAACTTTGAAAATGGGTTCATCTTCCCCGACTGGTTCCTGCAAATAAAAAAATGCACGCGTTAGAAACGCATACTTTATAGTGCATACTAATGCTGCATTTTAGAAGCTAAACTAGCGAATTAATAACCATGCTTATTGCCCATATTTATTTTAAAAGACAAACTTACTCATTAAAATATTAATGAGTAAGTGGTAATGAGTCGGTAAGTGGTGCTCCAAAGGCTTCATGCTTTCTTCCAATAGTTAACAGAAAATGATACACAACGTGTAAGGCTGCCCTATCACCACTAAGTCTGCCACTACACCCATAATTTCACTATTAGACAACGAGTGAGCAGACACCGTAAAACTACTCATAAGTCGCAAACATTAACTCGCAGACATTAATAAAGGCCATAAACCTGGCATTGATTAACTTGCCACTAAGTTGGGAGAAAATCGATCGCAGCACACGGTGGTCACAATCATGCCGTTCAGCGCGCAGATATAGGCAAATGACATGAACAAATCCACGATAAATTAAGGTCATCCTAGTCTAAAATAAGTTGGAAATAGAAGTCTAGTATATCGTGAAAATATCGCCTGTTTTACATTCGATTACTTATTTTTCAGCGAAATATACGCCAGGAGGTTTTAGTGCTTCCATTGCCGATCTTCAGTTTTCAGCAAACGCGTGGTTCCTGAATACTTCATATGTTCCTATTGGAATGGGTTGTGGGCCTCGCCTAGCCCCGCTATCAGTCCAGCGTATGAGGGGCTCATGCGGTAACAAGGTCGGTATATGGAACGCAAACCTGGAGGCCGCGGGCATCCAAAGAGTTCAAGAAAAAGTCACTGGAATTGAGAGAACTCAAAGCCTCTTTCTCTACACAACCCGACCAACAAATATGACCCTGTCTCCTTCGAGTTATGGGCAACGACACGGGGATCTTTCGAAGACATTCGGCAATGCAAAGGGGTAAACCACAACCTTGCTCTTGAGGACTTTTTGATTTTGTTACCAAGACCTACTCATTCTCAGTTTGTTATGGTAATATGGTCGCATTTCAACTATTTCTGCCGACATGGCATCTGTGTAAAATATACTCAGTGTTACGTTGTCGGTAGGACACTCGAAGATAAACGCCTATTTCCCTCAGTGAAATGAACTCAAATGCCCCTTTTTAATGCTGAGTTCGTTACAAATCCGTTTCAAATCGAAGCGGCTAGCACAAGGATAAGAAGCGTCAAAAGGATTGTAGCCGATCATCGGATTCTGGACCTTTTTTCTTGTCACGGATAAAAACTGAAAGAGCAAACTTAATTGAATCAGGGTGACGCCTTCTATACGTTTGTCTGATATAAGACCAAGGGTTATTATGCGTATACGAGAAATTCAGAAACCGATGGAGGCGATTCTAGATGTGTCGATTGAAGCGAACAGGCGGGCTCTCGTAACCACTTAAATGTTTGACCAAAGTCTGCTGTCCAAAACCGAACCGCACAAACCATAAACATACTGACTCAGAGTGCAGAATGCAAGAGAATCGTTCAGTTATTTTCCTGTCTTTCCCTCTCTTATGCCTCAGCCGAGCACTCTTTCGCATTGCCTGCGTTTCGCATCTTCCCGGTCAACGTGAGGAATTTTTGAAATATTTGGGAGTTTGCCAGTATCCTTAAAAGTTTGGAAACTCCATTCGCCTTTGCAAAATTTTGATGTACAAGGCTTTCTGAAAATCCGAGCCTTGTTTGTTGAAACTCTTTGCTTAGGCACAGTATTCAAAATGGATGAGGAATACGACATCATCGTCCTTGGGACCGGGCTTAAGGTCCGTTTCTCTCGTTTAGCTTGTCTTATTTCTTTTCAGGAATGTATTCTCAGCGGCCTGATGTCGGTTGCCGGGAAAAAGGTGCTGCATATGGATAGGAACAACTATTATGGTGGAGAGAGCACGTCCGTCAACCCGCTTGAAAACTTATTCGAGCGCTTTAATAAACAATATCCATCTGATGAACGCTATGGCCGAAGTCGGGACTGGAATGTTGACCTTATTCCAAAGTTTCTGATGGCCGAAGGTATTCGTTTTACACGATATTATTTCGTAGGTAAATTGGTCAAATTGCTTCTCCACACTGGCGTGACTCGCTACCTCGAATTCAAATCCGTTGCGGGTAGCTATGTGTACAAAGGAACCGATGGGTCCGACAAAATATACAAGGTTCCGTGTGATGAAGTTGAGGCGTTGAACTCAAGTATGTTCTTTTTTCACTTTGTCTACTTGACCAGAGCTTATGGGGATTTTCGAAAAGAGGCGTTTCCGAAAGCTCCTCCTGTATGCAGACCAGGTAGAAGAAGACAAAAAATCAACTTGGAATAACATCGAACTCGACAGGTGTACGATTATGAAGGTTTTTGACCACTTTGGTGTGGATTCCAACACCCAGGTACTTAATTAAACCTTTTGCATTACCTCCATTTGGGGATCTTTTAAAGTCACCCTGATATCATTTAGTCGCCCAGGGCTAGACATTTGCTAGCCCATTTGACTTGCAAGCTAGTGCAGATCTAGTAACCTGACTGGCTGAGAATACTCGGTCTGTGCGAGGAAAGTAACTTTTCTGCTACACCCCCGCCCTGATGCTCACCCGAGTACATTTTCCACGTCACGCCTGGGGGCTCCCTTATCGCATACGTACGCATTTTGTCCGGAATTTAGGCCCCTATTTAGCAACCTAAATCGCCTCGGGCTAAAACGCCCTCAATTCGCCCGGGAAAGCGCGTCAACCTACTGTCCCCGTGTGGACAGTGCCCGCTAGGATTGCTGAAAAATCCAGTCAATCGCAACACTAGCCCGCGACTGGGCGACCGGGCTAGCCCTGGGCGAGTAGAATGCTGTCAGGGTCAGTTGTGGACTAACATGATGTTAGCCGTTTTACGACTGCCTTGTGGAGAGGGAACTAGGAATTTTATTTGAGGTCCGAAAAGCCATTTTTCCATGCTCCCGCCAGTTGCGATGACTAGTTGTCTTTGTTTTTATCTATTTTCGTCAACAAGTTCACAAATTTATGAACATAGTTGGAATCGACGCACGCAGACATGGTGTCCTTTGCCGCTTTTGTTTGGAAGACTCATGCTGTACTGTGTTTCCTATTAGCACAACAGGCCTCCGATTAATTGTATTTGGGGCATCGTCACTCATTAAGCACAATGGCGTCTTGATTGGCTTTTTCGGAGTTGTCTATTCAGTAAATTCCTGCTGTAAAGGATTAACAGTGATGTTTTCCTTTGAAAAAATTGAATTTTGCATAGTTGGGCGCCTTCCTCATCGGTGTGAGATTTCAGCAAGGTGTTAGTTACACAAAGATAAATCCGTTGTCAATCACTCTTGGAAGTGGGTAATAGGCAGGGTGACCCCTACACATCAACGGTATTAGCACTAAAGGACGTTCACAAAGTGTGGATGCCACGAAAACTTTAGTCGGTGTGGTCATTATACCTAGGCGTTTAAAGCCTGCTTCCCTGTGCGCAGTTTGCCGGGTGGTCTATTCATAAAAGCGACAAGCTGACACACATCTGATTATGCGTTATAGCACGATCCGCGTGCTATAGAGCCCTTTCATTTAAAAGCAGGCATTTAGCAGTTGTTCTTAATTGCGGTCTGAAGACGTGAAAAGTAGCAATAAGGTTTAGTCATCTGCCTCACCACACCCAAAATTGAATGGGACATTTAGAGGTCATTGACGAAAGAAATGATACCCACAACTACAAGTCTTTCCGCGCAAGCTAGTTTCCACCTCCTTCAGTAGCAGAGTACTTCTATACAGCCTTCCCCGGTCCCTTGGATGTCATTGATCTCTCCAGTTAGCCATGACCTAATTCAGTCCGTTTTCCAGTATCTATGCATTTTCTCGTTATTTCTATCAAGCTTCACTGACATTTTTGTCAAATACTGAGGTGTTCGTAATTGCTTGTAGGACTTTATCGGTCATGCGATTTGCCTGCACCAAAGTGAGGATTACAAGACCAAGTGCAGTGCACTGGACTGCATAAAAAGGATGCAACTCTACAGCAACTCTCTGATGCGTTATGGAAAGTCCCCTTACCTCTACCCTCTCTACGGGTTGGGTGAGTTACCGCAGGGCTTTGCTCGCCTAAGCGCAGTCTATGGTGGTACGTACATGCTGAACAAACCGTTTGATGGATTTGTTATGGAGAACGGCAAGGTGGTTGGTGTGAAGTCAGAAGGTGAAGTGGCGAGGTGCAAGCAAGTGATTTGTGATCCGAGTTACGCACCCGATCTTGTCCGAAAAGTTGGCCGGGTACGCTTTCTTTTGGGATTTATATTTTTTACTATTCTCTTTGTACTCGATGTACGTTTTTTTACGAGGACACAGTAAACGCGGTCTCCACTTTCGAATTTGTGCTCAGACGAAATCGGCGGCGTTTTACAGTCCAGTGCTAAGGCTGGTTTGCCTATCCGAAATCGACAGGGAGATGTGCGCCACGCGTAGCAGGCAGCCATGCTGTCCTGTCATTGCGAACGACATCACTGTAAGATGTGGAAGTGCATACGAGTGATATCGTTTTCGGCGAAGGAGAGGCGAATTCGCCGAACTCCATGCAGATGTTTGATTACTACGGCGTCACCCGAACAAATTGTTTTATCCTACCGCGGGGATCGGATTCGGGGTGGAAACGTTGACTAAGTATTGAATTGCAGTTCAGGGAATCGCCCAACTGCCAAGTAAATATTTTGCTACGCAGTCGTTTCACAAAATCTTTTGTGGTCACCGTCGTGGTCCATCCTCTGTTAGCGGGAATGAAGAGACCAGTTATCCGAAAATTCCCTCGTTCACAACTCTGGCGTAGGAGTTTGGGTGGAGGTTCTAGGCCCACCGTCTGTTGCTTTATATCTGACAGCGTTATCATTGCGGGAAGCCCGTCAAACCTCTGTGGAATCTAAATATAGAGCGACCAGCTGAATCCGAAGAGGTGCGTGTTATACGCACACACCGCCGGATTATCATTTGTTCACTGGCTTAATTGACCCGTTCGATGTGAACTTTCCCCAAATTTGGATGGACCTAGTCTCATCGGGGATGTAGATTCTGTTTCCTATTATCGCATGGATTGACCCGAAACACTTGTCTTCTAAATTTTCGTAATTTTTACTCTAAAACTAACACTACTGGAGTAAGGTCCAGATAATCATAGACATTACGGGTTGCTGAATATAGAGCATTATGTCCTGCTCATGTCCTTATAGTTAATGACCAAACAATCGGTCAGTGCTCGATGTCGAAGAGAATATGGTGCGACGAACTACTCTTAAATTTTTGTTCCAACTCACAAATGAGCCTTTCCTGTCCTCTTTTCCCCACCTTGTCTCATTGATTTTAGCGATGCCGAAGGACCAGTTATCAATTTCTCGCCTTGTTCTTTTCAGGTGGTTCGGGCAATTTGCATCCTGGATCATCCCATTCCAAACACCGCAGATGCCCCTTCTTGCCAGATAATTCTTCCTCAAAATCAAATCGGACGCAAGCATGGTAACTGTGCTTTGCAGTTTTGCTGACTTTACTCTAGACATTTACATATCCTGCGTCTCATCCGATCACAAGGTTGCGGCTGACCGTTTCTTCATCGCGATGGTTGCCACTATTGTCGAGACCGACAATCCCCCGCGTGAATTGGCGGCTGGCATTCGTTTACTAGGTCCGATGAGGGAATGCTTTGTCAAGGACAGCGACCTCTATGAGCCGATTGGGCCCGGTACCGATAATCAGGTTTGTGCACCATTTATTTATCATTTGCAACCGGGTGGAAGAAAAACCGCACATTTTTCGTTCCTTTTGCATCTTGCCGCGTCTTCAGTCAGTACCAGTCTTGCCGTTGTTCCGACTTTTCTCACAATACTTTGGCTGTACCTGTTCCCCAGTTGTGTTTAAATGTCTCTAGGCCCCGACTTGTACGTGATCACTTCAAGCTCTTCGCCGATCACGGTTAAACTCAGGCCCAGAACTATGCGCACATGGCTTACTGCAAAATTTTCCGGCAAACGTAAACATTACAGTTCCCGCTTTGTAAGAGATTATTGACCCTAAGAACTGCGCGAAACCAATTGGCAGTGATGGTACCTCGGAGTCGAATGTCTGGTTTCAAATCTTAGGTTCCTCAGGTCCCGCAATTTGGTTATGTCCATTTGATGACAACAAAGTCAATAACGACCCTTCACCCCTCCCTTAGTCTGTGTGCGTATCTTAAGTGCACGGCCTACCGACCGTCCAGCCAATGCGGAGCCACAGTTGTGCATTGCAGGCGAATGAGCGTTTTTTGGAGCGGCCTCTGCATAGGTAGTTTCCTATTGCAAAAGCTCGTCGCCTTATTTAGTTGTTGGTTCGACTAGGGAAGAGCAAGTTTTTGTTTGTTATGCTTGTCATCCCACAAACGTGCTAAAAGTGTTTGTAAACGCCCTAGCTCTACACAACTTTAGACTGTGAGCGCAGGGCATTGTATCTTCTTATTTTTTCGAACGTGCCGTCTCCACTACCCCCTCCCCACTTGGCGCCTTACGATAAACCGGGGGGCGACTGAACATTGATTTTTTTCGCCCGCGACTTCTGAGTTTCAAGTCACTTGGATCGGAGACAGATTTGTAACGCTACGTACTTCATCGCCTCTAGAAAAGCCGTCTATCTCTAGGGCAAGCTGATAAAGCCAGAGAGGGCTTTGACCTCTGAGTAACTGGGAGACGACTCTGTGAAGGGATCTCAATCACAGTCCTCTGCAATTCTACGGAATGCCTAACTGCTTGGCCCATGTAAGCTGCCACCCTTCAGTTGCAGGCAACATGCTTAGCTTGCGCCGGTGTATACATGCCCGCAGGTTTGCGTTAGTAGCGCTCCAGCCGCTCTCTCATTCGTCTTTGGAGTCAGTGCGCTTGCCAGCTCGCCTGCTTTAGTCATGCTGTTGCCACTTCACCACTGCGCGACGTCAGCATGCCACCACTGTGCAATGAACCTTAAAGCCAGGCCGCGCGCACTCCTTAGTCCTTTACAGAATTTCTTTTATGCCTGTGCTATTTGTCGGCAGCTGCAAACTTCTCTTGACTTATACTGAGCCTCTACCCAGGTCATCTAAAGCCCTCAACTGGGGTAGAGCCGAAAGGTGGGGGACCGGCTGCGCCAGGTGTGTGTGTGCGTGCATGTTTGTGTTCCCGGTCCCAGCTGGTGGCTACGGCTATGATTAGCTGGATAAAGGCAAAAAAACCCGAAACAGTTCTGTATCAGTGTACCCTCAGACTCTGTCGTCTCCCCTCTGCAATTATAGCTTGGCTGACTTCGGCCTGGTAGGTGGTTGGCTGTTCGTGACCCCTAGCATCCCTATGAAGCTTGTTTGCTTCGGGAAGCCAATGGATCAGTGTGGGCCCATTCTGCGGAGTGCCGTGAACAGCCCCCTTAACCGAGCAAAATCTCACTGCCCTGACAACGAAACCTACCAAACAGAACTGAATTATTTATTAGAACTGTCTTCCAAGAATGGGTATCCTAGAGATTTTGTACACCGATGCATGAGACAACAGGAGTTAAAATAAAAGACACGGAACTGGATTGTTCCGATGAGGTGCCCAAACCAAAAAACTGACGAACACTTCCGTGCATTTAAAATGTGCCTGGACCAGTTAAACGACGCCTGAGGAAGCAGCAAATACACGTGGCGCACAAACCGAAAACTACACTTCGTAACCAGCTTGTACACCCTAAGGATAGGGTTGGCTATTTAGATAAGAAGTAAATCGTCTATGACATACTATGCGACACCTGTAATGCAGTTTACTTTGGTCAAACTGGGAAATCTGCCTCTACACGCTTACACGAACATCAGTTGCCAGTAAGAAGGCGAGACCACTTGTCCCAGGTTGCCATGCATGCACTGGAAACTGGACATAAATTTGCATGGAACAGGACGCGCATTATAGGTGTCTGCTCATTCATGAAAGGCCGTGAATTTTTAGAGACCACTCATTCTGATAAGTTATGCATCAACCGGCACAGAGTTAGACGCTGTGTACAACAATCTCAAGGGAAAGTGGAAAAGGCGTTAGCCAATCGGAACGTGATGCCCAAGCTATAGTAAAGGCTGACCGACAGGCCAATATCGATTTTGAGGCACGTTTCAATTTCAACTGTTTTTCACACATACTTCACGTCTGCGGATGACTTGGGAACTGAAGTCGAAAATTTTCGAAATAAGTTATGTTATTTTTCGAAGTGACTTTATTATCTCCAATTATGCTTCTTAGGATGCTCACTTTCAAATCTTGATATATATATATATATATATATATATATATATATATATGATGGTAAGGGGATGCTCACCGATCGTTCTTACGGAACTCACTCGTTCCTTTGTGCCTTACGAGCTCTCTCTCGAGCCCAACCAGCAGCCGCACAGCGGCGCATGATATGGGCAGTATGTTATTACCGACAAAGACAAGGGAGACTGGAATGGTCATTTGCGGCTTATTAGCCGTTGTCAGCCAATCATACCCAACCCCGAAGTGTGGCACACTCGAGGCTCGAACTCGCGACCTGTTAGTTAGAATTCCACGCCTCTAACCACTGGGCCACGAGCCGTTTGCGCTGTCGGTTTCAATCGAGAATATACAGTAATAAAGGGGCGCTCACCGATTGTTCTTCCAGAACTCGCTCGTTCCGTTGTGCCTTACGGGCTCTCTCTCTCGAGCCCAACCAGCGCACACGCGTACGGTCTGCCAAAGGTTCACAAAATTGGTGCCCCACTGAGTATTATTGTACCGCTCATCGGATCCCCTACTTACAATTTAGTCAAGTGGTTGTACAAGCATCCGAAATCGTTAACTCATGGATCTCAGTGCAGCCTTAACAGCTCCCACGAATTCTTCCACCGGATTGAAGTCCTCAGTGTAAGCACTGATGAATGCCTCTTGTATTTAGACGTCATTGCCTTATTTTCTTCTATACCACACGATTTGGCAATTGACTACGTAGCCCAACGGTTACAGGATAATCCTGTTAATATCCCAGCGCAGCACGCTATAGAACTACTCAAACTCTGCCTTAAGAACTATTGTAAGTTCGACAATAAGTACTACCAACGGGTGAAGGGAAGTCAAATGGGCTCCCCAATATCCGGACTACTCGCCGAACTAGGGCCACAGCGACTAGAAGATGAGCTTTTTCAAACTCTTAACCCCAGAATGTGGCCTTGCTATGTCGACGATACTTTTGTCGTAATAGAGAACCGCGAAATCGAAAAGCTACATCAGAGGCCGAATGATGTCTTTCCAGCCATGCAATTTACCCGTGAGGAGGCAGTTGGAGACAGTCTGTCGTTTCTGAGCGTAAAAATACAAAGGCTGGACGACGGTAATCTCGTGACCAGCGTCCATAGAAAAGAGTTTGATTCTGAGATCATCCTCAATTATGGAAGCAATCACCCCGCGGCTCACAAAAAAAAGCTGCGTCCGAACTCTCTTCCACCGGGCCTACCGTTATTGCAACAATGACGATCTCCTGAAAAAAGACCTAGCGTATCTGTATCGGTTATTTCGATCTAACAGATATCCGATCAGTTTTGTGAAGAACTGCCTCAGGTGTCAGACACAACCTCGAGGCCACTTCTCAAATGGAGAAATCGTGACTTAGAAATTCTTATCCCTGCCCTATATGCAGGGGACCTCAGAAATGATCGCCCGTCAGCTAAACCAGTTCGGTATCCGCGTTGCCCACAGTCGGTCAGGAACGAAACTGTCCAATTGCGTCCTTCTTACTCAGCCATGCGTTTCGCGGACGTGCCAACGAAGTCATCGGAGATGTCATTTCAACCGAGCCGACATCGAGTGCAGCTCTTGCCTTGCAGTCTTTGGTCTGCGAGGCTGGCGTAACAGCTCCTTCAACTTCACCGGCGAATCTGCTTCTGACCGACTGCGAGAGGGGGGGGGCGGTGCGGCGATCCAGTAGTGTGGAGCCGGCCGACTCAGTCTGGATCAATGACATCATGTAAGAGTATGTAAACACACAAATCTCTGTATTAAGGAGCAAGTTGACACGGATGATGGGAGCTGGTAGAATGCCCCGCTCCCCACTTTCAAAAAGCCGTCACATTCGTGATCGTGTCATTTATGGCTAACATGAAGAAAGGGCGGAGACGCTTCCACATCCTCTGGTGCCCGTGTCCACTTTTACCAGGCATTCCTTGACAGGGGTCCGTGGGCCGGTGAGGCTGGTATGACGACTTCCACGGGTAGGATTCAGAGCCTGCCCCTGCCTGTACGCCAGTTACCCTCACTGTCGGATGTCTGTCCGGTTACGCCGATATTTGTTTGCACTCAAACGCACTCAAACATCTTTTTTTTATGTCCATTGTAGATATTCATCTCATCGAGCTACGATGCCACAACCCACTTCGAGAGCACGTGTGATGACGTTTTGAATATCTACGCGCGCGTGATGGGAGAGAAGTTCGATTTCTCGAAGGTCAAGGCTCGCCTGGACGACGAGTAGGCTTGTGAGCAGTTGTCACTTCGTGGTCGCCCCTCTCACGTCTCCAAGTCCTCATGTTGCATTGACTGCCTTTGCTTGGTTCCCATACTACTCCTCCGCCCTACGTTTTTCCCCAGCCCACCCGGTTGATCCATCTGCGTTTGCTGTCTAGAGTATTTTCGCCAAGTTGTTTGTAATGGCGTGCTGAGCCCGTAATCATTGCTACACCTTATTCCCACCCCTCCAGTTCCCTCAATGTCTGGCTTTTTTTTTACCTAACCGGGTTCAGAGTTGTTGTCCTGTCCTTTACGCGATCGTGGTTTTGATTTCGTTTTTATTTCTTTTTCTGCTTTCCGGACCGATGCGGACTACTGTTGAAATATGATCCGGTAATGTTACTGTTGCACGTTCATTTTTCTGGTCAGTGGGAGTTTGGATAAGGACACTGCACATGTCTCGTGTTTGGTTGTCTCACCCAGCGGTCGCCGCCTGAAGTCTTACGTGCTCTGTATGCGAAACGCCAGTGGTCTAGCTGGGCGGAGGCTTGTTCAGGGTTTCTGGTGGACTCAACGGACACGATAGAACCGTCGTTGGTCAATCATCGAGCGTTTATTAATATCAGGATTCCTATCAGCGGTCCTGGACGCCGTCTGTGCCAGGAGCGGGAGGTTCGCGTGTGGTTGACGTCCACTTAAAGTACTCCGATTGGTAGTCCGTCTCGGGGCGTCCCTCTTTCTGTCCACACCGGGGACACGTAATGCCACGTCCCACCACACGAATCGAGAAGGCATGCTGGAATGGTCGGATTTGGCGTATTGTTAGCAGGCAACTAAAAACAAACCTGGGAGTCGCTCCGGAGACGATAATTGGGCGAGGGGGGGGTTGGGGCTGTAGCATCGACTACGGCGAAAAGAGGATTTAAGTAGTCCACCGGTCGAACCGGATCGACTTACCATGCACTCTGCTGCGTGGGACCATAGTTTGGGAGTTGGACGTTGTATGTCGGTCTGCTCCAGGCGTGGGGATGTTGTTTGGGTCGGGTTCTGCCGGCCTCGAGTCAAGGTATTGCTGATTGATGGTGGTGAGTGGACCCGAGACAGCCACTTTAGTCTTCCTGGCTTCCCCGGTGATTCTTGTTTACCACGAAGGCCTCATCTCTAAGGTGAGCTGACTTGCTGGTTCAGGAAGCACTATTTCTGTTTGGACTGGTTCTCTTAGAAATGCTGAGGAACTACGACTGCAACCTGGCGAAGACATCAGTTGCACCGTTCCCAAAAATCACACTGTTTGAGCCGGTCAGGTCTGCAACTTTCTGACCGCGCCTATTTAAGCCGCCAATAAGTTCTGATGGCTAGACTGCTGTGGTAGTATGTAGACCACAGCGCGGGCGCGTGTCTTGCCTGTTTTTCCGCCGCTGCAAAGCGTAGCTGCTAGGGGTCGGACACTGTCCCCCAGCGTTCCTGGCTCCCGCTCTGGTTCTTGTCCTCGAAAAATGTGAGCGTCTGCTATGCCAGGGTCAGCAAACCACGGCCCTCGCAGCCTGCTAGGCGCTGGCAGTTCCCTGACACCTGGTTCCCTACTGATAGATGCGCTTGCGCTCCCGCTGGATATGCAGGTCGTGAGCATGGCTGCAAAATCATCCTCCTCTTTGTGATCCGTTGTTGTTGCTGTTAGTTATAATCTTGGTCAAGTGTTTGTTGTAGACCAGGGAGTGTGGTTGTACGCCTATGTGCGGGCCCGTCCGCGCCAGCCACCTGTTTACGATCTTCTTGACTATGTCTTGACTCCGGGTTCAGGTGGTGGAGGAGAGAGTGCTGTAAATGATTCGCAAGTCTACTCGTTATAAATTACCTCACGCACAAGTCACCGTGCCTGCTTCAACTTGCTGCGGGGCGCACGGTGGACATTGTCCGGTAAGACGGTCGAACTGTCACTGTAGTTCCCACTGCTAGGCTTTTTATTTCCACAAAAATTAGTATCTGGGCTTGGAGCTTTTGGTCAACCCTGTTCGGGTTCGATCTGAGAGTTGACGTGAATATTTGGGCCTATAGTGCATCAGCTTCGGCGGAACAATCTTTCAATATTCATAAACGACAGGCAATAGTTTATAAATTGTCATATTCCCAACAGTGGTACCAGCTGGAACCGCAGACACGGGTTCCGCCCTTCCTGAGTCGCTGTCTGATGCAGCTTCGGGGGTTTTCCACTCCCGGTGTTCCCAATGCTCGCTCCGGTGTATGATCCAGCTCCAGCTTCCTAATCTTCCCAGAAATCGATATGTTGACTTGGAGTACATCCGCTGGGAACGACCTTTTCAGTCTCGACGCGAAATTTGAGCTAGAATCTGCCCGCTCCAGTAGAATAACTGCATGATATCCACAATCTGCCAACATGCAGTCGGCAGTGCTTAAATGTAGATTTAGCACGTTCACAACAGTTGCACCGGTTAAAAGCCCCCTCGAGACACGCGCGTGTTTCGCCGATTTTGTGCCGCTACCTAACGCTACTACAAGCGGTTCGGTTCGTTACAGATTCGGCGAGACACGCGTGTCTGGGGGTTTTTAGCCGGCATCCGTGACGAGAGTGTGGTAATTTAATCAATAGTCACAAACTACTGACCGTCTGTTGACAGCTTGTGAATATGGAGTGGTTATTCTGCTGGGGCTAATGAACTTCAGTTCGACATCAACATTCGGGTCGAACCCGACAGAGCTTGCCTTTAGGTATTTGATTCTCTATAACACATTTATTTCTCAAGGAATTAAAAACACAAACGCAATACGACAACGAACACTGTAGACATTCAGCCTGTAGACCAAACATCCAGCGTAGCACAGGAGGAGTAGTCTGCGCCTATCAGAGCGCAGGACACTCAATATCCTGACTCCCCCGATTATCTTCGGGTGTTCCACCGGATAGAAATAATCATTAAATGCAACGTAGCCGTGAAAGGCTAAACTGCGTCAAAGCAAACGGCTGAAAAATAAACGCGAAGAGCACAAAGCAGCGAGGTGGCGCCTGCCAAGTTCTACGCAACTACCGCCGCCGGTAGCTTTGTCTGCCAGTTGCATGCAGTTGGAAGAAAAAGATGGACTCACCAGAACGGGTTTATTTGACTCTTCGAAGAGCTTGGTCGGCTCCCCATTGTCAAAGCGTAAAATGCACTTAATTGGCCAGGAATTTCAAGTGGCATGTTGCGTTGATCGGCCTCATGCTGATCGATTTTTCTCTAGCCGCCTCAGTCTCTCGGGCGATGGTTAGCGGAAGTTTGACCTGTGTACTTTTTGAGCCCGACTCGTCGGGGGTGGGGGTGATTGGACCTTCGTCTGGTGTTTTTTTCTCACCGAGTAGACTCGCCTCCGACCTGTCTACATATGGCCTTCTTAAGTCCAGTGTGTTTACTTGGTCCTGAGCTCTACTGACGTGCTAACGTAGAACTTTGTAAGCTGCAGGAAGGTCCAGATGCCGGTTGATAGGGTAGGCATCAGCGTACCAAGCCTCGAGTGTTAGCCGTTCTACTTTTGTGTTGCCTCGGCATGAGATGGTAGCTCTCTGGAGATCAAAAGTATGCGCAGTTTCTCCAACGTGCGTTGCTAGTTGAGAATTGGGGTCTAGCCTCCGAGTGGCCGATTTGTGCTCTTGTAGGTGGGTCTGCAACTTCCACCCACAGTCGCTGACAATTTTATCATCCACCTTGGGCTTATTGTACTTACAGTGCCCACATTGTGCTTACACTTGAGACCCGGACAGCATAACCGACGCCTGCCGCAAAGACGAGGGAAATGTGTGCGGTCATTTTGTTTGCTTATTTTTCGGTCACTGGTCAACCAACATCAGCTCGAAGTTTTGGAAGCTGTGAGACATGAATCCGAATCTGCTGGTTATTGAACATTTGAGCCAAACGCACTACCGGTTAAGCTATTGCCCCCTTCCTGTTGGCTGGGATTGAGGATGTTTAGTGTCGAATGAAGAAGCTGAGTTTGCCCACGGATGCCGTTATCAAAAGTGGCATATGAGCGATAATGGAGAATAAGCCAGATATTACCACTTCGCCCGCCCCCTACCCTTTCATACCTTTCAGTAAAAGCCCTCAGTTAGTACTCGCTCCTCGCTATGCGACCATCTGTGTGAAGCCTTAACTGGAGCTCCACGCAAAACGGGGTCCGTCCTTCCATAGAGATTAATCGGTGAACAGCACAGCCATTCAGATAATTTACCTGAGTTGTCATTCCCGGAAGAAAACAACTTCGAGTTTGCTTGTACGTAGAGAAGTGGTGAAGGCTTTACCAAACAGGGAGATTTAACGACTGGGAACTACAGGCAAGGCGGAAAATACCCTAATCGGGGACTGGTATCCGAAGGCGAACGCATTGTGATTAGCACTCAAACTAACTGCTGGTTTCCGTTTTAGGACATACGGTTCACGTGTTCAGGCGCGTTGCGTCAATCTAAGCTTGTGGGTGTCTTTATACTGTTATGCTTTTTAGAAATGGCCAATGGAATCTAAATTTGGGATTTTCAAATTTGGACAGCGACAAATGAACACGTCAAAACAGGCATGTCCATATGCAGCCGTTGAATTCTGCTCATATTCGGATTGAGGAGGCTCTCATTCTGAAATTTACCACGCACCGGCACCAAGATTCGGAAACTTTAGAGTAAAAAAACATAGGGTTTCTGAAGGGATAGGGAGAATGAGAGGTAAGGAGAATGCATACAAGCCAACGAATAGCTTACTGGTAGCTGGCAGGAACCATTTATAGGTGAATTAGTACCCAGCCTGTATTTTAAGCGTAGAGCGGTTCAGTACTCCATTGGAATGTTGTTAATCGCTAACTGACACCGGCTTTATGAGAAAGCGAATTCTTGTCTTTGTCGGTAATCTTACTTTGTCTACATTACGCTCCTCTGTGCGGCTACTGGTTAGGCTCGGGAGAGAGCCCCAAGGTACAACTGGACGAGTGAGTTCCGTATGAACGATCGGTGAGTGCCCCTCTACCATTGTACATTTCCGATCGCAACCGGCAGGACAACGAGCCGGTGGGTCAGGGGTTAGGGGCATTGGACTTCTAACTAACAGGTTGCTGGATGGAGCCCCAGGGGTCGAACGCCTCGGGGTTGGCTATGGCTGGCTGACGACGGCTAATAAGGCAGAAATGGCCATTTCGGCCTCCACTGTTTTTGTTGTCAATACCACTCTGTCTATATCATGCACCGCTGTGCGGTTGCTGGTTGGGCTAGAGAGAGAGGGCCCTAAGGCACAAGGGGACGAGTGAGTTCCGTAAAAACAATCGGTGAGCGCGCGTCTACCAGAGGGGGCTCTGTTCTCAACACTTACTCACCAGAGGCGCACCAACGAAAGGCGTAAAATTCCGATTTCCAAAATCGCAAATGGCCAACTCATCTAAATGTAACACAAGAAAGAGCCAGCTGCAACCGTCCGGATTTGTTCTATTCAGGTGGATTTTAGGCCGGATTTTGAGTGGTCTAAACGTTGGTACTGCTTCTAGACTGCAACCTCAAGGCGCTCCGCATTTCGGTGCGTAATCAGGATGGATTAACGTTGAACATTCACACTGAGATCTACAGGACACAGTCTGGGCTCAGCGATAGACAAAAATTGTCTATTTTAAAATCCTGGATCTGGCGCCACAGTTAACTTAAGTCCCCTAATTCTGACACGGAGATTGGGTCATTTCTGCTAAACTGCCAATAGGCCAACAGCGTCCAGAAATGTCTCACAATGTAGTCCCAAACAGAAGGCAAATTAGCTCAGCAACATTCAATCAATCCGTCAGTCCAATCGCCCGCATTTGTTCATGCAGTCAGGTGAGGTCATCGTGGGACACACACGTTCGCGTTATAAATTTTACGCAAGCACACATGAGAATTTATTGGCAGCCGCGACTTTCATAACTTCTTTCCCGCTGCTTAATGGTACATCCAACATGAATAACAAGTAGTAGGTGGACAAGAGATTGACATAAGTTTGCAAATGCATTTATGATTTTATGGAGAAGATTGAAGGCCTCGAAATTTTCAGCAAGCGCATGACTTCTGTGAAAGCGGAATAAATACCTGCAAATCTACTGTTTAGTGAAGCAACTGACGTCGTGGCAGTCCGCCTTCGTGATCGCCAGCGCAGCCCCTCACCCATGCCGCCGTCAGCCCGCATAACGTCCCCTGTCAGTCGATTGCTTGGACCGCTTGTGACTTGGCACTGGCGTGATGAGCGCTCGAAGCCAATGGACGCTGCGTTCTTCACCGATTGGCTGTAAGCAGACAAAACCCAAGCGCACGCACGCGCTTTGCGTTGGAGCTGGCAATCTCAACCGCTATCAGCGGCCTGGGTAGACGTCCTGATGCGTCTGCCACCTTAGCTGCGTTTATGCTCGCTAGCCTCAGTAAAGTTTGTCCAAGGACTCTGTCTTACCTGCCTTTTGATTTGTAGATTCTGGAGTTGTCGCCCATCGCATCTCGACAACAGCATAAATATTCATAATTCTGATGCTCTTTTGTCACATAGAAAACTCCACGAGTTGCTGAGACCATACACTGAATATGTCCCGGTCCTTTGAAAAGACATCAATACGGACAGACGAATGAAGTAGCAAAAGGGAGTTCATTTAGTCCAGTTCTTGTTCACGTTTTTATTGCTCAGCTAGAGAAAAGAACACATTTAAAGGTTCAGGTCGTAGATGTACCTAGAGCGCCGTTATCGGCAGGCTAAGTCTACGTTATCAGGATGAGGAAAGACACCAGAATTAGGGCTTTTTAGAATCGCGAAAATTCCCATGGTAGTATCCAGAAGACTATTTGGATAAATTCTCGTCAAGTTCATTTTCTCACTGCCCTTGCATGCTCACTCATGCGAGTCTGCAGTCATTTCCCGATTTCTCCAACGTAGTTAGACTCACAGGAACTGTACTGGACACGGTAGACGACATTCACAACTTCGCCTCGTGACAGAGGTGCCTTGGGTCCCATGACCAGACGTCGTATTGCCGACTCTCAAGTAGCTGTGAAAGACAAGCGACTGCTTCGGATACCTCCTCGATATATGGTAGTGCCCGCCACACTTGATTGTTCCGTCATTAGTCATAGCTTGCTTCGGCTGTCTGCTACGCTCTATGAAGCTGCGAGAGAGACCGTTGGAGGTGTACATCCGCCGCAGATAATAGAGTTCGACTTCTTTGTCGTTTGCATCGCTGCAACGCGTTTCCGCCCTCATGTAAAGGGTTAGCACATAACTAAGTTTGTGGCACGACGGGTGGTAACTTAGGTCCTGACGTGTGTTAGTGACCTTTCGGTATGCCGTCGTCTTTAGGCTTTCGTCTGTCTTACAGTGGACCAGGACGTCTAGGAACGCTATTTGATTGTTGACCTCTGCCTCGATTGTGAACTGAATGTCCGGAAAACGGACTTCAGGGTTGCATGAAATTCCCGCTTGAGGACGGCGAAGGTATCGTCGGAAATATTGATTCGTAGGTCGCGAACGCCAATGTCCTTATCTTTCGAAAAGCAGCCTCAGAAATTAAACCAGAAAACGGCGAACCCATCGGAGTTTCTTTGCTTTGCTCGCAGACCGTCCCCTTAAAGTTGACATAAGTTTTGAGGCGGAAATTAAACAGCTGAATAATATTCCTTCGTTTAGACCTATCGATCCCCTCCTCAGGTTGACTGTCAAGTAGATCGCCGACGGTTCCAGCTGCAAGACGGAGAAATTGAGGTTAAGAGCGCGAAAGCATCAAATGATACCATGACTTCGTCTTCGATAAGGTTTAGTCCCCGGAGTCCTTCCATGAAGCCTACGGCTGAGCGGGCCATTGTATCGGGGGCTGGTGTGACACAGTTCAGGCGTCGGAACAGCTATTTGGTCAGAGTGAATGTGGACGTTCCGGGCAAAGATACGATAGGTCGAAGCGGAACACCAGGCTTGTGTACTTTAGGAAGCCCAAGGAATCTTGTCATGGCAGAATCTGTTTGATTAATGGTCAGTCGTGCTGCTTTTGAGATGTCATATATATGAGTGAGGAAGGACGACAGAGAATGCGGGTAGATTGATACAGCACTGTTTCGGGCTTATTCTGCCTTCATTCAGCCAATCATAACCCTGACCACCAGCAGCTGAGACAAGAAACACAAACATGCGCACAGACGCACCTGGCGCAGTCGATCCACCACTGAGGCCTACCAGATGGGTCATAAGCACTTCATCGAACCGAAGTTCATCAGTGCCTCGCCACCTGTCATTCTCTGTCGCTGCAGATAGGGTATTTATCAATCAGGAATGGGCGCACACCGATCTATTGGCTTCACAAAGCAAACAAGCTCCGTATGTGTGGCAAAGGTCACGAACAGGCAACCAATTACCAGGCCGAAGTCGGCCAAGTCATAATAGCAGCGAGGAGGGACGACAGAGAATGCGGGTAGATTGATACAGCACTGTTTCGGGCTTATTCTGCCTTCATTCAGCCAATCATAACCCTGAGCACCAGCAGCTGGGACCAAAAACACAAACATGCGCACAGACGCACCTGGCGCAGTTGGTCCACCACTGGGGTCTACCAGATGGGTCATAAGCACTTCATCGAAGCGAAGTTCATCAGGGCCTCGCCACCTGTCATCGTCTGTCACTGCAGATGGGGTATTTATTCAATCAGGACTATTACGACTTGGCCGACTTTGGCCTGATAGTTGGTTGCCTGTTCGTAACCTTTGTCACACATACGGAGCTTGTTTGCTTTGTGAAGCCAATAGATCGGTGTGCGCCCATTCCTGCTTGAATAAATACCCGATCTGCAGTGACAGGGAATGACAGGTGGCGAGGCACTGACCAGAACGAGATGACTAAACCAAACTTAAGGAATCCGGGTAGACATGGTCCTGCGGCGAACTCACTCGAAGGGAAGGCCAAGTTAAAAACATTCTCCATCGAGATGACACCGCGTAACGCCATCGGCCGCCAAACCTTGCAAACATCTACCAAAATGCTGAGGTAACGAATGAAGGAAAAAATCGATCGGTGCAAGGCCGAATAGTTTGACCAGACATTTAAAATTCTGATCGATTTTAAGCATAAAACGCTTTGAAAATGGAGATCAAACCAGGCTCTGCGAAACGTCAGCAACAGGACGAATCTGTTCCGCTGAACAATTCCAGTTTCCCTGGTAGCATTGATCAGTAAGTAAGGTCAACCTCTCAGGCTTGATCAGGCGACAGTTGCGTTGAGCCAGTAAAATAGCCTTTAATGTAGTTAAGGCCCCATTTTACGGTTAAACAAAAACCGTTTCAATAAACCAGCGAAGAAGGCTTTGCCCACATATCCTCTTCGTGACTGAGTTTATGCAAAACCCCGGATGCTCCGTGCACGTTACGAGTTAAACAAGATACCAAGTCTCGTCGGTAAGGATTAAGTATGTGCACGTGGTAAAGAAAAACTACGGTGAACGGCTTATTATACTTTTCAAGGGAGGCGTTGCTCTGCAGAGTTTTTTGGTCGGCCCTTCGTCGGCAGGACGAAATTCGCTGACCTGTACAGCTCCGAGAAGTCGGCGCCGCTGAAATGTCTCCATTGGTTCACTGTCCTGCACGTCCACATGTAATCCCTTAGTAATATGAAAGTTCACTTTTTTATAAAAAAAAGTTCGGGACGGAGAGCAGTCTGGCGGTAAAAAAAATTATAGAAAAAATGCTAAACGGAGTGCATACGTCCACCAGTAGAGCAGAAGTGCTCAAACGCTAGTGAATTTTTTAAATAATAGTCGGCACTTTCTAGCCCCGCGCATATACTTAACCCTTGCCAACCCGTCATTTCCACGTCACCGCCTTCGAGGCCCATCTGGTGCGCGAGCAGTCTACTCACGGAGGAAAAATTCAGATGTGTGGATAATTCATTCTCGGAAGAAGTCAGGCTCTGCCCTTGAAACTCCTAGTCTTCGGTTTTGTATGTTATCGGCTTTTTCCTGCTTCTTTTCGCCTTCATGTTTGCAAATTTGTTATTCATCGACTAGACCGCACGTTCTGAGCTACGACCTTCCGTCTCCATATCGATTTTTTACGAATTTAAATTGTTGCTGATCCAGCTTTCGTTATTCAAGTTGTGGAGCTACAGAAATCAGCTTGAAAGCAGTCTCAAAACTTGGTTATGACTGCAAATCCTGATGTGTATGATTGTTTTTATTGTGCGCCAGGAGCAAAATGCTTCAATTTAGCAGCCATGCCGGGCACCGTTCCTGCACCGAACCTTCGCCTCACAAGCTTTATGAACTCCACTTCTTCTGTTAATCTGATGTCGGCGTTTGAAATCAGCAACAAAGACCTGACAACATATTGCCGAAAATGAGGGTACTCCGTGCACTGAAGATGGGCACAGGTACGAAGGCTTGGTCCCTCCGATGCAGGATTAAATCTGACAGTTCGAACGTCGTTGCCGACGATGTCCCCCGCGTGCTCCACTGAAGGGTGAAGCAGACACGGTGACTTGCGCGTGAATTAGTTTATAGCGATAGAAGACTTGCACACCATCTACCCCACTCTCACCTCCTCCCCCCCTCCTGAACCCCGTGTCAAGACAGAGTCAAGAAGACCGGTGGCGAGGTGTGGGGCGCAGGTGAATGGCACGATCGAGTCAGCACCTTGGCGTTCCACCCCACACTCCCTGGTGCACACAGCAAATGACCAGGTTTTGATCAACAACAGCAGCAGCAACAACAACACCCCAACAGGGGTCAGAATGACGAGGATGATGACTGGGCAGCCATGCCCACCACCTGTATACCCAGCAAGGAGTAAATCTACAGATAACCTCACTATCACCGCCCACATCTCCTCAGTAGGACAGGTGCATTAAAAACCCAGTAGCGCAGATGGCCTGGCTCTAAATTCCAGGGAGACCAAAGTTAGGGTTAGGGTCAGAGGTAGGGTCATTTTCAGGGTTAGGGTTGCGGTTAGGGTTAGGGTTGGGACACAGAAGTAGGAACCCTTCCCCGGATGAAACGCAAGGCCACATACACAGCCGGGGGATCCTATTCCCGAGTTTACCGTCTCTACCGTAGTTAATCCGGTTCGCGCTGGCGAATCAGGTAGAATTTCGACTGGTTAGGTGAGTGCCTCCGAAATGAATCCGGAAAATCGGTCTCCTAGGGGTAGCTTCGAAGCACTAGCCACTGGCTGTGAGATCAGGGATTCAATTGCAAATCGGAGGAATGACGATAACAAACTGCTTTCTCTCTCTGTTTACCATAAAAACCAAAAAAACTTTGGCTTAATTTACGCATCATTTCACAGCCCTCTCAATCTCGACAACAATTGAACGAATCGGTAACACTCCCCAACACCGTGCTCAACGTCAGAATCTGCGTATTTTATGGTTGTAGTAAAAGTAATAAACTCGACCCTGCTGCATTTCACTCGCACGAGAGCTCATGGGTGAGGTCTATTTTTGACAGAGCTCGTGCAGTCCTTGTGTAGGTTAGTTAGTTGCAGTCTATCCAGCACGGAGACAGCGACCGAGCCAAATGCTTACGTCGCGTGTGACCCGGTTCCTTTGCTTAGCAATACCGGGAGGTCGATCGATATTCTCCTCCTCCCCCTCCTCCTCCTCATCCTCATCCTCATCCTCATCCTCATCCTCATCATCATCATCATCATCATCATCATCATCATCATCATCATCATCATCATCATCATCATCATCATCATCATCATCATCATCATCATCATCATCATCATCATCATCATCATCATCATCATCATCATCATCATCATCATCATCATCATCATCATCATCCTCTCTCCTCCTCCCTGATGGACTGCAGCCGGACATTACTCCGGCGTATTCTTCTACCTCGCGCTGGCAGAACAACGACAACGGTGGGCTCTCGGGGCGGAGGGACACTTTGATGCCACCAACTTGTGTCGCTGTTACGACCCTTACCGCAGTAAAGCCTGTTCTAATGGTCCCATCTCTTCGACCTTTGACTTGAGAATCTTCCCTCTGGTTAGCTCTCGCCTCGACAAGTTATGCTAAATGTAACTTTGACGTAGTTGTCGACGGCAAGCAGCAGGGCTTGCGTCCGTAGTCCAAACAGTAAAGCGTTCGAACCAAATGCTCAGTGACCAAACGAACTCGTTTTCAAATCTGAGGTGCACCCGATCGGGGGGTTGGTGAACGGCTACCTGGTAAATACCAATGCGCTAGGAACGGTCAGTTTAGCCTCCCTCGGATGTGTCATTCGCTCATCTGCATAGGAGTAGCTCATCGGCAGAAAACGACTTAGGTGGGTGTCGAAGAAATCAGAAGTCCTTCGAAAGACTGGAAACCTATTAGCGATTTTTCAATGTCTTTCCAGGAGTTCATTAACCAGACAAAGTCACCCGAAATGGTGTGGTTCGCTCGCGAGAGGGTGGCAGTAGGGTGGCTGTCTCCACTGCGATAATGCCAGGGGGGTAAGATGGAGAAGTAGGACAATTATCCCTGTTCATGGGCAGTGGATTTGTGAATATCAGATACGCACGCGTGAAAGCTTACGAGCAAACCCCTTCTGCCCAGACCATGCATCTACCAAATACCATTGCGGACCTAAGGAACATCTGACTGAAAGTCTCCCTCTTCCCTATGAGTAGATTTTAAAGGCTTAACCGGAAGCTACGGCCTTGGACTGTTTGGACAGGTACCTTGGTCCTTAAGTGCCAAGGCATCTCAGAGTAGATGATGTGCTCTGTCCTTTTGAAAGGCCGATGCGTTATTTCATCTCTCCGTCAGACTTGAGCCAGGAAAACTGACGACTGGTGTTCGCTTATCCGAGTTACTAGGCAGAACTTTGCAGCGAATTTGTCTAACCTAAAGGTTGTCTCACACGTAAGTTTAGCTCACCGCGATCTCGTGAGACGATTAGGCATTTTTAGGACGTAAATCATCATCATCAGTAAGTGCAAACGAAGGAAAGCAGTCTAGTCCTTGTGCTTAGAAGGAAATAAAGACAATGTAGTCAACCTGTTGTGAATGAATCTGATCAGCAGGAAAGGCAGAAATTGCCTCGAAAAATGTCCGTCCACACTACATCCGGAATTAGTGCGTTTGGAAGCGAGCATTCCGCACAACTTCATGCCCATACACGCAGTACCAGTGTGCAAATACAACCCCCCCTCCCCCCCTTCAACTGCAGCAAACGTCAGTTATTTACGTGCTAGCGTTCACGTTCACTTGCCATGGTAAACATTTGGTCGTAAAGTAAACATTTGCCAAAAAAGCAGAAAACTAGACAGCACTGAAAAGTAACTCTCTGCAATCTGATTGTGCGTCTTCCCTGGACGTTGTCCGTAGTCGCCAGACTAACTTCCTGAAAGCCTGCCGGTAAGTACCTTCATCCTGATGAGGAATGAATGGTGCCACGCAGCACAGACAAGATGCCCTCCCTCTTACATAAACAGCCCGGAAGGTAGGTCTTCTGTTCCGAGAGAACAGTTTCTAAAGGTCCAATGGGATAAAGAGTCTCATCCAGACGAGAAAAAAAAAACATGACTGACCAGGAGAGGACTAAAATTAGCAGCGCGACTCACAGTGGCGCCTAGGAACAAGCGAGGGCCACGATAGCATCTCTACGATGGTAGAGAACCATGTTGACTTCATGAAATGCTATAAATAAAGGACGGTGGCATTTAGTCCGTGTAGTTTCCAGCCCAAAAGTATGGGTACTTATTGTGGGTAGGTAGGGTGTAATTAAGCTCACTGAGAGCCGTCCGTAACCTCAAGACGGCTCGCGGCTGTAGTTCATTTGCAGCTAGGGAAACGGTTATTGGGGCCGGGAACGAGACGACGCGTGGGGCGGGAAGATTTTAAGACTTGTGGGAGAGACATGTTGGTCTCCCGATCGCCAGCGGGAGCTCAGAGCATTCGGATCAAAAATGTGCTGACTGGCTGTGGTCTCGGCAAACTGTGGTTTGCATTTAATGACGTTTCGTTATGTCGGCACCGCCTAGAACTTCGAAAGCACAGCCGTGATTCCGTCGCATTCTCTTTCCAAATAGCTTATCCAAAATCGAGTTTTAGCAAGATCTTCCGCTTTATATAAATGAAACTCACTGGATAGTCAGATCGAAAAAAGCCCTTACGCAGCCGGGAAGTTACAAGACAAGCGAGCGTGGAAAATTCGTTCAAATCCCTTCCTAGGTCTTGACTTTTGGAAGCTGGACCAAGGGATCATTACTTAAGCAGAATGTGTTCTACTTGGTCCCTGCAACGGGCCACACGGAGACTAGATCTAGATACGGTCTGCGCACCCATGACAAACGCCAGACATTGTGGCGGCACGCCTAGGTGCAGGCTTGCGCCGAACCAATCATTTGCGCTCAATTTCCGCGCCAGACGGCTGAACGGCTTAGGGAGGGTACTAGCGCGTACGGGAGAGGTCATAGACTGACGTCAACTCAGGGGACTCCATCTCCACGACGTTCAGCACATATCCCCCACCCGAAACAAGCTGACGCGCTCTAAGACTATCACGGTGCGTTAAAATGTATGACTTGGAAGACTGCGAACTGACAGGAAAATTCAGTCGCTTCAGGACGGAGAGTTAGGGCTACCCTGGTCCCTTCTTACTATGGCCTTTACGGTATGCCTACTCAGTTAGAACTCAAGCTGTTCCCATATCTCGTTGGGGGAAATTCTGGCCCGTCGCGTGCGGACCCATTGCGTGTGTGGCACGCGCAGACGGCCTGTGTAATCCACCGCTCCCGATCCTGCCTCCGGTCTTCTTGCTTCTGATTTGACATCGGGCTGAGGTGGATCGGGGAGGAGAGGGTGCGGTAGATGCAGCGCAAGTCCTCTATCGCCGTAAACTAATTTGCGTGAATGTCACCGGCTGTGCACCCGCTCCGTGAAGCTGGCAGTGAACGTCGTCGTTTGCGATGGCCGAAGAGTATGGGACCATGGGGTGTATGGGCGGTGTTTCCTTTGTACGACCAGTCATGTCAAGCAGCACGATACCTACTAGTTAATCTGACAGACCGAAGTGCTATCAGCAGAAGAGTTTGCTCTGAGAGAGAGAGAGAGAGACCGAAACTATGTGACGGCTACCAAAATCACACACACAACTACAGGCGCATACGAACTGCGCAGACAGTCGCTTTGCTTGATTGCTTTGCAACCGGGGTGGGGTTTGTTTGTCCTCAATGCCTGCCATCAGATGCCGGAGTCTGTTTGCTCTGAGAAATCAAACAGACCCGCGTGCGCTTACTACCCTGTGAATAAACACGCTACCAACCCCCACAGTAGCGTAGCGATGGAACTTTAGTGACCCTGCCCCGAGCGCCTGGTGAAACACTGCATCTCTGGCACACAACAGCTCGATCCGACGATGTCCACCGTGTGCTGCTCAGCAAGCTGAAGCAGGTACTGTGGCTTGCACGTGAATTAGTTTATGGTAAGAGCAGAATTGCGCAGCATCTACTGCCCTCTCTCTCTTCCCCATTCCCAACCTGGGCCCGTTGTTAAGACAGGGTCCAGAAGACTAGAGGCGGGAGAGGGCGCAGGTGGATGGCAGGGCCGGACCCGCACCTAGGCGTGTCACCGCACCCCTTGGTCTACAACAAACACTTGACCAGGATTTTGACTAACAACGGCACCACAACGGCCAGAAGGACGAAGATGACTGGACAGCCATGCTCACGACCTGTATACCCAGTGGGTGCGCAAGCACATCTACCCGGAGGGAACCAAGAATTGCCAGCGCAGACCAGGCTGCGAGGGCCAGGGGTTGCTGGTCATGATAGAACAGATTCTTACGTACCTTGAGGCATATCATCCAGTCGCATCGTCAGCATCATCGCCTCTTCCTTGTACCTGTCCTTCCACTACCAATGGGTCTTCTGCGCAGTAAAGCTCCTATTAAACACCACTTCTTCAATTGCCGTAGACTGATCACGACTTGCGTAAGCGATTCCTTACCTAAGGAGATCTTTTCTAGCCAAAAAATTCCGATATTCTGGGCTGTTGGCTTACCGACATCATTTGTCGATGTTTTACGAACACTATTCAGTGTGTGTTCCATTTGGGAGACTATAAGGTCCACTCACTATCAGTAGAAATGTCATTGGACGTACCAGCACTGTGTAATCAGGCCATTATTATGCAAAAGCAAATCTACAAAAATCGTATTTGAAAAGTGGAGTTGGCAAACACGTGTTTTCGGTAATTCTTCGCCAGGCCAATACAATTACATGAAGGAATGAAAATGTACAAAATCAACAGTGTTTATAGGTGTCTCAAGGGCAATTAAGTCATTGACACTCATCTTCCCGCACCGCCCGCATGACAAGGTCGGCGGGTTTTGGTTCCTAGAGCTGGGGGGGGGGGGGTAAGAGAGTCTTTGAGTAATGATCTTGGGTTGAGTACACGGAGTACCCATCATCGTGATTAGGGATTTGAGGCGGCATGGCTGCATCACTTGGGGTTGGCGCTGGCCACGGCAGAGAGAGCGCTTGTGTTAGGGTTTTCTGACGGCAGAAAACCGGATTCGCTAGCCGTATAGCCACTGCCTCGGCCGTTGCTGGGATCCGTTGGTGTCGGCCTTTAGAGAAGCATGTTGGTGTCCCGTAGACAACCTGCAATGCTTCCTTGGCATCGACTCGGTTCGACCGTCGCACCCGACGATGTCCACCGTATGCACCACAGTAGGGTGGGAGCAGGGACGGTGATTTGGCGCATATACGCATGCACGCGCGCACCAACGGCAGTCGTAGTAATTCCGGCATTGTGTGACTCCGCATGATCCTCTCATTGTCTCCGGCCCACCCCTGAAAACCGAGAGGAAATGTCTGCTGCTCAGTCAATCACAACCATCCGAGCCGGCCAATCAGCTTCTGGTCTGAGGGAGACATGTCCTCGCCTGCCCACTACAGGACTTAAGTTCCGATACAAGCGAAGATGTGAGTTCCAGGAAATAGTTGACAAGAAGAAGAAGCGATCGCTAAAGCAAGGGCTTTATTAGCCTGACTTTTCGGATTCTCACTTGAACCCATCATCAGAGACAGGGACAGAAAAGGGTGACTCGTGCACAGGAAGTTGCAGTATTTATAGGATGCAGTCGCTATGCTACCGCATACCTATAGTAATTAACCGCGCTCCCCTTCATCAAGAATTGTTGCCCGCTGGGGCGTTAATTGCTTGACGGTCGGCATGCAGGCAGTTAATTGCTGAAATCTCATCACCCGTGTTGGATGCTGGCGTGATGATTGCTCGGCCATCTGGCTCACCGGCTTGCGCGCTCCCCGAGTGATCAATTACTTTGGCCAGCCTATGTCTCAACACGGAAAATGGAGTGGGGATGTCGTTGCACTTGTTGATAGCTTGAGGTCGCGTAAACCATGACTCAAACAACTCGCGGCTCACGTGATTATCCCCTCTCGCGAGAATTTCGGCCTCATCGAACTTGAATGTGAGGCCGGGTCTCGTCAAATGGGCCGCGACCTGAGAGTTGGCGTCATGTCTCCGCATCGCTGACGCGTGTTCGGCAGTCGAAGCAGTCTTCCAGTTTGTCCGACGTAGTTACTTTGTCCGCAACTGCACCAGATTCGTTAAACGACTCCAGATGTTTCTTGCCGTGGCAGTGGGTCTTCTGGTCTCATCACCTGACACCTTATGGTGGCTTCCGGTCTGTGGGCAACTCTAACCCCAAGTTGTGCGAGAAGGCGACTAACGGCTTCGGAGGCGTTCACTGGTGCTAGAGACCCGGTGAGGCTTAAGGTCGAGAACGAGAAGTTAGCCAAATCAGAGGTCAGGGAGAAGGACTCACTAGAACAGTCCTCATTGCTGCGCGGAGGTCAGCGACGCCAGCGCGAGGTGCTGCGCGCACCAGAGTGAGACCCGGCTAAGGCCGATCAGTGGAAACCATAATATCCACCAGCTTCACGACCTCGCCAAGCCGGGGGTTGAGTTGCATGCGGCGCAATCATCTGACTGACAGGGGATTCAGTACCGGCGACAGACCCTTGGGTTAGAACTAGTCTGTGAACCATCCGAACAGTGTATATGTGTAGGAGTCTCTTGGTAGCATGTGTTGGTCGTACGTATGCCGAATGGCTGAAATGGGCATGAATAACTTTAAAAAAACAATCGCCAGTTTGATCGACAAGGATATGGGGTCAGCGAGCTGTTGGTCATGTATGAACAGATAATAGCCCCAGCAGTTTGTCAGCAGGTTATGTTCGCACACATTACTTAGAGCCTGGCTTTAACAGCTCAAGGAAATTATTGCTATCTTTCTGGGCCCCTTGGCTTAATCGACATTCGCTTACTAATAATAGGCTTTAGAACGTAGTCACCTCTCTCTGATCACCGCTTGATCAAGAGAGGAATCACGTGCCATTTCTATGTGCACATCAAGACTGTGAGGTTTGCCTGGAACGACTATTCGCACTTTCCGGCAGACGACTAAAAGAAGGCACCAGGCGATAACTGGTGAGGGACAGATTGCCTTGAAGTTGGCAGTAAGGATTGTAGTTGTCAAACCATGCTGTCGGGTCAGAACTCGGGGAAGCAGAATTAGACGAGAGACCTTTACGGAATGGGAACGTCTAAACTTCCAGTAGTATGCGCTGGTGAGGGATGGATGACCGGCGAGCTCTAGGACCGCATAAAAGCTAACTGCGTGATCGACCAACGCCTGAGCCCGATGAGAACTCGAGACCATTTGCGTGATTATGAAGACTATACTATACGCGGTGTATGCACTCAAGCGTTGACGCGAATTAGGGAGCAGAACTGTCAGGCTTTGCATTGATCCCCTGTAAGTGTTAACGGTTGTTCCACCGGTGACAAACGCCATCACTGCACGCCCTGTGTCCCACCATTCACACTTTTGTCCTTTCCGAGGGCATTTGGACATAAAGTCTCAGAATTCAACGGTTTGGAATGCAGCAAAAACGACCAGTGCAGGCGGGACGCAAAATATAGCGTTTACAGGAGCCGCGTTAGGATGTGAGTTCCTTAATACGAGTGCTTTTCGCCTGTGGGAACCGCAGAACCAGGAGTTCTGATAGGCGCATTTAAATGAGACGTGAGTGCTATCAATAAAAATTTATCTATTGTCCTCCATCATACGTAGGTATTACCTTCCAGGGGTTTTTTCTGATGGCCACAAAACTTCAGGCGCCTTAGGTGAATTTCTGATTTGAATATACACACCCAGAATTCGACAGTACAGGCCTCAACCAGGTATTCAGGGGAAGGATGGGGATGGTCGTCGAAAGTGGTGCCTTTTCTTTGTATCGTAACGCAATCACCACAAGATTTAAGTGGAAAAATTAGAAACTATAGCCATGAGGTCAGTGACGGATACATGAGGGCTAAACGAACCCCACTGAGTGGATATACTGTGTTCACTCAATAAGGAGAAATCTCAAGCCACATTCTGGGCATTCGAAAAACTGTTGCTAACGATGTAACTCGTGGAAATAAGCGTAAAGATTTAGAGTCATTTCAGGTAGCTAGAAATTCGACCAATTGCAGGCCTTTACTCAGGGCAGTTGACTGACGCACAAAATCAGGCTTATTCGCTTCAAGTCAACCGTTCACCTGCCTCGAAGTCGAAGATGGCTCGATAGACGGCTAGACCGAATTATAACTGTCCCTCCCTCCTCCCCTTCCCCCCCGTTGAAACCAACCCTCAGACCAAACTCTAGATCGTGAACGCGGCAGGTCCCAGCGACATTCCAACGCTAATGTTGAATGCCGTTCATAGTAATTCCGAGAACGGTGACAGCAGAACCAACCCCGAGGATGTCATCCAATCTCAACGCGTACGCTTCTAAACTGTGCCCTCCCTAATAAGCCCCGAAGCGTTTAAGCATTGAACCCTGTCCATATGACCATACACCATTATGATTAAATATCCTAGGTTTGTGAGCGTCTACCATGTCAGGATCAGCAAATCATGGCCATCGCAGTCCAGTGTGGGCTGGCAGTTTTCCGGTACCTGGTTCTCTGGCGGTAAATGCGCTTGCGCTCCCGCTGGGTATGCGGGATCGTGTGCATGGCTGACCAGTCATCCTCGTCTTTTCTATTTTCTTTGTTGGTAGTGGTCAAAATTCTGGCCAAGTGTTTTTTGTGGACCAGACGATGTGAAGTGAAGCGCCAAGGTGCGGGTTCGGCCGCGCCATCCACCTGCGCTCTCTCCCGCCCACGCTCTTCTTGACCCTGTCTTGACAACGGGCATGGATGGAGGAGGATGTGCGAGTGCGGTGGACGCTGCGTAAGTCTGCACTCGCTATAAACTAATTCACACTGAAGTCACCGTTCCTGCCACACCTTGCCGTGGAGCACGCAGTGGACATCGTCGGTTGCGACAGTCGAATCATCATGATTAAATATTGTGCCACATTATTGCTCCTTATGTTAGAGAAATAGGTTATATTTTAAAAATACCGTTCTACAAAACGCCCCCATTTAGAAAACAGATTGATAGGTGACGAGAGAGAGAGAGAGAGAGAGAGAGAGTAGGTTTGCATAAAAACTGTGCAAACATTATGGGGGCAGTTAGAGTCTCAATTTCTGTATTTCGGTCTATTTACACGTTAGGTATCGTGCTAGAGAGGGTAATGTTGAACGCTGGCATGCCAATGGAAGCCACGGCACAAGGGGCGGAGACACATTGCAGACATTAATTCAGAGTGAAGGGCATGGACAATGTCATTCAGAATTCGACCACCAAACTGCTTGACCATTATGAAGTGTCATTTCGTTAATATATCTGCTAAAAGGGCATAAGAAACACCGGCAGCAGAAGAGATCTTTCCGGAGACACGTTTAAAGTGACCATGTCTTTTTTAAAGCAATGTCACCACGTTTGCTTTTTCCTGCGGCTTTATGGCGTACGCTGCCACCAAACAAATAAGTTGAACAACCGGCTGGACAACGAGCCCCTGGCTCAGTTGTTAGCGGGGTTGAAATTCTAACCAACAGGTCGCGAGATCGAGCCCCAGGCGTTCCACACTTTGAGGTTGGGCATGACTGGCTGACGACGGCTAATAAGCCAGAAATGGTCACTCCAGTCTCCCTTGTCTTTGTCGGTAATATTCTGCCTATACTTCTAAATGTGTCATTTCCAGGGTAGACAGTCAAACGTCTGCCGACCAACTGCAGTCTAAATATGACGGGCATACTATCGAAATTATAATTTCCAAAGTCGATAACCTAATGCAAGGGCCTATCTGGGAAAAGTGACAACCATGCAAGCACGGACTTCAGGGGGTGGTTATATCACGGCGCTGCCGCATTGACGAATTAATTTAGCCTATCGCCTTCAGTGCACCGGAAGGTTGGCGTCACGCAGTGCAGGCAACCGCACGAATGTCCCTCACACCTCTGTGCTTTTGGTTTAGTCGACCTATCAAAAGTGAGCCGGCATTCTAAGTCACGAATCACGGAGAATACATTTGCTGTCAACAGCAAACAGCGTGCTGCGCGAGAGTGCGGAACCTATCGTCTTTGCGGAGTAAAAGTCGTTTCCCTAGTTGTCTGGTTGTCTCACAGGCTCACCCAGTGCACTCATTTTTTTTTCGGCACTCGCAGGCTGGCTGACTTTCGGGAGTTCAGATGCCACACGATCAACTACCCACTGCCGCGAGAAGCGAGGCGCAACCAACCGGCCGCCCGCCATCGCCTATCGATCATTCGTCAGTCGCGCAGTTGACTAGGTCTGCTGCTAGCTGCGCTCTGATTGGTCCGTGCGACTGTATAACCGACGATCACCCACGGGCAGTAGTCCGACTTGTCGCGTTGGCTGTGCGCAGTGAGTTGTGGTGTTTTCTTTTACGACTGATTCCATTTTGTTCTATTTTAAGGCGCCGCCTTTCTTCTGGGGTGACACAACAGCCATAGGGCAGACAGTGGGACTAAAAGGACCCCTATTTTTTAATTGAAAAAAAAGGGAGGAGGCACTAGATGACCAATTTAAACTCTTAAAATAAGGCTTGAGATTCAGTAGGGAGAAAAAGAGCATGCCTTATTGTTTTGCACGGGGAATTCGTTCGCCTGGGTAGATAAATCTTTTATGCAAGTTAAAAAAAGGCCATTTCGGAAGTAAGCACGCCAAAGTTGAAGCACCAGTAATCGCGCCCCTCAGCAATTTCCTTGGTTTAAAATTGCGGCATCTTTTGCCAACTAAGTTAATTTTTGGTGCGAAGCCGGACGTGAGGCTTATTCGCTTTTACAGTAATTTGACCTTGGTGACGACGCTTTCGGGTATCAGTGAAATTCTAATTTGGGGAGAATTCATCATAGTCTACTAAGAAGGAAAAAAGATTTGGCGATATACGACGGAGAATGCCTTCCTAAAACGCAGAATAACTTAATTAGACCGAAAATCTTGCATTTGTAACTCGGTCGTCGGCATAAGTTTTGTGTCCACTGAGTCTCCTTCAACTTCATACACTTTTACGAGAATGCAGCGTTCAATCGTTTACTTGTTATCATGGTTTAATTAACCTATTACCGGCAGAATAGGTCATTAGCATAAGCTTGCTTCTAGTAAGAAGGAAAGGCCTGTGGCAGTTGAAAGTGATATTACGAAGATCTGCACTGATCTCGGATTTCATTCATCGGCCTGGGAGTTTAAGCCAAAAATAAGTTTTTGACTTTTCAACTAAAGCACATGTTTTATTGTATAACCCAGCTTCGGAGATAACCCCGGATGTTTGAAGTGTTGTGTTCGGAGTTTAAAAGGCATATAGTGTCCCAAAAGTTTTATTGACAAGGATAAAGGGGCCCGCATTGGTCATTTCTTGCGTATTTTCTAGCCGCGTCCAAACCAGCAGGATGTGAGATCATGGCTCAATTGGTAGAACGCTCAGTTTAAGGATCATCTGGGCTCGAGTGCGAACCTCATTGCCATCGGACACGATGTTGGGGCATAGCTGGCTGAGGGCAGGAGAGAAGGAAACAGTGGCCATTCCAGTCTCGCCTGTCTTACTCTTTGCTAATTCTTAATTACTTATTGTTCAGCACCTGTGAAGACCCATTTGGCTTTCGTTTTACGTTTGAAGTTAGAATTAGGGTACTGGTTAATGGTTTCCGATTTTCGGGTTAGGGTTATGCCTTTAAGCTTAGGTTTTCGGGTTACGGTTAGGGTTTGAGCGTACGATTAGGTTTCAGTATTACGGTTAGGTTTTTCAGTTACGGCCTTGTCTAAGGGCTAAGGTTACCTTTACGATTTCGGTTAGGGTTAGGGTTGCCGTTAGGGTTAACGGTTAACATTTGAGGTTGACGTTAGGGTTAGGGTTAAGGTCGCCGTCCGCTTCCCCATTTCTGGCTACCAACTGCGATCTAGCCGGCAGGATAGGTCAGTAGACGCCATTCGCATGCAATTGTATGTGGTCAGTATTCTCACAGCCACCGTCGAGATCCCAATACTTGTGCGATAAGCTGATGCGGATTCACTCTGACCTATTTTGTCATTTTTTAGCAAGAGCACATGACTCCTCGGTCCTAAGAAATCATGGGAACTGGTTGGATAGCTCGAAATCACCTCGTGACGAGGTCGTGGGAAAACAGTTTGCTTTGCCCTACAAATTTTGCATTAAACGATCCGACATTTGAGCTGCTGGGAGACACACGATCACTTCTGTTGATCCTTAAAAAAGGCCAGTACTTTCAGATCCTGGGAGGCTGAAGGTGGGGTTCACCAGTCTCGCGTTTCGCCCGGGTGGATTATCGACCTCATCAGTATGAGACTGCTGCTTGCCCTTGAACAGCAGGCAGAGGGATTCCTGATAAAGGCTGCCCCTGTATCCGTGAACCAAAGTCAGAATTTTCCGATGACCTGCGTAGAGCCGACTGACTGGCCTCGTGATTGGCCCATCAACTTTATAGGCTTGTCAGCCCCTGCTGAACCTCCTGTGAGGACACCGGAAATAAACAGCTGACTTTCCGAAGGTTGAAAGGGCCGCGGTCACAGTACAGTAAAATCACTCACCGGAGCATGGTGACTTTTGCAATTTTGTGCATTAAAATTGCGAGTTGAACCGTATCTAAAAATAGCCACGTAAAAGACCTCACGAAACTGCGTGCTATCCAAGCGCGTGAGAGTTATTTACGAACTAAGAGTGTTGGTTAGAGGCTGGAGCGTGTCTGTTGATAGCATCCTAAATCACACCCTTTCGCGATTTACTACTGAATTCAGACAGATAAAGCAAACTCGGATGAGTGCTTAACCGTCGGGCTTTGAGCCTGGGACAAAAAAGGCCAAGCCTTCAGCACCGGTAGCACTTGCCACCTGGGTTATTATTGCGCCGGATGACTACCGAACTTATTTTTAATATGTTTTTGACATATGAGATTGGCATTCGCTAGTATGACTTGCCTGCAGGTCGCAAGAGGCGATACAAAAAAGACCGGGGGAACTTGCACGCCGGTTTCTGGCTTGCCAATCCTCATCAGGAAGTGATGATGTTGATGATAATTCCAGTATCCTCACCCTTGTCGACAATGCTTCTGAGTTAAACAGAACTGGTTGATTAGCGCCACACTTCTACGTGGAGTAGTCTGGTAGTTTCATTACTAGTTTTCGCTGCCTTTCCTGGAGCTAAGAACCGGTTTAGGGTGTGGCAATTCAGCCGTCGCAAATGGTGACATCCGACAGCTCGAACGTCGAGTTCGACGATGTCCACCGCGTGCTACACAGTAAGATGCAGCACGCCCAGTGACTTGCGCGTGAATTAGTTTATAGCGAGAGTAGACTTACGCAGCATCTACCGCACTCTCTCCTCCTCCTCCTCCTCCTCCTCCTCCTCCCCCACCTAGACCCGGTGTCAAGACAGAGTCAAGAAGAACGGAAACGGGGGGAGGGGGGCGCAGGTGGATGGCACGGTTGAGCCTGCACCTTGGTGGGATCCACTGCGTGCCTCACAGACTGGGCGCAGCACGGGTATCTTGCGCGCGAATTTTTTTTTATTATGAATGAACCTACCGCACTCTCTCTTCCCTCACCCACCTGGCTCCGGTGGCAGGCCAATGTCAAGACGTCCGGCGGTGAGTGCGGGCTCAGGGACTGACAAAGCTAAACGGCCCGTCTACGCGGACCAAACACACGACCTGCCCTCCAAAGCATGTGTCAGGCCTCCGTAAGGGCGACTCAGAACTCACGTGTACGAGAGTATCGTAAAGGTCACATTGGGAAGGAACCACTGACAAAGCAATTCACCCCCTTTACTGACCAGATAATCGTGTCGGACAATTTGCTTGATGTTCTTAGGCCATGACCGAGTTTTCCTGTCAGTTGGGACCCCCCGAAGCCATGACTATTAGAGCACTGTGGTGGAGTAAGGCGCGTCAGATTCATTATCATGAGAAATGCGCCGCATTGCTGTGAAGATGGATTTCCTAGTGTCAGTTACACTCTCTTTTCCCTTTCCGCTGTACGAGCCTAACAGTCGACTGGATTGGGCTCATTGACTGACAGTCCGTCTACGTGAGCCACGACGCACGCTGAGAACATGTATGTAATGTATGAACCCATATTGAATATCAGGATGTGAAGAGTGGTGTGCGCTTCCGCGGTATGTTGGGTAACCTAAAAGCGGGCAGTCGCGGGGATGACCTATAACTAGGAAACTTTGCCAGAAACAGGCACTACACGCAGTCAGATAACGTTTGCTAGCCATAGGTAAGGAAGCATCAATTATTTGCAGTGTAAACAGACGTGTCTTGGTAGAACACCCAGAGCGGAATGGGAAGGTCAGCGGTTCGATCCCGTCCGTGTGCATCCAGGGGTCACCAAAGGCGGTCCGCCTACGCAAAACTCCGGTCGCCTTGTCTCCTCACTGTCATGCGAATGCATCGAATGTGGGCGGAGAGAGAGAGGGTGAGGTTGAAACCGCGAGAGCCTCCTTAGTCGGCAGCTCGACCATCGCGAACGACGATACCCGTCGTAGGGTGGGCGCAGGAGCTGCAACTTGCACGCGAATGAGTTTAGTGGTAGCAGACTTGAACAGCATCCACCGCACCCTCTATTCCCTCCAGCCGCCTAAGCCAGACAGAGTCAGGAAGACCAGAGGCGAGCACGGACACAGTGGCTGACAAGGCTGGACAGCCCTCTACGCGTACCACACACGCGACTTCACCGTCAGTTGGCCGATTTCCTGGCCACGGTTCCTAGTACATCGTGATAGTCTAGAGCCGATTGAGGTTGTTTTTTATTGAGAAATGTGCGCTGAGTACTGTGGGGACGCAACCTCTCTTCCTCTTCTTAGGCATCAGTTCACTGTACGAACTAATCGATCATCTGATGCGGGGATTGAGTCTGTGCCTAGGCGTGCCGCTTCGGGCGTGCATCCCCAATTATGGGTGTCTAGCCCGCGTGTTTGTCAGGTGCATTTCATGCGTGGCCCAATGTAGGAGACACAACCTACTTACTGGTAAAGGTACGCTCACTGATCAAACTGGAATGACCATTTTCTGGCGTATTAACCGTCGTCAGCCAGCCACATACAATCCGAGACGTGAAACTTCAGCGACTTGTTGGTTAGAAGTCCAACGCCCCTAACCAATGAACTACGGACTCGTTGTCCTGTCGGTTGCGATCGGCTGACGACGGCTCATTAGCCAAAAATGTCCATTCCAGTCCCCTTGTCTTTTTCGGCAACGCTATATAGCCTGCTAAATCACAAACAGACTCACTCACAGGTCACCGACTAGGTTCACCTCGCGGGACAGTAGTGCACCACAATGCTCACGAGGATTGGACTATTAATGCAAACTGTTCTGGTAATTAGTTCGTGACAGATTATCTCGGGCGTATAACTCAGTGTCGAAGAAATTGCTTATCTTCTCAAATGCGTTTTAGTGTTCTGGATATTTACGAAAGAATGCACTAAGCAGAACTTACTGACAAAGCAATTCACCCCCATGACTGATCGGATAATCGTGCCGGGCAGTTTGCTTGATGCTCTTAGGCCATGAGTTCGGCATCAGAACCGGTTAATAGTGCCCCTGCAAGATTCTACTCGGCTTCTCTTCTTCAGACAAGCAGACGCTTCCGGCCGAAGTGACGTAGTGTCGTTCGATACCAACCAGTAGCCGCTCATCGGACGGAGATATGGGGTCACTTATCGACGTTGGGGAGACCTGTCTTGGCCACGCGGGCTCCTCGTCCGCTTAAAGTGCTCTTAGCTGTGGGTGGCAGCCGAAACGCTGTCGGTCTAGCAAACAAAATAAATGACACCTGACCCAGAAAGTACTTCTGCAGACAAGAAGACCCCCAGACATTATGCTGCTCACGTGAATACTGCTCCACTTAGCATTCGATTGAGTTCTGAAAACAGTCCAACTTCGGTTCGCATCAGAGTGGCAGATCCGATTTCACTTCTGGGGAAGCTTTGTTAGCTGAGGAGCGCGAAGTCCAAATGTCGCAGACCGTCCTCCTAGTGTATAGGAGGCGCAAAAAGCGTCCACAATCTTGTCCTTCAAGACACGAGTAAGTCGGCGGACTTTGAAGCATCTACGGCGACTCTAACCATTGATATGACCAATTATCTCTGTACCCTTCTCTATATCTACCTACTGTTTCCTACTTGAAATGCAACCCACCCGTCTCAGACTAGCAGTCCGATTGAAATCTAGCTTGCAGGCTTCGTAGGTTGAACTGTAGGTTTGTAGCATTCAGATTCACGTGATGAGTTCCGACGAATTCACAGGCGCTATGCTCTGTAAGACAAGTTGCGATAAACAAACTCAGACGCCGCGATAGTTTTAGTTATCGAGGAGTATTACAGATTTGCAGCTTATCTATTTGCTTTTGTAAACTACCCATAACTGAACCTCAGCTCAGGAAATCCTGACTCGGACCCAGTTGGTCATTAGACTTGAGCCGCGTACAATCATTCGCGATGCGCACTTAAGGTCACGTGAGAGGGGGGTTCTTCGATGTGAAATCCTCGCGAGGCGACATCGGGAGCGCTCTTATCCCACCCTGAACTGGTGATCACAGCTCTCACGTGACCTTGAATGTTCCCGATTGCAGTCTCTCGAGCGTGACCACGTGAGTTAAACAGCACTGAGCAAGGCTCAACGACCATCTCTGTCCTGACTCGACCTCCAGGTCTTTCCAACAGTGAATAAACCGGAAATAGTTACGCCATTACCTCCCCCCTGTGTGTCGGAAACCGTTCGCGATAGTTCATTGCCAGTTGCTATGCGACAGCTGTTGAATAAAGCTGCAGTGGCAGGGGGACGTCCGTATTCCTCCCTGGAGCTGACCACATTTGTGGGCACGAGGTTTTAATGGGTTCTCAGTATATTGGGCCTTTTAATGCGCGAACTCAGTGTTAATGCTTCGGGAGCAGCATTATAAAGTTTAACCCGTAAGTTGAAATAGATATTTGAGCTGACGTTAATTATCTTCAACGGAATGACTGACGGACGACCGTCGATTTCGACGATGTCCACCGTCTGCTCCACATCAAAGTGAGAGCGGGGATGGTGGACTTGCAAAGCATCCGCTGCACTCCTTCCTCCCCTCCCCCTGAAGCCGGCGTCATGACCAAGTCAAGAATACCAGGGGTGGGAGAGGGCGAAGGTGGTTGGCGCGGCAGGGGTCGCCCCTTGGGCGTGCTCCCATACTTGGTTCGGAGTTCACGTAGCGGAAGTGCCATGGCAGCCGGAATTTCACGCCACCAGTCGACCACTCCACACAAACACACAGGTGCGAGGTCCAATCTGTCCTGTCAGTTGGCAATATTCCAAGCCGTGGCTTTTGGCGCACTGTGATAGCTCCAAGCGTGTCAGATTGTTTGTAGTGAGGAAAAAGCACTGGGACGTCGGCCTCACTCTCTATTCCCAACCCCAAGCACCAGTCAGCGGAATAACTGCATGATAAGTACGTTCTGACAACGGGCAGTCAGTAATATAAAAAAACTGGTTGATTTTCCATGCTACCGGGAATTGGCTTCGTCGATTTCATAACGATGCCAGACGCAGCTGGGAGGAATTTCGTTCATGAGTGAGTCAGCGAGTCGTCATACTGACAGAACGGGTAGGAAAAAAAAGCGCTGACTAGATCTTTATACAGTAAGTTTTCGCGCCTGGGCTGCCCCGTTCAAGTTTTAATGCGGGATGTGTGGATTGTAAGGAGGAAAACGGTCAGTTTGACATTTTAATCTTCGTCAATACTGTTCCATAGAAAGCAACCGGTTTTTGACAATCCTCTGCAAAAGAGTTATTGCGACATCCTGATTCAGTCTTGCGACTACTTAAGGCCCTGACTTTCAGTAGTATTGGAATGACGACAGGGGGGTAAGGTCTCATCGGATCACTAACTGGTGTTGCTCCGTGCTCTTCTAAACTAGCCTCTCTTGGCTCCTCTGCGGTGGTTTGTCTTGTGGCGTTTAAACCAGATCAGGGGACGTACTTTTGTGGCCCCCTAAACAGAACATGGAATTAGGAACGGCCCGGCCAAGTAATAAAGGTGGACCTGCGCATAATTCTAGAAATGGGAAAAGTACTCCGGCGTCTTAACTCCAACAGAAATCCGATCTCATGAAATGTTGGCCAAAATTCTGGAATGCGTTTCCGATTGGGAAGGATTACTTAAGTGGGGTTGTTATTACTGATTATCATGCTGCATAACCCTATAACACTTCAGACTCGCCAGGATGTCGGCTATTGAATGCACTTCTTTTTGACATCCTGCAAAAAGCACACACGGCAAAAAAATGACTAATTAAGTAGCATGCATTTTTCCTATTGATTTTAGATGGTCTCATAAATTCAAATATATTTTATAGAGAACATGCACAAAAGTATGCTTTCTTTTGCTCATTTGGTGGGAAATCACATCTTCATATTTTATGCCCGAGGAAAGCGTATATTCAGGTTGTAAAAGTAGTTTCCCTATTCCCGAATAATTTTCAGCCTGATCTGCCATTGCATCAGCGTTTAGTAATTTCAGTCTACAAGGTGCATGCTTTCAGCGTAAAGAAAATCATATATTCCTCTATGCCTTTAAGAAGATACTACATGGAGTTCATGAGATTTTGCAGGGGATCCGGAGTATGTTGTACATTTCAGGAGAAGCATTAGCAAACGGACATGTGCGGTCTTGAATGCATAGACATTGCACGGTCTTAGAAATCTCATAATTAAAAACTTTTTTAAAATCCAAATATACATTGTCATCGGGCATAAAATATGAAGAATATGTGTTTTCCTACCAAATGAGCAAAAGAAAGTATATTTTTGTAAACGTTTTCTGTAAAATGTACTTGAACTTATAAGACCATCGAAAATCAATAGGAAAAAATGCATGCTGCCTAAGTAGTCATTTTTTACCGGGTGTGGTTTCTGCAGGAGGCCGAAAAGAAGTGCATTCAAAAGCCTACATCCTGGTGAGTCCGAAATATTCTAGGGTTTTGCTGAATGATAATCAGTATAACAACCCCACTTAGGTCATCCTTCCCAATCAGAAACACATTGCAGAATTTTGGGCAACATTTCATGAGATCGGTCACGCACTGCAGTATAAAACTAAGCCGTTGCCCTGATTTGAACTCTAACCCTACGTTAGCACATAATTCTGCAACTTACACTGGCCCCCACCTTAACCCAAAACTTGATCCTGACTTACATTACCGTTAGTTTTAAATCTAGTCTTAAACCTAGTCCTTAACTTAATCCCAATCCTTACCTTAAATCTAGCCCTAATTTCACTGGATGTCGGCTCGAAGACATTCGTGTTGCAGGCGACTCCTCTTCCCATATCCTGTTTAGGCGTTCACATATGTCATTCCTACCCAGATCGGTGCCTGTCACCGCGTTTAACTCGTGACAGGCTCCAGGAGACAAATTTCTATCGAGGAACACCCACCCACTCATTCACTCACTGTAAACACGAGAATTCCAATTTCAGGTTTACTTTGGCTATTCAGTCGCAGGCATTGGGCAGGGTATGTAGAAAGTCAAAAGGCCGTTTCAGTTCAGTTTGGCTTGAAATACAATTTGCTTCTGTTAATTTTTTTCCAAAGATAATTTTCCAAAATTTATGAACTTTCGGATCTGTTTCGTCGCGCACACACGCACACCCAACTTTACCTGCTTGCTGAGCAGTAGTCGCGCATTTCTCGCAAACCAGCGGGGGCGGGCTTCTTTATGCGAGGATGTTTGCGGATAATCTGGCCATGTAGATGACCTCGTGCATTTACAGCAATCCTCCAGATTTTGCTTCATTGCTGACCTCAATCTTAACTCTGCGCTCGAGCTAATGCAGCGGCAGCGTCCTGGCCACTGTGGACTCCGCTGTTACAAACGTTACATAAGAAAGAGAGAGCACCATTTAGACTCGAGACGATGATCCGGCTCAGCATGTCCTTCTTTGGGTTCATCTGTTGTATCTGCCATGGTTGTGAGGTCACCCTAAATCCCGTTTGGAGGTGTAGGGGGCAGAACACCAGTGTAAGTGAAACGTGGTGAGGATGCCAAATTCCCCAGACACAGCGAGGTCCATCGCTGTGTAGGTGGGCAAATTGCAGTTGCGCAGAAACAGAGGAGAGGAGGGGGGAGAGTGCCAACGGACATAACAACTACCGACTGCGCTGTAGATGTGCTGAACTGAAACAACGGTCAGGTGGGTTCACAGCATTTGTTTTTCGGGCGGCACAGGGAGGTGTGGCGGCATGCCTTAGACGTAGACCCCCCACGCCGCGTCAGCCATTGCGTCCAATTGCAACACCGGCTGGTTGGCAGACTCGAACAGTCGACTGGTGCACTACAGCGGGAAGAAAGAGTGAGACCGGCGCTGGGAAACCCTTCAGCGCCTTTCTCACTGTAAAGAATCTGGCACGATTGGATCGATCACTTCGCGCTGTCAGTCCTGTCGTGGAAAGCTGCCGCCCAACAGGATAACTCTGTCCATCTGATGTGAGCCGCTCCTACAGAAGCCTTAGACATGCTGTTAGGTCCTGTATGCGGTGCACGCGTAGACGAGCTGTTTAACCTTATCAACTACTACGCTCACCTCCGGTCGTTTTGACATTGTTTCGCCATCGAGGCAAGGTGACTGAGGGGGAGAGAGTGCGGTAGATTCTGTGCAAGGCCGTTTAATTATAAAGTAATTCACACACAAGCCACTGGTCTGCTCCCACTGCGTGGAGCGCGCTGTGGACCCTGTTGTTCGCGACAATCAAACTGTTGGTTAACCCCTTTGTAAGTGAGCCCTGCCAGAATAAAGCAGTAGGTTAGACAAGGACTGGAAGGGCGGCTGGCGGAGCATTTACTTTGCTGTCGGTCCCGAGGTCACGCTTGTGAAGGAAGGGGAATTAGGGTCTGGACTATCTACATGTGCACGAAAATGAGGACGGGTCTTACGGGAGAGTCATAAAACGCTTGTGTACTTGACTAATCTGCTTTGGGGCGTGTCGAGTTTGAGGAGCGTATGGTCACGCACGCGAGAGGCAAGACTCGACCAGGGCTCTAGCCAATCCAATCGAGTTCACTGCAGAAATAAACTGCAGAGGGATGCGCTGAGTAGGGCTAAGGTCCCTATCCTGGCTTTTTGCATGCCATCCTGTGCCTAATGATGGAAATTGTCTCATTTGTCAGTCTTCCTTTTGCTCAAAACCCGTAACGCTAGGAGGGCTGAAGGTTTTTCCAGTGTACTATACATGCACACACTAGGCAGATCATGGGGAGTAGGCTGCCTGCAAGGATGGACGATGGACAATTCAACCAGATGACACTTTCGCCATATCCGCGTGTATGCATACGCAGGGGGTTGGCATCGGTCAAATAGTGCTCACCTCGGCCATGTGGACGTCTGTGGACGTTTGACGGGAATAGTAAGGAACCAGCGCTCACACGCCTGCTCATTGCAACTATTATGGTTATTATTATCATTATTACTGATTCAAGTTGGAGAATGCGCATCCATGACAAGTGACAACATTGGTGGTGTGGCGGCAAGCCTAGATGCAGGCTCATGTCGTGTCAATTGAAATATGAGCTGTCCTCCCTTTTCTTGTATAAAACCCTAGCCACTGTCCGTTGTGGACCAGGGGATGTGGTGGTACGCCTAGGTGCGGATCTAGCCACGCCAGCCACCTGCGTCCCCTCTCGCCTCCGGTCTTCTCGACTTGCTCTTGACGCCGGATCTAGGTGGGGGGGAGGGAGGAGAGAGTGCGGTAGATGCTGCGCAAGTTTACTGTCACTATAAATTAACTCACGCTCAAGTCCCATCCCCTTTGGGACATTGTCAATCGAACTGTCGAGCGTTAAAAGGAATATCCGGCATTTGATGTACATAAGTACCTGCGAGGGCGGTGCCTCAATATCGGTCTCTTTATTGGGAGTTAATGTTCTGCCACCTAGACTTTCAGTCGATTGAATGATTGAAAATCCCTTGGGTAAGCCATTTCCGGGGCGTTATGTTGGTTAGCCACCCTCTTTACACGTGAAATTTCGTATCCCGAGACCGAAATCATCTGTTCCAATAACGTTCTCCCACCTACGAACTCAGTCCTCATAGCCCAATCTCACGCGTGGAAGGGATCGTCATCGCTGACTGAGTCGAATGACTAAGTCGTATTTACGCGCTTATACCCACACGAGCGTCTGAGTCATGCCGTGTGTGTGTGCTTGGTTGCTAAGCCACGTCATGTAACTGACACGAAAGTCCTCTCTGGTGGAAGATGTAGTTTTTTTCGTGTTTAGCAGTTTCTGCTGCGAGGTGTACACCTCTTCAACAAAACCGTACATTTGGCTTTTCTTATTTCCTACATTAGATGACAAAATCCGCCTTCCGAGACACCATTTAGTAGAAACGAAATTGTCCGGTTCATCCACGCCTGCACCGACTAGTGAGCCCATATAAGGGAAACGTTCTGCGAAACAAAACTAGGAATCAGAACCGAATCGCCACCTGTAGGCCTGTTGGTTCGTATTTTAGACCTACTGTACGGTAAGACGGCTTTCGACAAACGGTCTTTACGATCGACCAATCCGGCAATTTTATCACGTACTTGCAAGACCTGGAGTGTACCGAAACTCCCAAAATCGTAACCCAACTTTGTAAATACGTGTTAGAGTAGAAAAGGCAGCGGTAAGATGTGGTTATGTAGCCCCACCTGATGGACACAATACTGTTGGGGTTAGGGCAACTATTTCTCAACCACTCAAAGTACAACCGCGCATTCCCAATAGCTTTTCTTTTGCAGACAACTACTTGACCTTGTCGTCTGCGCGTTCTCCGGCCCCACCTGTAAAAATCCCTATTGCCACCGGTCCCGTATTACAGGTGGCTGGGATTTGTTTACTTCAGGTGGGGCTACGAAACCACATCCAACCAAGGCTGCTTCAAATGCAGTTTCGACGAGGATCAAGGTTATTTGGAAACGGTAGCACGCCGACGTTCAGTTGAACATTTACGGCCACTTGTATGGACACCACTCAGAATAAAACAACCTCGAAGATAGGCTTTATCTTTTTTTCACGGTTTCCTGCGCCTGTATAATGTAGACTCACACATAATGTAGTTGGTACGTTCTGCAAATAGCATTAAGGAACCTGAGGATATGAGTCTATCTGCGAGCGTTCGAAAAAGTCGTAATCACATCCTCTTAAAGCTGAGGGACATGTTTCTCTGGGGGAACAATACTGAAGTAGTAATTTCCCATAAAAAACGAATTTCGCACATTCCTTACGAACGACATGGTTGGGTTAACGGTGACGTAGGAACTCGGCAGAAGTGTGTACGTGCTGCCTAAGTAGTGTTTTAGTTTGTGTGAAATTTGCACAGAAGCCGAGAGATGTCCAGCGAGAACCCGACACGTCTCCATGTTTGAATAAGTCTGCTGGTACGTTCCGGGCCAATCGGTTCATGCTTAGTGAGGTTCAACGCCCCACTTTACTGTATTCCCGAAGCTGAGTGCGCTCCTTTCCGCTTTTTGTGAGACAGACTCCTGAGTTCCTCACTCATTGTCAACTGAACCGATTAAACTTCATTGTATTGCGCTCCACCGTTATTGTTGACTGAGCATGCTGTTTTGATCCACATGACGGACTGCACCGCAGATGCGTTGGAAGAAGACGGGCGTAGGACTGACTCACAACGCGAGTTTACCGGGCTGCGCAGAGTACGCGAGAGCCCACAACTACAGCCTCGCGTGCGCATGTAGCACGCCCTAGGCGTTGACTTGCACGTCGTCTCAGCCACTGCATCCAATCGCATCATCCGTGTGGTTAACCGGCTCGGAGAGGGAAGATAGAGTGAGGTCGACAATGGGGAACCCATGCCCACGGCAGGTTAACACCATCCTCGCTCTACTGCATCTAAAGCGCTTGAATCTTTAACGATGCGTCAGGAGTCGTGGCTTGGAAGGTTGCGCACCGACGGTCGGTCCTCCTGGTAAGTATTTCGGAGCTGCAAGAAGACTGAGAGTTGGGCTGCAATAATTCCTTCTCAATACGGCCTCCACGACGCTCTAACAAATGCGAGGTCCGAGCTGCTCTTATGCAAGCCCGGCACGCGCAGTGGGGACGAGGCCTTGTGGGTGGTCCGCGTAGACGGACTGTTTATTTTTGTCAGCTAGCACGCCCGGGCTGGTCCCCGGCCTTTTAACATTGCCCCGCCATCTGAGCCAAGTGGTCGAGGAAGAAGGGAGGGTGCCAGATACTGCGCAAGTCACCTTTGCTGTGCTGATTGGCCGTGGAGATTGATTCCCCAATGTCGACCTCACTGACTCTTCCATCCTTCACGCGCCAGCCGAATGTCAGAGCCTGTCGGTCAGCAGGTGGTGGGATAGTCGGTGAAGGTGGGTGGACGGTAAAGCGAGTTTATAGTGACAATGACCATATGAGTTTGTGAGAACACGTCTCCATCTGCAGCGTAACCCTTCTGCCCAATTTGCTTTTTTTTCACTCTTTTTTTCAGAACCCGCCTGAATCGCATGTCAAATATTCTCCTACTTAGAGGCAAACCTGGAAAACTAAAAGACTCAATCGAAGAAGAGGCCGATCGACAGTGGAGACTGCACGGAACGCTGGGCCATCGGCCACTCAGCGCCGACCTCCACACACCGTCTTCATCATGGCCGCGGCCGCCAGTGCACGAGTCCTCGTCCTCAGCCAATGGGAACTCGAGCTGCCGCTGCAGCGCACTGGCGGCCAATCACGAGGCCCCTCGGGGCGCAGTGATGTCGCGGCGACAAAGGTACGCCAGCTGTTGACACATGGTCTCTCTTTTTTATGCCTCCGGATTCGTTAAAGTCACACCCAAAGGGTGCAAACGTACGCAGTGGGGTTTTACGAGCATCGTTGTCACACCCAAAACCTGCATGAAACGGGTGAACTCTTAAAGCATGCCGGAAGTCTTTCAAAAATGGAGGGTCGCAGCATGCACCAAATCGCATTCGCTAGAGTTGATTTTCAGACGAGAAAGGTGACTCATATAGGCTTACAATACTTACTAGTATGCAGCGCAGTATTTTATTATGAAGGCGCGATCTGCTGGCTCCAGAGTTAGAATTTACTCGTCTTTTCGAAACAAAATTTCTTTGCGAGAAGGGCTTTCATCGATCGTTTTGCGGGGCATGCTTGTCCCGTTGCGCCTATCAGACATTCCATTACGACCTCTAATGATGTGGGCAGGAATGCTGATAAAGACAAGGATTTCTGTCAGGGCAGCGGGCTCGTGGCCCAGTGGTTAGAGGCGTGGACTTCTAACAGGTCGCGAGTTCGAGCCTCGGGTGTTCCCCAGTTCGGGGTTGGGTATGACTGGCTGACGACGGCTAATAATCTAGAAATGGCCACTCCAGTCTCCCTTGTCTTTTTTGGTAATAACATACGGTTTCTGTCTTATTAGCCGTCGTCAGCCAGCCATAGCCAATCCGAGGCTTGCATAACCTGGGACGAGCATGGTGGACGTCCTTCCTACGATAGTAAAGGCTCCCAGTCTTAATCGACAGGACAACAGGGACCGGTGGCTCAGTGGTAAAGCCTGGGACGTAAAACAACCAACAGAAAACATCTCGGATTCAAATTCAGGGTCCTAAAAACCTGGGGTTAGATGAGGCCGGTTGACGACGGCCAGAAATGGCCGTCCAGATCTCATATGCTTTAGTCGGTAATCCCTCCTGCACTTATCTATTGTCCGATCGTCTCACTGATGCTTCCCTGAAGTCGGAAATGCCTCCGAGACAAGACAAACATTTTGAGAGTTCACCCGACTGAATTTGCAGTCCACGTTCTGCTCATGAAAGGTGCGAGCTGGTCTGGAAATGCAGATATCAGAATCTGACGTCATATTGTTTTGGTAATAATTAGAACGTCCTCGGGCAACACCCAAACCGGGCAGTAAGGAAATCTTATGGAAATAACAGAAACGATCAGTCTCACTGCATGCATGTATTTGTAGTTGATACGCAGACCTGTCACCTTAAGTAGAGACCGGTATTCCTCAAAGCCACTGGCGTCAGTCGTGTAAGGAAGAAAGAAACGAACCACAGAGTGCTGGCGTGAGCAGGGCGCTGTTATTTGTAGTCGTGTCACTCTGGAAAGAACGTTTTAGTCCATTAAAACAAAGCAACCTAAATCATTAAAAATGCCAAATTTTGTAAGACATGGATAACAGGTACGTCCGGATGGTATGTTTGAAGAACAACCGAATTATAAAAACAGTAAAAAGCCGGACTTGTTGATAGCAGCGTGTCAGACACTCTTAGTCCTGTAAATCAGAGAAAAACATTGCCACAAAAAATGGAGAAGCGCTAAAAGTCTACCTTGTTAGAAGACCTTATCTCGCATGTCCAATGTTCTAGCTTAACTGGCTTCGTTGCTTTTTAATTTCCCCAGAAATTAACTGCGAACTTGGAGTACCTCAGTATATTCTAGGTCTTCATGTTCCGACAGAAGTGTTTATGCATGAATGTTTGGGCCGAAGTCCATCAGCCACAGCGGGTAAACGCGTAATATTCATTAACTGCCGACAGGCAGCTAGTAGCATACTTTAGGGTGAAGGCATACAGCACAGGTATTAACCAAAAGCCCATACACGCGTGTTTCGCCGATATTCTGTCGCTGCATGACACAGCTGCGAGGGGTTCGGCTTATCATTATACCACGTTGTCGGTTGGAGTGGCCATGTACACTCACTGAGTCCGCCTACTGAAATTTCCGGACAGTTTTATGTGCGAAAGTTTTGTCCAGTGTGAAGAGGGAGTTCCTCTACTGGACACGAATCCTACAATAGCCTTCACCTCTCTGAATTTTGAATTTTGTGCAACCCTACAACAGCCCTGAATGTTAACCTCATACGTCCCTGTTTTAAGTAGACCTCGTTTGATTCAATGGACGTTTCTTCCGTCCTTGTTTGTTATTTCTCCTTGGGCGTCGCATGTTTCGGTCTGGGGTGACGGAGCAGATAAAGCCCTAGGCTAAACACTACCACATTCGGCCCAGATCATGAAGAGGAAGAGGATACGTAGCCGTACCTGTTAGGGATTAGGGGTAAGGAGTTAGGGTGAGGGGTCAGGGGTTAGGGTTAGGAGTCAGGGGTTGGGGTTAGGGCAAACACCCTATTACCACTGTTCCCGTATGACAGGCATCTGGGGCTGGTCTACTGCAGGTACGGCTACGAAATAAGATCCGACCGAATCTGCCATAGCAACTTGGCGACCGGACAAAAGACGCGCACACCCGGCGCAGCCGAAACAGGCGCCCGGATGTCTTGAGTGAGAGGACGTCTGTGTCCGCCTTGAAGATGATTGGTCGGTTTCGACAGTTGTGATTGGCCGAACAACAGACGGAGTATCTCGCTTTCAGCGATTGGCCTGACGCGGTGTGATCATTGTGCGGAGCCTCACCATGTCCAACGAACGACTGATGCTGGTGTGTGCAGATGCAGTGTTTCCGCGGGCGCCGTAGTGGGATCATTATGGGGGTGCCATGGAGCACTGTCATTACATTGTCACCCCTTCCTATAAGTCATGCATGGCTTGTTTTATTGGACGTGGTATACCCGAAACTCCCTGCAATGGAACTTTTACCAATCGGATTACTTTCCCTCTTAATTCCGTATTATGGTTAGATCTTATTTTGAAGCCGTACTTGCAGTAGACAAGCCCCAGCCCAACCCCTAACCCCTAACCATGACTCCTAACCCCTGACGCCCAACCCCTAACCCTAACACCTAACAGGTAAGGCTACGAAATACGATCTTGCCCGTATTATTTTTGGATTCGAAACACCCTTTGCTGACGGTTGATTTCTGTTTATCAATACTACTTTAGGGGGGAAAATATACACATACAAACCAGGGTATGAGTAAGCCGACGGACTTATTCATTCGTCACACATCACGCTTAGAGTACTCTTGCTTACGTAAATATAATGTTTGCCCTATAGGGTGCTTTAAATGTTCTAACTGACCAAGCACTGGGCTATTTCCAATGCCTTTTGCAAATGAATACGATTGATTTGCAAAGTCGCAAGGGACTTTAAGCAGACACAGCGATACTTTTATGTATGCAGAATGTCATCCATGAAACTGCACCTGCCATCGGTCGTTCAACCATGCAACGGGAATTGTCATTGCCCACGAACCCCAAACTCGTCTGTTGGTCACGTATAACTGCTTTTCACGTGACTTTCCCATCCACACAAATTCAACAATTGTGCTAAGGCCTTCCTGTTTTCGTTTGCACGATCGGCGTATTGTTCCTGCGGAAGCTGTACTTATCTGCGGTCGGTTTTAGAGATCCTTAAAGCATTCAGTCCTGAGATTCTAGCAGTTTTTGGGAATTTTATTAGGACTGAAATTGTAAGGATCCTGTGCGTCTAGGCTATGCCACGCGTGATGTCTTTTGACGACCCAAGTCAGCGTAACGGACCGAAGAAGCCTTTTTGGTTCGAGACCAGATACAGTTTAAATAAGCCAATCATGTCAAGGCGCAGTTAGGACGAGCATGTTCCGTCTTGCAATCAAGTCGCGCCAGCCGTGTGTGCCATCTACAGGCTGATGTGCTAGTTCACCCAGACTTCGCATGGCGCCATCTCGTGTAGTTATGACTCGTTAAAATACTGTTTTCAAGTAATTATTGATTTTTGACTGAGTGCATGTTTTGTACGCATAGAAAATTGGTTTATCATGATCTGAAAAAGCGCGCAAAATTGAATTCCGACACGTACAGTAAGTGACCGATCTCATGAAATGTTAGCCGGAATTCTAAAATGCGTTTTCGACTTGGAAGGATTACATAGGTGACGTTTTAATATTAATCACTACGAGGCATAATCCCATGACATTTCGAACTCACCAGAACGCTGGCTTTTCGATACATTTCTTTGCGACCTGTAAAAACTCCACTAGGTAAAAACCGGCTACTTAAGTAGTACACATTTCACATCGATTTTCGATGGCCCTCTAAATTGAAATGAGAGAGAGGGAGGGATTCACTTTGTTTTGAAAGTATGGATTCAAACTTGTCAGCAAAAGGGGTTCCATTCACTGTGGATAGAAAGCAAGTTAACAAATTACTCAAAAGTCGAAGAGTTTTGCAAAGAAAGGAACGACTAATTATGGGGACAGTTCAAGTCTTAGCTTCTGTATCTCTGCCTCTTAACACCTTAGATAGCGTGCCAGGAATGGCGATACAGAATGTTGAAATGCCGATGTACGGCAAGAGATATGTCGAAAGCCACGGCACAATTTATAGAAAATATGCGCAATATTTTTTCTTTTACTCATTGGATAGCAGGTTACGTCATCCTCACATTTTATACTCGAAGAGAAATGACCTTTAGTGGTAGGGGGCGCTCACCGATCGTTTCTACGGAACTCACTCGTTCCGTTGTGCCTTATGGGCTCTCTCTCTCGAGCCCAACCAGCAGCCGTTCAGCGGCGCATGATATAGGCAGAATAACATTACCGACAAAGACAAGGGAGACTGGAATGGCCATTTCTGGCTTATTAGCCGTCGTCAGCCAGTCATAACCAACCCCGAAGTGTGGCACACCCGAGGTTCGAACTCGCGACCTGTTTGTTAGAAGTCCACGCCTCTAACCTCTGATGTAGGAAGGAATGCTGATAAAGACAAGGGTTTCTGTCAGGGCAACGAGCTCGTGGCCCAGTGGTTAGAGGTGTGGACTTCTAACAAACAGGTGGCGAGTTCGAACCTCGGGTGTGCCACACTTCGGGGTTGGATATGACTGGCTGACGACGGCTAATAAGCCAGAAATGGCCATCCCAGTCTCCCTTGTCTTTGTCGGTAATATCATGACCTTTGGTTTTTAAAACAAGTTTCTATTTGCGAGACTTTTTAAGATCTTTAAATGTTCATTCATACTGAATCGTACTTGTCCGTTTATTGATGCTCCTCAGAAAATATACAACAGGCCGCATCCATTGCAGAATTTTGTGAACTCAACATGGTATCGTTTTAAAGGTATAGAGAAATATACTTTCCTTACGCGGGAAGTATACACCCATAGACTGAAGTTGCTAAATGCTAATGCAGCAGCCGATTTGGCACAAAATTATCCAGGAATCGGGAAAGTTTTTCAAGGTCTAAATATGCCATTTTTTCAAGTATACAATGTGAAGACGACGTAATTTGCTATCAAGTGAGTAAAGAAGAATATTTTTGTGCGTATTCTCTATAAAGTGCATTTCAATCTACAGGGCCATCGAAAATCGATGTGAAAATGCGTACTAGTTACGCAGTCAGTTTATGGCGGGTGAAGTTTTTACAGGAGGTCGCAAAGAAATACATTGAAAAGCCAACATTCTGGCGAGTTCGAAACATCATGGGATTATGCCGCGTGACGATTAATATTACAACCTCACCTATGTAATCTTTCCAAGTCGTAAACGCATTTTGGCTAAAATCTAGTGATATCGGTCACTCACTGTATTTTGTGGATTTTTATTGGCTGCGTGACGCGACTAGGAGAGTTTCAGTGCATCGGTGGGTTCTCTGGCGTTTCGCTTTTGATTTCTTTTTATAGCCGCAGCCTTCAAAGTGAAGTGGCCTTCACTCGCTGGATGGCAGTAAAGACTCAGAAATGTAGGTTAGAATGACGTAAGATCAAAGCTCGTGGCTCAAATCAATTATTCTGAGATGATGAGAAACACGTTTGAACACTATTTTACGAAACAAGATTTTATTGACGCAAGCTAAAGGAGGAACCGACTTTGTGCGAACGACTTATGAGCTACTGCGGGCCTATCTGTTAATTAAGGCCCCAAAACACTCTGAGATGGGTAACCGGCTGGATATGGGTAGCTCCCGATAAACGTCATACTTTGTGGGCGACCGCCACTATTGTCACCTACCGCCTTTGTTCAACACCCCGCCACATCAGGGTTGGTAACCATCCCCGCGAACGGCTTTGGCTGCGTTGAAATCACAGTCTGACCGACTGCAACACAGAGGAGTTTGGTGACCCCGACGTTAATAGGGTCGATATTTACCAAATATGTTTGAGACTTAGTCATTACGACAACCATTCCTCGACGATATCTCTGCTAAGCAGTCAACCTTGAGGCTCTGTCTGCCGGAGTGGTGTAGTCGACCCCGGGCACGCTGGACACCCCCCTGCACCTTGTACGAGCGTGCCCATCCAACAACATAAGTTGACGAGGAGGCACTAGTGCACCGCTCAATTGTTGCCTCGAATGCGCTTTTTGCCCCCGGATCGAGCCGCCAATTCGATCACCGTTGACGCACGTCATCTAGCCCTCGTGTGCCCTATACCAAAGCGACCGCTTCATCACTTTCTCCAAGGTCGACACATTCACTTTGCTTTGTGACCGCCGGCAAGCTGTAGACGACCGTGATCCTCACACCACCCGCCGGTCTTCGCCTTGTCGCGTCAAGCTTATTCATCCTCCCTGTAGAAGCCCCACACGCGCCATCCTTGTAACACGAATAGAAATTCACATCTAGGCGGCCCAAACCGTCCTTGCCTCATGCAATGCGACAGACCATTTGGCCACAGGGCCCTTGAGCTCTCGCCCACAAGCCCAGAAAAGCAGTTGATATAAAGCATAACTTTATATTGTCAGCACATTCCCTGAATTTGACAGAGGTAATCTCTCACTCTGGTATCTCTACCATGTTCCGCTGCTTAATGACTGATGGTCTGAAGCAATGGGTGCACATAAGATTACAGACTCTCATTTACGCGTATATTTGCGTCTAAATGTCCGTTCTTTTTCCATGCCAGGGCAGAAAACTAAAATCAATAACTGCGCACCGTGTTTTCTGTTTTAGAATGCTTTCTGGACAGTCTGAATACCCCTGTGTGGGACAACAGTCTCAAAATGTAACCTGGCGTCTAATTCGAGACAATGTTCCAATTGAGCTGGTGTTGGGTACGTGGAAGACGAATTTGTGCCTTAAAATGTTACCTTGTGGTTGGCTGATGACGCTCTGTTCTCCGAAACGCGCACGCTACATATGTGTAGGTTTGCCATCAAAGTGCATAGTTACTAGACGCATCCTAACTAGGCCATTGGTGACTAATCATCACCCTAAAACAAATAGTACTCGCTAGATATGGGTAGCGCGCAACAAAATGGAAAAAGGCCAATCACCACCAAAAAAACCCCGTTTCCCAGTCATCAGCCAACTGGGTGACCAAGTAACGTGGGTTCAATTCCTAGGCTTGGTAGTTGGACTTGGTCGACTGATGACCGTGGATAGGCAAGAAACAACTCCAGTCGTGTTCCTCCACTGCCTTGCCACCTCTCCCACACTACTGACTGCTTCTTACTGTGCGTCCTCTTTCGACGGCTTTAGATTGGAGCCCTAAAGCATGTTTCCTCTTCCACTCAGATGAGTGAAACTCCACCCTCACGCCACTCTACCCTTCATTTCTGCAATTCTCACTTGTAGATACCAGCGACTTCACAGTGTGCTGCAATGGGAGGGAAGTGCGTAACATTGAGGTGAGTTGTTTTCGGACTAACTGGAAATCCTGAAGTATTTTGTGGCGGAGCTAAGTGCCGTTTTTCTTTCGAATGCCTCCAGCCATCAGTGAGGTTTGCTTCAGAGACATGCCTCGCTGGGCTGAGGCAGTCTACAGTAAATTGCGTGACGGGCTTAGGCAAATTCACGCTGTCCCAATGATTGAGCTATCCCGCGCAAATTCGCTGAAACCTAAACGTAGTTCGTTATTCTTTTAAAGTAGAACTGATGCCTGTAAAAGGTGCTAAACCCCCACAGTCAGTGCGTAAATCTTCTGTTTGTGGAATTTCTGTATTTTCGTAGTTTGCATTGAAAAAACGTAATTGCAACAAATCATTGGCATCTAGTCAGCAGTCAGCGAGGCTACGTGCTATCGCCTGCGGTGGTAGTGCGGTGTTTACGCTAAATTAGACACTATCAGGGAGTCTATTGAATGCGTGACGGGAACATCTAGGGTAATTTATGATGAGCTCTCCTGGCGTCACGAGGAAATCGATATACGCAAATGCAGTGGCAGCTAATGGATTATGGGTTCTCTGATCTTTCCTACTAATTAAGGCCCGCCGTTCCGCTTAATTCGCCGATGATGACCCCCGCAGTCGATCAAAACGATAATCGGCATTTTGGACAGGCGAGAGGATGGGCGATGAAGTTAAAGTTTAGTTCAAGACACGGGGGAATGGAGTAGCCATTTCTGACTTCTATTAGCCGTCGTCAACCAATCGTACCCAACCCCGAGTTGTGTAAGACCTGGGCCTCGATTCCGCGCCCTGTTGATTAGAAGGGGATTACCAACAAAGACAAGGGATGCAATGATGGTCATCTCTGGATTATTAGCTGTCATCAGCCAGTAACACCCAACTCCGGCTTTGGGAGGGCATGAGCTTCGAACCCAGGTCCTTTTGGCCATTCAATCTTCTCTTCCGTCGGTCACGATCGGGAATATTAACTTGTCGACAGAAACGAATAGGCGAGCGCCAGGAAACAGTTCAGAAGAAGATGCGATCATTGGAACAAGAAGTTCGGTTGTCCTGACGTTTTGGATTCTTACTCGAGCCCACGACAGCTGTCTCCACTACCTTTATCTGCGACTGTATCCGATGGTGGGTTCGAGTGAGAAGCGAGGTTTGGTTCCACAGCCCCACTTGATCGATAACATATATTAACTTACTAAAACAATTTTAGTTAATATATCTAACTCAGCCAATCACTGGATTAGGAAGGGAAAGGGAGCGCACACAGAGCTCGAATTACGCGCAGGTAAGTGAGTGAAGATGGCGTGTACACACTTACCTCCGACACAACCACTCGTTGGATGTAGAGGATAAGGAGAGCGCAGTCACAACTGGAAGGCCAAGGAGGTAACCGCGCGGAAATTCGCGGTGTATGGCCATTGTAGTGGAATTGACGGAGTTTCACACCGTCCGGACAATTCCATTAGCAAGTCTACCTGGCCACTCGCTAGATTAGGAGAGTAAAGAGAGCGCAAATAGGGCTAGAAGCACGCGCAGGGAAGCGCGTGTGAACTGATACCTGAAGTAACCAGGACTGGCGTAAAGGCACTCCTTCTCCCCTGAAACAGTCACTCGCTGGATTAAAATGGTAAGGAAGATGAGAATACGTGATATTCAAATCGTCTAAAATTTTTTAGAAAGTTAAACATATGGTATCACTCAAGTGGGGCTGCGGGACCAATCCTCTCCGAGTGAGAATCCGAAACGTCAGACTAATAAAACTTCTTATTCGAGTGATCGCATATTAACTTGTGTTGGAAGTGAGTTCATCGATCGGGTTATAGGACACGATCGTTCAGCTGAGCCTTGAAGCTCCATGAAGAACACTCGCAGGCAGTCGCATAACCGACAGCAATGATACAGAAGGTGGTACCAACAAAGTCAAGGGAGAATGGGATGGTCATTTTTGGATTATTAACCATCTTCGGACCTACCCAACCCCAGGTTTGAAGGCACCTGGTGTTCGGACTCGTGTGTTCTTAGCTATTGAGCGTTAGTAAGTCCAAGCTTTAACCACTATTCTGTCATTTTCGACCGGGAATATTAACTATAGAGGTATAAAGATTGTTTGTCCAACGATATATATATATATATATATAAATATCATGGTAGGGGCGCTCACCGATCGTTCATACGGAACTCACTCGTTCCGTTGTGCCTTAAGGGCCCTCTTTCGAGCCCAACCAGCAGCCGCACAGCGGCGCATGATATATAGGCAGAATGGTATTACCGACAAAGACAAGGGAGACTGGAATGGCCATTTCTGGCTTATTAGCCGTCGTCAGCCAGCCATACCCAAGCCCGAAGTGTGGAACACCCGAGCCTCGAACTCGCGACCTGTTGGTTTAGAAGTCCACGCCTCTACCCACCGGGCCACGAGCCCGTTGCCTTGTCGGTTTTCGATCGGGAATATACAATGGTAGGGGGCGCTCACCGATCGTTCATACGGAACTCACTCGTTCCGTTGTGCCTTAAGGGCTCTCTCTCGAGCCCAACCAGCAGCCGCACAGCGAAAACCGACAAGGCAACGGGCTCGTGGCCCGGTGGGTAGAGGCGTGGACTTCTAAACCAACAGGTCGCGAGTTCGAGGCTCGGGTGTTCCACACTTCGGGCTTGGGTATGGCTGGCTGACGACGGCTAATAAGCCAGAAATGGCCATTCCAGTCTCCCTTGTCTTTGTCGGTAATACCATTCTGCCTATATATATATATATATATGACTTGGGCCCCACCGTTTATGAGCGTCTGCTATACCATGATCAGCCAATCGTGACCCTCGCGTGCGCTGACAGTTGTCCGGTACCTGGTTCTCTGGAGATAGATGCGCATGCGCTCCCGCTAGGTACACAGGTCGTGTGCATGGCTGCCCAGTCATCCGCGTACTTTCTGCTGTTGCTGTTGTTGGTCAGGTGTTTGTTGTCGACTAGGGGATGTGGAGTGGAGCGCCAAGGTGCGGGTTCGGCCGCGCTATCTACCCCCGCCCTCCGCGCCTCCGGTCATCATGACTCTGCCTTGACACCGGGCTCAGGCGGGAAGGAGGAAAGAGTGCGGTAGAATCTGCGCAAGTCACCGTGCCTGCTTCACCTTGCTGTGGAACACACGGCGGTCATCGTCGGATGCGGCGGTTGAAATATCATACGTATGACTTAAGTATTTGCCTGCGGAGGTTTGAATAAACAATCTTTTCCAAGGCCCCGTCTGTCACCCTAAAATATTTTGTATTACGATGAAACACAAACACCCCCCTTCCCCACAGTTCTGGTCTCCGCACATTCGTGTTAACTATGCGGCTGTTCTCATTTAAGCCGGGAACAGGGTCGCATCAAATGTTGTTGTTTTTGCTGATGCCTCGGTCACCTGTGTTTTGTTTGTTACTTCGAGTTTCTACTGAGACAACGCGATGTGAAGCCGACTCGCGGAAGGCGCACCAGCGTGGACTTTCAACAGGGTCAACTCTGCCTCACCTTCACCTTCTACGCCAGCCCGACACGTCGCTTCGCTGCCCTCATTCGAGCCGCCTTCACCTCCACTATCAGTCTAGGCTACGAGGATGTGGTTTCCCAGGTTACCTCAGCGGAGAAGCTGACTCATCTGGTGCGTTTCGGGCTTCAGTTGAGCAACTGGAAGCTGCGAATCAACTCCCTTGATGGCAGCTAGTTCCCTATCCCCACGTCCCCCCTCTCCATCCCCCCTCTCTCTCTCAATGCTCTGGGCGGACGGACAAAAACGCTTCCAACGTTGTTACTAATTTTACGCTCTTACTCAGGATCTGGGCTTGCGGCGGGATGTGCGTGTGCACAGACAGGAAACTTTTCATATTTTCGGTTTAATTTTACATTTTTTATTTGCATACGAAGATAGTCCCTCTGAAAGGCGTACAAATTATTCCATTTCTGTGCGCTAAATACACAAAATTTGCTTTAACTCGCGTCAATTTATTCTGTTGTTTAACCGATTTCGTTGCTGTGGCAACCGCGGGACCCGCGAATTCGCACAATCTTTTTATGCTCACGGACTGCCGGGGTGCGGATTGTTTCTCTTGGTTTCAGCGAAGGTGCTTCTACGATGCGGTTGTTTTCTCTTGTAAAAAAGAGTAAGCCTCGGGGTTTCGTTTGTCGTTAAATCTCAGTTGTCCAGAGGCGAGGTAGGCATGGACGGAACCAAATTCCTAGGTGCTTCTGACTTTTCTCTCACTTGTGTTCATCCTTCGCTAAGAAGAAATTTCACCTGAGAGGAAGTGGGGCGAATGCTGCAAATAGGGCAGTTTATAACGTCTTAAACAGGGGGATTGAAAACTGTTTAAGTGTTGTCGAGGTTCTGCTTTGCGGTGAGCACATGGTCTTACCTGCCTTCTCGAAGGAACTATGGCAGTTGTTGCTGCGGTCCTTTACAGTTGTCTGTGTAATCCAGCCCCGTGAATTCAATGGGGACTTACGCGTGATTTGGACGATAGTGTCCATAGTTGTGTGGTCGACAAGACAAAGATTCCCAATCATAAGTCAGGGAAGACGGAGTGAGTTGGACAACCTTTACCGTTTTGGAAGTGCGCACACAAATGCGATGTAGGCAACCGCCGCGAGCGCGCTCCAAACGAGTTGTTGTCTGTGTCCGCCTTCGAGGTGCTGAGACCCAGCGCGTGTGTGCGCCTTTCGCTGTCTCCGCGTCCGCCAGCCAATCAGAGGGGGGACAGCGTTGATTGGCCTGGAGCACCCGCGAGGCTAGTGACAAGCCTCGCGTGTCCCAGCAGCGTATCGACAGGAAGTGTGAGGCGGACAGAAAGGCAGCTTGACAAAGGTGGAGCGTAAGGAGACGCGAACTGCCACAATAGCGAGCAATATGAATTCAACCGTCGCTGCCGACAACGTCCACCGTGTGCTCTAGAGCAAGGTGAAGCAGGCACGGTGGCTTGTATGCGGATTATTTTATAGTGGGAGAAGGCTTGCGCAACGTCCACCGCACCCTATCCTCCTCACCCACCGGAGCCCGGTGTCAACACGTAATCAAGAAGAGTGGAGGCGGGAGGGGACACGAGTGGCTGGCATGACGAAAACCTGCACTTAGACGTACCACCACACTGGCTGTTCCACAACAAACACTTGACCAGGATCCTAACCAACAAAACCAAAATAAACGGATCAAAAGGACGAGGATGACTGGGCAACCATGCACACGACCTGTATACCCAGCAGGAGGGAAAATGCATCTACCGCCAGATAACCATGTGCATGAGAAGTGCCATCGCACACCAGGCTGCGAGGGTTATGGTTTAATGCTCATGACATAGCAGAAACCCACAAACCTTGGGGCCCAAAAGGATGGCACACAGCTCTGCATCTAACCTGGGCCATCATCCTTCAAAGGTTGGGTAACCAGTCAGTCAGCGAATGAGAGGCACTATCCATAAGGCATACACACACACTCCTTACAGGAGTGGGAGTGCCATAGGTCACTTTAAGCAGCCTCGCTCTCAGCCGACCAGTCCGCCACTGCACACAAACACACACATAGCTGGGCAAACTGCGGGGACTGATTTGAGGCGTCAGTCGGCAGGCTTCCAAGCCACGGCGCTTGGCGAGCCGTGAGAGTCTCAGACTCGAGTCACGCATGCAGCAGAGGAGCCGCATGGAGCCGAGACGCCCATTTCCACTTGCATTGGACGTGGCAATCGGGCGCTTGTGATGGGTGATAGTGTCGAGAGGTTCGGGTGCTGGTGGAGGATGAATGATGTAGCCGGCGTTGTCTGCTGCACGTTTTCGTGAATATGCATTAGACCTTACTAGCCCCTGCGGTGAGCGAATAGACAAGGCAGTAAAGACAGTTAATGCGGGTGTGACGAGTGTAGATTGGTGCTCCAGGCACTGGTTCGCCAGGCTCTGTGAGATGGGTCCTCAGGTGGCCTACCAGGCCGATGCGTGTGGTGGATGTTCAATTGCCATGAGAACAGGCATGAACCAAGTTCACATCACTGCACTTGGGAGTGTTAGCGGTGATGGCAGGAAGTGTTGGGACATCAGACGTCGTCCCAACTTTAGGGGAGTGCGTGAGGATGCCGTGGTGGCGATACTAGGCCACCGATGTCGATGAAGGGGTAGGGGCAGGGCGGATGATGTCGGTGGACGGTGACGGCGGGACAGCAACAGTGTCGTCGGCGGTGACGGGGGTGCCGATCGGTGCGGGGTTTGCGGCAGGGGCGAGAGTGGGAGAAGAGGTATACGTTGTCGAATTGATGGCGCATTGAATCCGAGGGTGTCCAACGAGACCGACTCGTGCGCGGAATGTGCGTTGACAGCGCGGGCATGTACGAAGCGGCGGAGGATTGGTACTGTGGAGGCGAGGCACTTGTGATTTGAGGGCCTCTCTTTCGGCTTTGGCGGCGGCGGCGGCGATCCGATTTGTTTTGTAGATTGCAGCACCGGTATCCACTTCTCCTCTCCAGGTCGGTCTGGTCTGGGCGAGGTTCTCCCAGATCTCTGGACTGAAATGAAATCGGCGGCGACATCACAACTGAAAAGTTATTTTGGTATTCGTGTATCTTCCATCCTCACGAGCTGGCCGCTCAAACGTAGCGGCAGTTGCCTCAACATGGCGTGAATGCTGAGGATGCGGGCCTGTGTCGGGAATCCTGTCTTGCTATCTCAATGTTGGTATTCTACGAAGACAGCTGAGTTGAGTTTCTTGGCATGGCTGGGGTAGACGGTTCAAGTCTCTGCTCCGTGGAGAAGTGTCATCGGGACGACGGTCTTGTACATCTTCAGTTTGGCATTCAGTTGGAGGTCGTGACGATTCCACATGGGGTTCTGCAGCCGGCCGAAGACTTGGCTGGCTTTGGCGATCCGGTGGACAACTTCATCGTCGAGTCTGGTGCTGTTAGAAAGTGTGCTTCCGAGATGAGCAAAATTATCTACGGTTTTGAGTTGATGGCCGTCGACCGTGATTCGACTATGACAGCAGTGTTGCGGATCCGTGTGGTTGACGCACACGCCAGAGTTACCCGAGGCAGGAACTCGTCAAACAGGGCACCGAAGTGGAGCTCTAAACCAGTTTTTTGTGCTGGTTGGTGGCTGTCTTGCATACGTTGACCGAAATATATTGCCTATTCGAAAAGGCTTCTAAATTAGGCTTGTAATGTTAATGATCGTGCAACAGAATCCCATACCACGCCGTCGGCGCTTGAACGAGCGTCTTCCCGGTCGCCTGCAAAAACTCTGTTCTGCAAACAATGTTTACCTACGTAGTGCGAACTTTACCTATCGATTTTCAACGCCCTTATAAATTCACATATATTTTTAGGTAATATATATATATATATATATATATATATATATATATACATACATATAATATTGATCTCTTTAATCAGTTGGCAGCAAATTACGGCGTCCGCCAATTCTACACCCTAAGTTGGAGTATTATCTGGTTTTGAAAAACTTTTTCAATTTTCGAATAACTTTGAACACTACTTGCCGTTAAACATACATTCGGTGTCTCTGTGTGAGGAAATTCATGCAATTTTATACGGCGTTAAGAAGATACTGTATGGGATTCATGAAATTTTTCGGCGGATTTAAACCATATAGCGAACTTTACAAGCAAAATTAATAAATGCAAAGATGCGGGGTTTTTTAAATGGATATTCCGCGGTCCTAAAAATCTCATAATAAGCAACTTTTTAAAAATCGACAAAGGCTTTTTCCTCAAGTATTAAGTTTGAAGAAGGCGTGCTTTGCTACAAACTGAGATAATGAACAAATATTGTTGTGAATTATTTCTATAAAATATATTTGAATCTATAAGGATATCCAAAATCGACGAGAAAACTGCATACCTCCTAAGCAGCATTTTTTGCAGACCATAGTTTTCGAAGACGGCCGGAAAGAACTCGTTCAAAAGCCAGCATCCTGCCATGACTGAAATATCCTGGGATTATATTGCATGGCAATTGATAAAGCAAACATTCTAAGAATATCTTTTCTAGCTGAAAAAAATCGCAGGATTTCGGTGAAAATTCCATGAGATAGCACATTCACTGTGGTTCTTCGTTAAGTTCACTGAGAAGCCAACTGATATGAAGAAGCAGTACAGAGCTAACCCAAATCACTTAGAGGGGACCTTACTCTCTTCCTGACGTTACATCGGATGGGCCCTTCTCTAGTCGTGGAGGATATTTACTATGGTGTTTTTCTGTGAAAACACATTTTGAGGCTTCAGGTTTTCACTCTGATAAGTCCAAAACGTTCCAGCAGAAATAACTCACGTTACTTTCCACACTGAGTTTTTGGCTGTTTTATCATGACCTCATGCATTGGCTGACCCTACTCCGCCGACTTTGAACTCTTTGCTTAGATCAGAGTAGGGACTTTAAACAAAAACACACTTAAGGTCCCTCAAATACAGTAACATAAAAATATAAAAGTCGGAGGCCTGAACAGTTCTTAATGCGAAGGTGTTCCATATTCCTTGCTTTGTCGGGTAGTTGACCGAAGAGAAACATGAATATCGTTTATAACATACTGGAGGGGCTTACACGCACTCTGCGTTAAAAGTGAGGCAATGGGAGAAGGGGAGGGAGGAGGGGAAGGGGGAGGAGGTGGAGGGGGAGGAGGGGAGGGGTAGGGTCTCGGGGACACCTGATCAGTTCCGTTGGCACGTCGGAACAAAACGTCCCCATTCTCTTAATTTATCCGAACATCGCGTTCGACAGTGCGCAGATGCTAATGATCGCGATGGTGAAGGCTATCTGTCTGCAGTTACTGAAAACCGCATCCGCTTCTGGTTTTATTTTCAGGAAAACGCTTTTCTGCTTCTAAAAGTAACAGGCTACTTGGTAATCTATCAGCGGGTTTCGATTTACCATCATCTAGCCCATATGGATCGATTTCCCACAAGAAGTTGTCTCAACCAACAGAGAGAATGTTAAAATTTGTTACGATGCTTAATATCAGCAGATGTATTTGACGCATTATTGGCTCTGAAAGTCTATTTGTAGGCACCTACTTCGTCCTAAAATCCAGAACATGGAACAGTTGAAAGTTCCCATATAGAGATCTTCCGGGTACTTGACGAATTTTCGCATTTTCTTTGAGCATCAAAACTGGACCACACATACATACGTTTCCCGAAGAGGTCCATCCATATCTCTCTTCAGGTTGTTATAGCAACCGTAAGGCACCCGAATACGCTTGAAACAATCGGTCCGTTCGGCCAGCTGGTTTAAACAACGCGTTGCGATAACTCCGTGTGTTGTCTCAGCAGGAAGTCATAAGTATACTTCAAGAAAAAATGTTTTCTCATCCAAGAACGAAAAGATATCCCTTAAGAACGACTGAAGAAGGTTAAAATCTTGTTAGTGATATCTGATGAGCCTTGCATAGGCATATTAGCATCAAAATCGATTTGGCCATGAGTCGAGTTTAAATTACGCCTCGCACCCATCAGTTTTGCGACCCCACTAAAGCCCTATTTTGCTTACTTGGAACTACACAAAGAGAGGCTTCGCACATATCTCGCGAGAGTTAGTGCGTGCCAAAAATGTCGACTGGGTTAATGGCCAGTTCTTTCTAGGAGAAAGCAAATAAAAATATTTTTTTGACTTGTTTAGAGTTGCGAAAATTCCCACAGCAGTATTCAGAAGACGAGTTGGCGAGCATACGTTGCTTTCGATAAATTAATTTCATTAAATGCGCAGTCCTTTTTGACAACCAACTCTATAGACAAGTAGACGGCGTCACAATGGGCTCGCCTCTCAGAAGAACCCCCTTCAGGTTTCGCGGTTACCGTAGTCAAAGGTTGACTAACCACATGCAACTTTCTGCACCCTTCCGCTCTCGCCCAACCCGTGTTTTAAAACTAACTTTCATCGATTTTTTAACCACTGACTTGTTTGACTGTAGCCTGTTCCCATACAATTGTACTGGCCGGAAGAGACTTTATCGAAAGCAACATATGGTCGCCACCTGTCTTCTGAAAAAAAGTTTTTTCTTGTTACATTCAAAGGGTTCTCCCTCGTAACACTGTGTGCCTATGGCGACCAAGAAAAGATGACGTTTTAATTGGTGGAGGGGCGGTCTTTTCAGGCTGAGCCACAACTTGCCCTTTTCTATTCACTAACGAGTGCACTTCTACTTTACTGTAGCAGACTAGTTACTTGGTCAACTGTAATTATATGCTCTGTTTTGTGTATACGCACAAAATTAATAAGACCTCTTGGCAACGTCCGCGGATTTCCGTATAAAAATGAATCTCAAGAACGACGAATTCCGCATTCCATGCCCGCTCTGACCGCTGCTTTTTACGTTGGGGAACTTGTCAAGTTAGAATCGAAAGCGTAATTTTCTTCTCTCAGCTTCTTTACAAGATCCGTACGAGCTATTATTAGTTCTAGTTAAGACCTTGTGTTTTTCGCATCTTAAATCCTTCATTGTGCATGAAACTCCACAGTAGACGGGGAAATACGTTGATAGAAGCGAACAGGCGAGTTCCGGGTAGCAGTTCAGAAGACGAAGATGCGATCAGTGGAACAAGAAATTTATTGGCCTGACGTTTCGGATTCTCACTTGAATCCATCATCAGAGACATTCGCGGATAAAGGTGATGGTGGCATAAGGAGGAAATCGGTGTTCTCGCAACCATTTTCCTCCAGTGACATTGGGGTACTGCCTGGCCACTTCAGCATGAAACAAATTTTCCTAGTTTATCACCCTACTGGTATACCTGGGAAACTTGCTGCTACGACCGCAGCCAACCAATCAGAGGCCATCTTCTATCGGCACGCATATCCTTTGTATTAGCATTTGGAAAAGTGTAGTCAGGGTCCTGAACTGTGCTTCGGTAAAATTAACCCAACGTTTAGGTTGACCCTTCAGTTACTCCGATTCACCTTTTGTTGGCATAGCACACGCCTACAGTTCCGAAGATGTTTGAGATGGCCTCCTGCGGACCATACGGTTCGCAAGAAATTACTGACCTCTTCTACTCCGTAAGGAGTTCTTTTCCCTCGCCGCCTCAACCTCATTACACGGATATTACGGCAAGTGTATGTCACGTGCGCGCTTCTTAGTGGGCTTGACATCGGAGAAAGGTCTCCGGCAAAGTTGCGGGCCGCATGGATCGATCGTAGGATGAGTGCATCTGGGAGAGGTGTAAATTGCTTCGCCGATCAGCCAGATCAACAACGCATGCACATGTGTATCCGTAACGCGGTGGGGGAAGACTACCGACCGGCGTGGTCAGACCAATACCAAGACAGTTCGACCTTAGGGCCCGACGACGCCCACCGTGTGCTCAACAGCAAGGTGTAGCAGCCATGAGCATAAACTCGTTTATAGTGAGGGAAGACTTGCGCGGCATCTACCGCACCCACTCCTCCTCTCCACCTGGGCCAGGTCTCAAGACATACTGAAGGAGACCGGAGGCGGCTGGCACGGCCGGATCCGCGCCTAGACGTATCACCGCATCCCCCAATCCACAACAAACACTTGACCAGGATTTAAATCAACAATAACAACAGCACCACAACGGGTCAGAAGGACGAAGATGATTGGCAGCCATGTTCATGACCTGCATACGCAGCAGGGAACCAGGTGCCATAGAACGGCCAGAGCAAACCAGGTTACTAACGCCATGGTTTGCTTATCCAATACCACATAGAGAGAGATGTATCCATCACACAGATATGACGACTCGAGCAGTCAACTCAGGCCTCATTCGAGAGAACCATAAGTCTGACATTCTGGCGAATCCAAACTGCGCATTTTGATGTTCGCAGATACCCAGTAGAGTAAATCGCCCAAAATTTCAGGTGAATCATCACCGGGACCCAACGACCTCTTCTCAAATTCCATGTGCACATTTAGGCTGCCATTATTGTGCACGTGGTGGCATGTTTGACCATCCTGCAAAGAAGAACAACAATTCTTCCTTATGCGCATTTATGTCAATGTTTGAAAGCCAAGTAAGGCTCTTAGAACCGCTGTGCCGACCTATGGTCTCTTACGCGTCTACAGTGGAATGAAAGGTGAGAGGTGGCCCGGGCGTTAGGGCTGCAAATGGATTAATCGTAGGCGATCGCATAGCGATGAGCAGGTCGTGAGTCATAAAAACAACTGGTGTTGTAATGTCTACTTCTGGTTTGTTTATGGTTGTCGGCCAGCCAGATCTCATATCGAGGTCGACAGAACCTGAGTTGCGCTAATGGCTCAGGCTTTACCAGCTATGTGCAAACTTTCGATAGAACAGAATATCTATACTGACGGCGTAGTCCTTCCGCAAGTAGCACTGTTTCTAGAATATGCAAATGTGCTATTCAGGGGTTGTTCACTTTCAGTGTTTAAATCCACACCCCCCACACACACAAGGAAAAAGAAAGTGTAGAAGTGCGCGGGAAAGTTGACACTGGGGGTATGCGGTGGTGGGAGGGAGGCTTCAATTTTAACTCGAAATTTGAAGTTCTCACTTCGGTGGGGTATTTGGTGTTTGCGCGTGAAGGGAGGGGGTGTGGGAGGGAGGGAGGGGGAAAACAGAAAAGACGGTGAAAAACCGACGGTCATCCAAATTGATGGAGGGAAGGTCCTTGGATTTGCTTTTGGCTCCGACAATGACGACGTCATCGGGGTGCCCTCATTGTTCCCGTCTGCTGATTTCTCAGGTCTGAGAAGTCAGCGTCTAAAGACCTGGTAGGGGGGGGGGGGAAACAAAAATGAAATGGATCGCCTTTTTCGACACTCAGGAATGTTGCGCATGATGACGTTGACACAGGCGCTTAATCGTCCGTGTCCAGCGCCAACTCCAGATGGTTTTGTATGTCGCTCAACTCCCTGATGACAATGATGTGTATTCCAGATACCCACCTTACAGTGCGTGACCTATCTCATGAAATCTGATAACGGAATCCGATGCGAGAACTTCTGGTAGCCTTTAACGTGGCGCATTTTATTCGCTCGCCCACATCCTTCAATGAAATGTCCTTTTTGTGCAGAAATGGCGTTTACGTAATTATATCAAGTTAAATATCAGTCAATTTTAGCGAAAACGGACGTTGAAATATATTTGTGCAATTTCGTATGCTAATACATGTCCTAGACTCCGTTTACGCATCCGAGCGACTTTTCATTGAAAGGATAATAATTCACCCGCGAGAGTTTTCATAAACAGATTTAGCCGAACTTGAAAATTTATTTTATGTCCAACGTTAACCGTGGTAGTCAACCTGCTAACACAAAGGTTATTTCAAGAAAACCAGAGGTTTCATCAATTTCTAATTGTCAAATTAGCAGATCTGTGCGATTTAGTGCCCTCAGGTGCAGTAATAACGCAGATGGGGATTACTTCGTTTAAATGGGACTAAAATGTGTTGCCGTTTGGAAAATTCTACCCGATTTCACATAAATGACCACCGCCGAATGGTCATTTCAAGTTTTGAACATATAAAATACTACTTGGTGTGTAGTTTAGTTTCTGTGTATACCTCAGTCAGAAATAGAACGAGCATTTTTATGGGCGCTCTGCCGTGCATTCATAATCGAAGAACGAAGTCTAAAAGCTTTCTTATTTACCGAAGGCGTATTGGTTGTTGACTTTCGTTGTGAACGGCCATTTTTCTCGAAAATGAAGTTTGATGTTTGAATGAGTCTTCAAATGTGACCCGAACGACCATCTTCGTGAAAAAGAGCGTCCGAGCACTCACTAATTCGGTAAACGCTTTCAAGAATAGTCTTATTTTAAAGTTAACAACAGACAGGCAATTCAGAATCCGTCTTTATGGACGATCGGGTGCAAACACTAAAAATCATGAAGTATGCAGCAACATTTAGAGGCCGATCTGAAACTCAACGTAATCCGAAACGAACAAAAAGCGTAAATTAATCTAACGAAAGAAAAGTTATCTCTATAAACACAAAAGGGTATGTTTACGATCACGCCTGTCAGTTATATTTAATTTTATTAGGCACCGACTGGCCTCATGGCATTTCACCTTATGAAAACATTTGTTCCTACGATGTCCCCATCGGTGAAATCAAGCAAAATCCAATTTTTCTTGTTGAACCCATCTTATTTAACTCAAAAGAGTCAAGGATAACACGAAATCCTGGAAAACTGTTTTGAAATCTACATTCAGAATGCAGGCAGTTGAAAAACCGTCATATGTGAAATCACACTAATTATTAAGCAATATTTAGATGTATCCTTCACGAAAACACGGCTATTAGACGTTATTTTATTTTAACTTTCATATTTACTACGTTTTTATATGCAAATACATTCTATACATTTAAAAACGAAGTTTGCTAAATTGGAGCCATTTCTGACGTTTTCGGGATACTGCGCTTTTTTAAAGAAATCAGCATTTCTAAGCAACGCAACACTGCATTAAATATTTCTTATATGTTTTTAATTCTTTTAAACTTGTAATTAATTAACATAGACATTGAACCCATGAAATGGAGTTGGTTTGCGAGCGATTGGCAATCATTCGTAAACTTCGACACATTTCCTGAGTTAAGTCACTAACTGTAGGCAGTGACACTGGGCGTATTCGAGGTGTAAATATGAGGTAGCTGTTCACCAAACGACGCTCACACCAATGTAGACGGTGACATTGCGTCAGTTGCTGTTTCGAGTTGGGATTTTCAATCGGGCTGGATTGACGTGCGGCGGTTTGTCCTGATTTCAGGGCGGAAATGAACATTTACGCCTTGGCTTGGGCCTGAGACGCTACAGCCTATACGGGCATTGACACAACTACTAACAAAAAATAGTCTGGAATTGTCATTTGTGACTTATTTGTCGCCATCACTTGATGCTAACTCAGTCCCGCGCACCGGCCTGCCCGGATCCAGCGAGTCATTCACAAATTTTAAGGTCAACACCTATTTTAATGCAATCTATCCAAGTATAGTTCAGTATATTTAAGGGTAATGGGTGAATTACTCCATCAATAAACCCCACTCATATTACCTCCGTAATAATAGGCTATTTGAAAACTCTTCGCAACAGTTAACCAGCACTAGTTTGCTTTTAACCTGTGGCAACTGTGTAAGGCCAGTGACGGGACCGTTCTGAGTGACTCTTAAGTTTGACTGACTGACGATGTTTCCGTCCAACACCCTGAGTCACCAAAATGTGGTGTTGTACAGTAGGCGACCTGAGGGATTAAAGGTGCCGAACCGGCATAAATTGATGGACCCAACATCTATATTAATAAAGAACAAATTTAACGAAGTTGAAAACATGGAAAACATATTAAAATAATATTGTCTCCTCAAGGCATTCTACCTTTATTTAGAAAAGCGGAACGTATCGATGACGTCAAAAATGGTCGTGGTTGAGTAAACTTCTGTTTAAGATGTACATTTGGAAAGTCTGTTCGTGTAGAAAAGCTGAGTAAATGTGACACCACAAATAGGATAACGTTTGAAGATAGTCTTTTAGTAAAGTTAATATTTAAATATTTTCTAGGAATTGGTGTAACGGTTTTCCGACAACCTATATTCTGAGTATAGATTTCAAAGCGATTTCCCGATATTCGCTGTACTTTTTACGCCTTTGCATTGATTGAGATTCGGTTCAATAAAGCAAACAGGATTTTGTTTGACTGCGCTGATGGGGACATCATAGGAATAACAGTTTTCGTAAGGTCACGTGTTGCCA